AAAATAGACAAGCTTCAGCTAGAAGCTCCCCGTCGATAGTTTACAGCTGGTGTTGGTGCTGGTTTTGTTGTTTTGGCCATCTCGTACGCCCCGAGAGCTCTCGGTCCAAGCTGCCGTGAATCCTGGCTGAAAATTTTTGGGTTGCTGCCCGCCATTGTTGACTGATGTCTGAGGCACTGAGGCTCCCTTCACGTCAGGACAGGGGTAAACAACCCGTGTCCCCCACTCAAAAAGCTGTGATGGACAGCTTCCATTGGTTGGAGCTTGACTTTTGCATAGTGCACCTTGGGGGAACAGCTACTGTGGAACAAACGAAGCCGACCAGTGTCGGACGTAAAAACCCAAGTGATGACGACAGGATCGAATAGCATAAAACCGCTCCTCACTGTTTGCGCCGCGTGTCTTTGCGTACACGTACATAATCGCAACCAAAGTGGTAGCGGTGGCGATGTGAAGCTTGATAAGGCGGTAAGGTTATCGCTCAATCTCGAGCTTGCGCTGTTTGTGTCCGGAATTCAGAATGTTTTGAAACAAGACCGGGAGCTGTCACCAGATATTTGAAGCTTTGATGGTTTTGACAAGGCACATCCATAGCATCGTTTTTCAACTTCGTTCACCTGTATCATGTGCAGCTGATCATCCCATCCGGACATATGTCGCGCGCGCATCTGCAATTTGCGGCAGCTCTGTGAAGCGCAAATGTCAATCAATGTTGAGGTCGAACAGCAACGTCAACATCAACCGCTCTCGCAGCCGAACAACATTCACTTGCACTTTGCAGTCAAAAGTGGAGTGGAGTTCCCGCCTGCACAGTGGATGAAACTGGATGGTAAATCCGTCCGCGGGAGCGGGAATATCGTGCATTTTGCATTTTGCCCATTTCGCGTGTTTTATCCATATCAGAATGGAGTTTGTTGCTTGTAAGCAACCAGAACACAGACACACTAGACACTCAACTCGAGACATAAAACAAATCACAGGCAACTTAATGCAACGAAAATAGCAATTTCGAGCTTTCACCATTCTACATAGGTACTACTCTGTGCTGTTCAGACGCACGTTCTCTAAACCTGGGATTCTTCATGCAATCAAGGACAACCTTTTGATCCATGGTTTGTTCATTCGGCTGTGAATGAGAATGAGAACGCTAAGTAATTACGTTTCGCTTCTTCAAGATCTGAAAAGTTCGAACATCCAACACTCAACATCTTCAGTTTTTCACGAACATTTTTGCTCTCATGCCGTATATGATAAGCTTCAGCTTAGTCCTGGTGTAAGACATAACCACCGTGGCCTACTACGACCATGGAAGTGCTCCGAAACGAAGTAGCTAGGTGAAAGCACGAGTCTTTACCAATATATGATTCTATCTGATCACTGCGTGAACAAAGGTACTTTGAAATATTTACCGGGCTACAGTGTACAAATTTTCGATATCGCTCTCATAGGGATGAGGCGACTAACAAAGATATCATATTTCTAGAACAAGTTATGTCAGTTATGTCAGCTATGTCAGCTATGTCAGTTATGTCAGTTATGTCAGTTATGTCAGTTATGTCAGTTATGTCAGTTATGTCTTTTACGTCCTTTACGCATTTTCTGACTTCGAGATACATGACACGATGGCAACTGCTGTTTTTCTGACTGCGGGATACAATATGTTGTCTCAACTGCTGTTTGAACGTTACTCTTCTTATTATTATTTTTATCACATCGACCATGTACGGTAGAGTGTAAAAGAACCATAGAGGACGGGATCTGTGTCTCTGTAAAGCGACATCCAACGAACGACGGGGGCTGAGGGCTCTTCTTAAAGATATGCGATGACAGCAGACATAAGGTACAATATAAAATCAACTTGACATGTGGTGGACATAGATAGCTAGATAGGTCTTTTCTAGGTAACCACTTCCCCCAGTCCCGAGTTCCGATTTCACAAATCAAACCAAGAGCTAAGAAGAGATATTTAGGATTAAGTTGTGGGTATCATATTTTCCATTACGTGTATGAGCTCCTAGGTAATTCAAGACCACTCTACTCTTTCTTCCATATCAGAGCCCCGGCCCCAATTCACCGCTCTTACTGTTCTCTTTTGCTCTCTTCTGCCCTCTGCCCTCTGCCTTCTGCTCTCTTCTGCCTTCTGCTTTCTGCCCCAGTCCCAGTGTGTCGGACCCCGACCACGAGGCTCCTAGGCATGTGATTGCATGCGGTCGTGTGCTGATGATGATTGATGATTGATGAACACCCCCTATACTAGTGGTCTGTTCCATTACTCTCACTCTCCACTGATCCGTTCCATCGCTCTCCGTCCCTTTAAACACCAAACTTGCCTCGAGAGCAGGATGCCCTCTTGCCCTCTGGAATATCCTGGTTTTAGCGCAGGATGTTACGTCCCTACCCCCTCTTGAGTGATCGTATCCTCCCGAACACATCCAGCCCTTATAAGCTTGTATGAATACATCGCAGTTCCTTCCTTCAACGAACTGGTCAGCAGGGCCAGGCAAAATCTGCTGTGTTGTGCCAAGGTGGTTGGTTGCTCTCTCTGCCGTCTTTTGGGAGTATTTGTTCAGGCTGGGGTGGATGTGTTTGTCAGGTCTCGATGATGCTCGTTGTGTATGTACCTTGGCAGGACTAAAGTAAACTCACTCGACTCGCTGGTACAAGCTAATGAATAGTCGAAAGTCGTTGTGTGTTGTGGTGACCTTTCCTCGCTGCCCCTGGAATTTCCTCGCTGTCCCTGGAAGATCCCTGGTCGGCACAAAGATGTCCGCCATAGAGATAGCTAGCTGCCCTAGTAACGCATTTGGGCGCGCCAAAGGATTGCGGTACCTATCCAGGGACAATACTCAAACACGATGATTGATCTTCGGCGCCACACCGAATCTCCGGGAGCTGCTTCTCCATGGAGTAGAGACTTTTATAGGAGGCCGTCTCCTGCTGGAATATTTCACAAACAGCTGCCGCACGCCTAGTAATAATCAGTTAGGCGGCACCGGCAGTCACTTGCTCTGTGGGGTTTCTATCCCTCTTCCTCCGAAGACGGCTCCTCCATGACAAAGTCATCGATAAAGCCCGCAGGATCGCAGGTCCGTTCCAAGCTAATGCGGTTTCGGGTGACCCAGTTATGCACAGCTTCCAGTGTGATTCGCACCCGCGGAACATCCTCCACTACTGCTGATGCTGATGCTGCTGCTGCTGCTGCTGCCGCCGCTGCCGCCGCCGCCGCTGCTGGTTCCGAAGGGATGATGCCCGTCATTTCTTCCTCGGTAGGTTCGTGGTGAATCTTGGGCTTAGGAGGTCCCCTGCCCGCGCCTTCGGCAACGGCCATCTCCCTCACACCGCTAGGCAATCGTCGGGGGCTATCCAGGTTGCCTTGCTGCACTCGTCAATGTCGATGACTGTTTCCTCGCCGGGTATCGTGCCTGTTGGTTCCAAGCTGAGGAGCCAACGGGCTATCTCGCCAGCCCAAAAACGCTTGTACCCCTTTTTGCCGAGTTCCGATATGGGCTTCTCGGGACCGCCAATGACTCCTTCGCGCCGAGAGATCTCGTACGAGACGCCCATGAGGAGCGCACCCAGGCCTTTTTTCTGCCAGGGTGGGAAGATGAGGATACACGCCAAGTTGTTGTTATCCCAGGACATCTTCTCTTTGGAGAAGAAGCCGACGACTTGGCCGCGAGGCTTGACAACCTCGGTCACGTCTGAGGCCGGGTCCGTCGAGGGGTCGGGCGGAGTGAACACAAGCAAAAAGTAGTGGAAGCCGCTAACATCGAAAAACACCGACTTGTTGTCCAGGAAAAGTTTGGCAAACAAGGAGAGGTTTTGGCAGAAGAGCTATGAAGAAATATCAGCAACCTTGCTTGATCTTGATGTGGTTTTACAGGATTGGCTATGGGAGCAGTGCTTACCATGTCCTCTTCACCATCTACCTTCCAAATACTCCATTCCCCTTCATCCTGTATCACCTCCTCGATCATCTTCTGCCCGATACTTCCTCGCTTGCCCCTTCCAGGCTTGGGAGCCGGCCCTGTCGGTACGAGAACTGTCCGTCGTCCCTTTGGGTGCACATATATCTTGGTTCCGGGAATGTGGCCCCGAGCCTCACACAAGCAGACATGCCTCCTCCAGGCAACGAGCTCCTTGGAGTACTTGAAACAACACGGACACACGTAGAGGCGGTCGAGCATAGGCGGCTGGTGGTGGGGATGGTGTCCATGTGCCCCCTGATTTGAAGGGTGTGTCCCATTGGCAACCATCGTTCCAACACTAGGCGGGCCTTCACCGAGAACTTCCTTCCCGTAGTAGGAAGGGTACCATGCCCGGAAGCATGTGTTACCCAACACAACCTTATCGATGTTACGGTCTGTCCCCTCGCCGGGTGCCCGCTCGGGTTTGTCTGATTTACCGCCACTTGGGCCAGGCCTTGCAATCGATGAGCGCTGTGTCTGTTGTTGTTGATGATGCTGTGGCGGTGGTGGTACTGAGGGCGCCATGGAGATGGACTTGTTTTGCCCCACTATGCTGTGGTGTGGGAGCACCACCGGCCCCGCAGCGGAGCGGCCATGGCCAACTCGTGCCGAGTCGTGTCGTGGCTGTCCTCCGGCGACAGGTCCCGGAAGGATTGCCGTAGTTGGGGTGGGGGCAGGAGCACGTATGGGAGACGCCGTCGACGCCTGGTGCGGATGTGCGAGGGGCGATTGATGGGCTGCCGAGGTCTTTATGATGATTGATCGGGCGGGTGCGATTGTACGGGGACTGGAATGGGAGGAATTGGAGTTGGAGGGGTGGGAGCTGGCGTGGGGTCGCGGCGGATGCGGATGCGGATGCGGATTCGGATGCGGATGGGAGCTGGAGCTGGAATTGGAACTAGAACTGGGCGGCGTGGGCACTGCTGCTGGAGGGGGGTCACAGTCGAAGCCGATGTGACGCGTCAGACGAGTCTTGATGATTGGAGCATGTCCATGGTGCGAGTTGGACTGCATCGGGATGTTTTCCTTGCCGCGGAGGGCCGGTGGTGGTGATGGTGGCGGCCCGTTCGGGCGCGGCGCGTCGCGGGGATGGGCGGTGGTTGGAGACGTGGAAGACTGCCGGTCGGTGGTGGCGGCAAGGCCAGTGCCAGTTCCACTGCTGTCCCGGCGTCGGCGTCGTCGGGGTGGTTCCGGGTCGGGAAGGACGGGGAGTGGGGCGGTTGATGTCTGGCGTGTTGCTCGGCGCGCCGTTGTTACAGGGGAACCTGAAGCCAATGATGGAGCAGCAGCGGTAGCGGCGCCAACACCAGCAGCCCGAGACGCCGCAGCCTCGGAGGACCTGGAGTTTGTACCTGTACCTGTACCCGTTCCGCCTCGGTGTCGTTTCCGTTTCAGACAGGCCATTCCGTGGATGCACAAAGAAAAGAGCGGGGTTGTTCCTCTCGTCGTTGATTGTCGACGTGGATGATTTGGGAGTTGTTGCGATGACGGACAGTCATAATGGGAATGCAATCTCGTGGCAGTGTCTATTGGGGAACTTTGGGGGGTTTCAATTGTTGCTGGTTCAGCTCTGATGGAGGCTGACCAAGGACACGGTAACAACTACTTGGGTTCCTACCTCAATATGCAGCCTGCACAAGTACTGCTACTTGCATCTGGCCAGGAGCTAAACCCCCTTTTCCGTCTCGATGTTAGTGACGGGACTGCCACTGGTATGAAGCAGCACAGACCTCACCTCCCTTCAGCTTCCCGCAAAGGAACACGCCCGCTTCGTGGCTTCCACGGCAGGCAGCCGACACTTCTTCCGTCTTACCTTATCGATAACTCCCCAACAAGTTCCCCTCGGCACCTGTTGCTGCACGCAAGCAGGGGGGAATGAGGGGTAGCATCCGCTAGTGCAGTCCAGGTCCGAGTCCAAGGGGAAAATCAGCAACAGCCAGATTTCTCCAAAACCTCCAAACCAAAAGGCTGTCTTGCATGGAAATCGCCAATGCTTGAAGCTCCTCCAACCCATCACCAGCCTGCCGTCCCTTCAGAATGGTCGATTGCCTACATCAATGTACGGTACTAAAGGTTCCGCCCTAAGAGGTGTGCAAGCAACAGGCCGACGACTCGCGACGACCACTCGATCGACGACGAGGTTCTGCCAGGTAAACATGTGGAACCCTCATGACTCTCTCACCCAACGGTTCCTTGTCGGGAGCACTACATACTGACTGACTGATGTCCCCTTGTTGAATAAAGCAGCTCCCCGCTTGGTCGTCCGTGTACTTCTCTTCCCCGTCGATAATACGCCCGGATGGCAGCACTTTCCGAAGACAATCAACCGCTGCCGCTGCCGCTGCCGCTGCCGCTGCCGCTGCTGTTCCCGCTGGCCCCGGCCCCGGCCCCGGCCCCGAAGCCGAAAATGACCTCTCCACCTCCGGCTCTGCAGCTCCGGCCAGACCCGCTCCGTCTCTCGATGCCTCCACCGTGGTCACCACCACATCCTCGGACGATGCGTTTGCTGTCCTAGAGAGAGCTGCCAAGGTTCAGGCCAAACCCTCCCCGCCTGTCGCCGTCCCCATCACCTCGGACGATCCGTTTGCTCCGTCTGCTCCGTCTGCTCCGTCTGCTCCGTCTGCTCCGTCTGCTCCGTCTGCTCCGTCTGCTCCGTCTGCTCCGTCTAGCGGACTGTCGCATCCAGCACGCAAGGGACCGAGTCTCCGTGAACACCGACAAAAACATGTTGCCCATCTCTCTAGGATACCGAAGCCTTTTGACAAAAAGTTCACGCCCTTTTCGCCTACAAAGACGCTTGCCATGTTCATCAGGCGCAAATATCGCAAATTTCCACGTGAAAAATGGAATCTTGTGCGTGCTCTTGCCTGCAATAGGTCTCCTCGATTGCCCGGTTCTCTGGCACAACTCATGTTCAAGCAACGTGCAGCAGAAACGCGCACGAATGGAAAGCCCTTCCACAACGCTAAGGGACTTCCATACTATCTTGAAACAGAGGAAGAATGGGCAAGGCGCATAGAGCGTCTTGAAATGCGGGGATACAGCGCCAGGGATCTCGAAGAGTGGTCGTGGATTTTACGAGGAGAGACTGGGGACGAAACGGTTCAGCGGTTCGTCTCTAGTGGCACCTTCAAGCCATACTTCCTAATGAATATGATCCTTGGGCGCGACAAAAAGATATACGAAGCCCAGAACCTCGCCGCCATCTTCGATTATATCGCCCGACACTACCTGGATGCGAGACAAAAACCTGAACAGGAACGTGTTGGTCCAGAATTCAAATCAGACGCCTTCAAGATCATGATGTATCGGCTCATGCGGCATTGCGCGGCCGTATGGCCTGCTGCTCTGGTCTCAGTTGCTCATCTCGTCGCGAAATACCTCGAGACCTCCCGCTCTGATCTCGGAGGTGAGAGCAAAGCAAAATGGCACAGAATGAGAAATCGCATCTTCAACGCCGCTCTCTGCGCGCTTGACAGGAAAACCCCCATCGCTCCTTACCAGCACGTTCATTACAACTGGGAAGCCCAAAAGGTCCTTCTGGCCGCGTCTGTCAAAATGAGACCTCACTTGCTGATCTCCCAGAACGGCTATCGCTCAATAAGAAGGGTGTTACTAGGGATGAAGAAGACGCCAGGTGAGCAAAAGGCCACGATCCGGTCTGCGAAGACGTGGCCGCCATACCGTTTAGCGTGGGATGGAGTGGACGAGCAACGCGATCCTGAAGACGATCTGAGCAGGAGCGCTAAAGCAGGAATCATGATGGTCGAAAACGGATATCCCTCTGCACCCATCGATGAGGCGTTGACGATTCTGGGTGGTTCACTGCCCGGCCGACAACGCACCGTCATGACCAGGACCAACGGACCACCCAAAGGGTATACTCCCATCATGTTTATCCATGCCACGTGGGTTGCATCCATCATGGCCACGCGCAACGCTAGGGAGGCCTGGATCGAGTTTCTGAAACCTCCTCGACCCAACCTCCCGCCCACTGCCGATGTGTATGCTGCCATGTTGGAAAAATTGTATGCAAGGGAAGTGCTTGAGGATGATCCGCAGCTCCCGGGTGACTCGACGCACTTTGTCTTTCCAGTTCATGACGGTAACCTTAGCGCCTATGAGATAGCGAGGCTTACCCCTCCGTCTCCTGATGATCTGTATCAACACATGCGGGATCTCAACATCCGACCAAATGACCGCCTCCTCGAGCTTCTACTTAGAAACGCCAGTTCAATAGAGCGCGGGTTGCAATACCTCCTGGACAGCGGGTACAGCGCAGCTGCGAGAAAAGCTTTGGTTGGGTGGCTTAAGGATCTTGAGCCGCTAGATACCATTCCCGCTCGCATCTTCAACGCGTGGATTTTCCTATTGTGCAGAACGCACTCTAATTACCGGATCCCCGACGCTTATTCGAACTCCCATAACCAGATCCCACTGGCTATTAAACTCACCAGGGTGTACCAACAGCGGAACGCAAGGGCTGCCCACAAGGACAGGCGGCCATGGTACATTATCCTCAGAGCCCTGGCCACCACACGCCATGTGCCGCAGGAGGGTGACCACCCGCACTTGCGTTCGCTCAAGATGTTCCTGAAGACATATCGGCGGACCGTAGAGGCGAAAGGCCTGGATACCTCCATCTTCGACCTACTCTGCCGTATGATACGAAAGTCGACGACGGTGCTGGCATTTGCAACGAAGAGAGCGATGGCGTCAGCAAAAGCAACCGAGCACTGCGGAGATTTGAGAATGGTGCCAGTCATTCGCGTGGCTGCTCTAACTCTCCATGTCACTTGGAAAAGGATGATACGGCCGGTCCCATCTGACGGCGATGCATCGGCACGTTTCAAGTTACCCACGTTGCAGTTCGCACTGAGGGCGCACCATATTTCGGTATACATGCGAGCTCTAGGATGCCTGGGGAACCCGCACTTGATGTTGGGCTTGGTAAAGTGGGTGATCGACTCTTGGTTAGACCCCACGGTTCTGGAGAATGCAAGGGAGCCGGGCGGCGATGAGTATGAGATTATCATCCACATGTTTCAATACTTTATCGAGATGTGGCCTCATCTGCCTGTCAACGATGGGCTAAAAAACATGCTTGGGGTGGTAAGGCGAGAACTCGAATCGCTCCGGACATTACACGGCTGCACTTGGCACCTCCCGCCCGAGGGAACGGACAGAGGCCGCAAGGGTGTGGATAATGTCGTTGCTGCGCGCTGGCTCCACACGCAGCGATATAACCCTACCTGGCGTAGCATGCCATCTGAAAGTGTGAAGAGGAACGTTGAAAGACAAGAAGATCCTGGGGATACACAGAACCCTGAGCAAGGCGAGAAGACGACAGATTCAACAAGCGACGGGATTAACCCCCCAATTCTAAAACAGTTATATGCACACACAGTACGATGGATTAGGACACCTTAGATTAGATAGCGAGCAAGTAGCGCTTTGGATTTACCTGGCATGTAACCATAGGTTTCTTTTTTGGTGTTTGTATATTTTGGTTGTACATAGTTGGAATGACTTTGAATAATGAAAACAATACTAGAAATAGGAGCGGCTTGGAAACGGCCATAGATCGAAGCGGGACTTTAAGGACGGGACATTGATGGCACTCATGTTGATTGTGGTGCGTTGACTTGCCGGCATGAGCTCCGGGCGCACCGGAGCAACAGACCGGAGAGATGTGGGTCTTCACCGGCCGCTTGGTGGCGGGTGGGTCCTGTTTGTGCGGTTAGAGGATCCGCAAACGGGCAGGAACATGCACCCTTTTATTGGCCAATTCACTTCCTTGGCACTGTTTACTCACTTCTAACCCTTGCCAACCCTCGACAAAGAATCCACAAGTCGCGGGACGCGTTCCTCTCTCAAGGAAGGCCCGTTCGACTGCAGTCGGAGAGTCGCAATCCGCAACGGGAAGGAAGAAAGGGCCCTCTTCGGTGGACAAGGGAGCGAGATCGAAAAAAAGAAGCATGGTGTCAAGTTGTTCGTTTTCTGTTGGTTTGCTCCTCTTTCCTTCCTCCGCGACCACCTCCCGTCACTTGTGCACCGCCCGCCTTTCTCGAGACCACCCACCCACCCCCTTCCCACACGCCCACACGTCGACAGTCAAAATATCCGAGGGCGCTTGATACGACACTCTTTTTACGTCTCATAATACAACACGGATTTGCACATACCCAGCCAACAAACGATACGAATAAAATCTTTTTTTTCTCAACAAGATATCACCTTTTTGTTGCTTTATTCTGTATCATTTTATCTTATTTTACAAACTAGCTTTAGCTCATTCGCGATCTTCTAGCCTTTTACATCAACAAACGGGGATTGCTAGAATTTATTTGATTTTTCTCACATCATCATCACCATCATCACCGGCTCACTTCTCGTCAACATGGAATAATCCGAGAAGAATTTGGTATCATTACCAGCCGCCAAATGCTTTAGTCAAGAGATACCGGACCATCTTCTCCTTCCACTGGGCCGCCTTCATTTTTACTATAAACAGGTCTACCCTTGACCTCAACTTTATCCCTGGCTTCAATCGGAGTACCTCTAGTGTACTCATAGAACTTAGCGCCAGTTCGTTGACAGCCAAGTGATGGATTCGCCAGATCGCGGCCACGGAGGCATGTTTATCGACGTCCCCACCGACGTCATGGGCATCCAAGAAGATTACTTGGATATGTTTGCGTCCGTTCTCAGCCAGGGTTTGGCCACAGACGGAGACTACGTTCAACCGCCCCCGACGACGACGACGACGATTACGCCACCAAGCCACGAAGACCCTCAACTTCAACTCCAACTCGAGCTCGAGCAGCAGTTCCAAGCCGAATCTGGCCAGAATGGCGAAGATACCGGGCCTGTGCCTGAGTCCGAAGATGAGGCTGATCTTCCAGATGGGTTTTCAGACGAGGCCACAGATGGGGTCTTGGACGAGGGCCCAGATTATGTTTTCGTTGTCCAGCGAAGTAAACACATCACTGTCGACTTGCCAGTATCAACTTTGGTAAATCCAAGGTCGAAATTCCAAAGGGTAGATGAAAGAAAAGATAATCCCATACCGCCACCGCCGTCAACACCTGAGCGCATCGCTGTTGAGGATCTCTTAAAGGCTGCGAAAGCGGCTGGTAAGTCCAAAGAGGATTATATCGAATTTGAGCTACACGACTTCAACTTCTACGTAAACTACGCTCACCACCCCCAAGAGATGCGGCCGATTCACCTTGTAGCGACCAAGATGCTGCACGACAAGTACTACTTCGACGGGGTCCTGAAGTTTGGCAATACCAAGCACTACGTCACCGGCATGCAAGTGATGGAGTTGCCTGTGGGCAATTATGGTGCGTCTCTGCACAGCGTCGAAGGCCAGATCTGGGTTCGCTCCAAGCTCAACGCCAAAAAAGAGATCTACTACCTGCTCAAGACGCCAGCGCTGGAATACCAGCGATTTTACCAGCCGTTTCTTTGGATCGCAGACCTGGGAAAACATGTCGTTGACTACTGCACTCGCATGGTCGAAAGGAAGCGCGAGGTTACACTGGGCTGTTTCAAGAGCAAGGGCGACTTCATCCAGTGGGCGACCAAGGCTCACGGAAAGTCAAAGGCCTTTCGGATGTGGCGGGCTCAACACCGGAGCGACGATTACCGGACTTCGGTCGCTGCCAATATAGGGTATATCTGGAAGGAGGTGAATGGAGTGGCGGGCGCTAGAAGAGCAGCGGGCGACAGACTTTTTCGGGAACTCATGCTCGTTAAGCCCGGCCAGTATCTCAGACAGGAGGTTCCTCCAGGCCCGCTCGTCACCGAAGGCGATCGAACCGTTGCGGCTACCATTGTCACTCCGTATATCAAGGAGTGTTTTGATCATATGATTCTTGGAAAGGTATTGCGGTTGGCTGGCGAGGATGCGGAGAAAGAGAAGGATAGGCAGGTGAAGCTCACGAAGCTCGCGAAGCGTGTCAAGCAAGACACAACAGAGAACATCGAGACAGAGGCCAAGGCGGACACCAAGGACGAAACCATGACAGAGGATTTATCGATACCACTTCAACCATTGCCGCTGCAAGTGTCGGAGGTAATCCCCATCGTCGATTCGGATGTCATTTCCATCGTTTCCTCAGATGTTCTGCCAGCACCAGGAAGCAATCTACCGCCTCCGATGAAGGAGAATGTCAAGCCCAGGGCGAAAGCGAAAGCGAAAGCGAAAGCGAAAACACCACGACCAAACATCAAACAGATTCATCCGGCCTACATTAAATACTTGTCCCAGGAACTTGTCGACCAGATCAAGGTTGGAGACGTGATTTCTACGCCTCGAGATGATAGCTCAAACACGGACACGAAGTGGAAACCGGCCGACACAGATGACCACAGGTGGTTTGGCCTCGTTCAGAAAGTCCATACTACCAAGACTAAGAGTGGCCGTGGCCTCGACCCCAAGAGTTTCGATGTCATATGGTTTTACAGACCAGAAGATACGCCATGCTGCGCTATGAAGTACAAGTGGCGCAACGAGCTCTTTCTTTCTAATCACTGTACGTGTCAGGAAGGACATCATGCGCGTGTCAAGGGCAATGAGGTACTTGCGGTCCATCCAGTGGACTGGTTCGGAACTCCAGAAAGTTGCAAGGGCGAGTTTTTCGTTAGGCAGTTGTACGAGAGCGAGCAACGGAGATGGGTTACGGTACAAGAGGCCCATTTAACCTGCTACCATAACCAGCCGCCAAAACCACCGACCCCTCCTTATAAGCCTGGTGATACTGTCCTGGCAACACTCTCTCCTTCCGACAGGTATTCCGAACCGTACGAAGTGGTCGAATTTTTTAGGCAAGGAGAGAAAGAGAAAGAGAAACCGTTCGTGCGACTTCGAAAGCTATTGCGACGACGGAAAGTTGATCGTCCAGATGCGCCAGCTAACGAGCTTGTCTACACGGAGGACCTAGACCTGGTGGAGGTTCGAGGCGAGAGGATCGTAGGAAAGTGTCTGGTCAGATTTTTTCGCGCAGACGAGCGTATCCCAAGCCCCTATGACAGGGGAGGAACGGGGAACATATTCTTCATCACCCATGGGCTAGAAGACGATGGAAAATGCGTACCTCTCAAGACATTCCCAAGCACTTTGCGCCAGGGATTCAACCCCTTGGAGAAGAACTTACTTGGCAAGCCAAAGCTGAAGGGGATGGATCTATACTGCGGCGGTGGTAATTTCGGAAGAGGCCTGGAAGAGGGCGGGGTCGTCGAGATGCGCTGGGCCAACGATATTTGGGACAAGGCTATCCATACCTACATGGCCAATACCCCGGATCCGGAAAAGACGAACCCCTTTCTTGGCTCTGTGGATGATCTGCTTCGTCTTGCTCTGGAGGTATGTTCCCTTTGGTTATGGACCTTTATAAGGCCACGTTAACTGACATCGACGAATAGGGTAAATTTTCCGACAACGTGCCACGACCCGGCGAAGTCGACTTCATCGCCGCCGGCAGCCCATGCCCCGGTTTCTCGCTTCTCACCCAAGACAAGAAAGTCCTCAATCAAGTCAAAAATCAATCCCTCGTAGCCTCTTTCGCCTCCTTCGTCGACTTCTATCGACCTAAATACGGCGTTCTCGAGAATGTCTCCGGCATTGTGCAGACATTCGTAAACAGGAAGCAGGACGTCCTTTCACAGCTGTTCTGCGCTCTCATAGGAATGGGCTACCAAGCCCAACTCACCCTGGGCGACGCCTGGGCCCACGGCGCGCCTCAAAGCCGTGAGCGCGTCTTTCTGTACTTTGCTGCTCCGGGCCTTCCTCTCCCAAGCCCGCCTTTACCCTCCCATTCCCACTACCGCGACAAAAACCGCAACATCGGCTTTCTCTGCAACGGCGAGTCCTACGTCCAAAGGATCTTCGTTCCCACCGCTTTCAAATTCGTCTCTGCTGGGGAAAGCACCGCCGACCTCCCCAAAGTTGGCGATGCTAAGGTAGAAGTTTGCACACCCTTTCCCGACCACCGTCTTGCGGCCGGTATTACCCCGAAGAACCGCGCCCAGTATGCCTGCATCCCCACACACCCCTATGGGATGAGCTTCAACAAAGCCTGGAATAAAGGTAACGGTATAATGACCAAGGGAGATAGAGGTCTTTTCCCTAGCGAGGGCACAACGCGTACCAGCGATGCTTCGGTTGGTTGGCGGAGGTTGAATCCCAAGACGCTGTTTCCGACGGTCACTACTACCTGCAACCCCAGCGATGCAAGAATGGGTCCGGGGTTACATTGGGATGAACCACGGCCGTATACGGTGCACGAGATGCGCCGGGCCCAGGGGTATCTGGATGAGGAGGTGTTGGTGGGAAGGACGGCTGACCAGTGGAAGCTGGTTGGTAATTCCGTGTCTAGGCATATGGCGCTGGCGATTGGGTTGAAGTTTCGGGAGGCGTGGTTGGGGACGTTGTTTGATGAGGGTGCTGATTCCACTACTGTTGGCAGTGTTATTGTTGCTGCTACGGCTATGGCTTCGGCTACCAATGCTATGGCTTCGGCTACCAATGCTGTGGCTGTTGGGATCACGGTACCGGTTATGGAAGAGGCGGGGGGTTTCTCGGTTTCACACTCGACAAGGCCGTCGAGGTCGCCTGTCCTCACTGGTGTTGATGTCGACGACTCCAAGAGCAAGAGGGGCAGGAGTAGGAGTAGAAGTACTACGCCGGCTACGATGATTTCGACCTCTGAATCGGCCGCGGGTGGAACGGCGGGTGCAGCTGGTCTGGATGTGGATGATGACCATGACATTGAGATGATCGAGATGACGGAGGCGACGAGGAAGAGAAGTTCGCCTGGTGAGGAGGAGGGTGGGCGGCCTATTAAGGTGCAGAAAGTGGATGAAGATGACGCTGAAAGGAACGGGACTTCCAGACGGTCATCTAGGACAACCTCCAGACATCCATCAAGGCAAGCATCTGCACAACCACCCAAACAACCATCGCAACAGGCATCAAGGCAGCCATCCCAACAACCCTCCAGACAGTCATCCCGGCAAGCATCCAGACAATCCTCCAGGAAACCACCCCCCACGACTTACGAAGCTACTGCGCCGGAGGACCCCGCATCAGACGCCGAATCCTACCAGTCCTACCCAGAGACCTACGACATGGAGGGTTTCGATGGTGACTACAATGGTGGCTTTAATAACGAGGAACACGAGGATGATCATGATGACGAGGTCGGTGAAGAGGAATACGCAGAACCAGAAATGATTACGGTCAACGGCATGACGATTGTCAAGTTGTAGTGCGACGAGGTAGCGTCATATCCGGGACCGTGGGAGTCGTGGGTTTCTTGATGGTTTTTGTTGTCGTTTCTGTTGTGGTTTGTTGTTGGGGGTAGTGTGTTGTGGCGGGTGTGCCGACAGCCTGGGGATCGGGCGGTTACATATAAAAGCGTTGATGGGTAGAGCTTAGATGAGTATGGTATGATATGACATGGTATAGATGAGTATAGTATGGCATGGGAGAAGAGCATGTGCATGATGGTGTGTGTTGTTTTGGAAGCCATGGAAAAGCATGTGAATTGGAGTTTTAGACTTTTACAAAAAGTTCAAGTGGATTTGCATATTGTTACAGCGGCATTTTTTTCTAACATTTAAGTATGGTAGAGGTGAATTTTGGAGTCGTGATTTTTGGTTCATTTGTCTTTGTGCATCATGGTGGGCGTTGGTGCGGCATGGTAGACATGGCATGTTTGGTGTTCAGAAAGATTTGTTACCAGGCGCTCGCTGCTTCAAGCGAGAAACGCAAAGGAAAGAAGGAAGGAAGGAGGAACGGCTAACATGCCAGGGCTGGGTGCATGGCTTATGATGGCTTGCTTGGATATAAACCAGCATTATCATTCACCATCACACACATTTACAACAAAGATCTCTCAATGAGAGAAGATGCAATGTAAGCAATGCTGTGTGATTCACCGAAGCCGACTGCTGGACTAGGCCGGCAGTCTTATATTTCACCATCGGCGATGGAGGAGCGATAACATCCTCGCATTGCATGCGCCCAATGGGACCGAAAAAAACATAGCATCTGCATCAGGAATGAAGTGAGGATGGACGAATGAATTAATCAATGAGTGCCGGAGTAGAAGGTTTCAGTTCGAACACGACTTTTAAGTTTGAAGCCATTGGCAGAAACTTTTCGCACGATTGAAGAGAATCATTGCACTGCAGGGAAGCGGGATCCGACTGGCAATAACTATAAAAGAAAGAGCGACTAGGTAAAGATTGCTGGTTGCCAGAGATCATCTCCTTCGTCCTTCATTTCTTAAATACATTTTTTATATGAATACCTCAAACTACCTACGTTAATGTCATACATAGGTTGGTAGTTAAGCTGCTTGACGTGACTGACGTCTAGTCCTAATCCTGCTGCATCTTGATGATGACCTTGCCGACATGGCTTCCCGAGTACAGATAGTCGAACGCGGCGGGCGACTCGTCGAAGGCGAAGACTCTGTCGACCAGCGGGGCGAGGGAGACTTTCTTGTCTACCAAGAACTGAATCAAGCTGACGTAATCCTGTTTGGAGCCTACGGCGATACCCCTGTTGTGAATCAACCGTCAGTCAGTGGAACATTCTATCTAAACATTCGGGATGCGGAATAATAATAGAGCCCACTCACTTCAACTTTGCAAACTTGCTCATCAACGCCATCATAGCACTAGGCTGCCAATCACCACCGAAACCTTCCAAAAAGCCGACGAGGGACACGAGACCGCCGCGTTGGCGTAGGAAGCTGATATCTTGCGGGATAGACGCCGGGCCGGTGTTGTTGACGACAAAGTCGACGCCCTTGCCGTTGGTAAGGCGCTGGACTTCTGCGGCTTGGTCGGAAACGGTCCGGTAGTTAATGGTGCGGACTACATCGGGTCCGAGCTGGTTTCGAATGTCCTCGAGCTTCTTATCGGATGAAGACGTGATGATAGGTTGAATGCCCGCTGCGAGGCAGATTAGGAGGGCGAATAGGCTGACGCCTCCGGTGCCTATATGGATTATTTGGTTAGTTACTTTTCTGACATCCATATCATCATCTACTTTGTAGCAGAACGAACCTTGCAGAAGGGCACTTCTCGGTGCCGCCGCCTTGAGGCCGTCGAGCGCAGTCCAGGCCGTGACGCCAGCACAGGGGATCGTAGCTGCCTGTTGTATCAAAAGAGTTGATAATCATGTCAACAAAATGTCCTTCCTAATAACCATAAGGCAACATATATATCTAACTAACCTCTTCCCAAGACAAATGCCTAGGCAATTGCACCAGATACTTATCTTCGAAGACGGCATACTCAGCCAGAGTCCCGTCAACGTCGCCACCCAGCACCCTAGGCGGCTCATCATCACCGTCTTCGGGGCCCAGATTGTTGAGATCAAAAACAACGGAGACGTGGTCTCCAACGGTGAAATCCTTGACCGCGCTTCCGGTGGCGGCTACCTCGGCCGCTGCGTCCGAACAAGGAATACCGCGCTCAATCACATCAACGGGGTAGCGGCCGTGCAGCATGCCGACATCGCGGAAGTTGAGCGAGACGGCGTGGATTTTGAGGAGGACATCGTGCGGACCAAGCTCGTGCGGCAGATGCTCTGTCGAGGGAAGGATGGTGCGAGGTAAGTCGCCGGTGGTGCGCCTGAAGGCTTTGTATGTCGAGGGAATTGTCGTCGACATGGCGGAGTCGAAGTAAGTTCAATGGTGTGCCTGTGTGGTGTCGTATAGTGTATACAGTTCAAGTGTCGAGGGCATCGTTTGGGCAGGACATAATGAGGGCTATGTATACTTAACGATATGTAGATAACCCACACCTGACTGATTGATCATCATCGAGTCTTCAACATGGTCATGGTGTTATGATTACAAACTGGTAAAAAAGAGCTGCGGATAATGGAGACAATGCGGACGACGGACGTCATAATCGGGCAGAAATTTAAAAATTAAACTCGTAAAGCACTCGCGAGACTTTTCCTAGTGTCGCATGTGCTTCATTGAGATGGATGTGGATGGATTTGACTTGACTATGATCTCTCCGAGCTTACTAATTGTACATGCTCTCTCGTTGATGACGGGATCCATATGGGCAGAAAGTGGGGTCCTTGAATTCACTATGAACTGTCCATCCCCCAACCCATTCTCGCTGTGGTTCTCTTGTTCTTTCCTCGCCTTTTACCTGTGGGTGTGAGGTTGGCCTTTTCCATGTCAAGGATTTTACACGTGCCTGGGAAACAAAAACTCCCGATCGGACAGAACAATTTTGTATGGTAATCTCGAAGAAAAGTGTTACTGCCAGGACAAAACGCCCATATCACGACAAGATTCAATGCAAATTTTACGAAATTTTGGGAAGATTTTTTTTGGTGTAAAGATGCGTTCCAAGAAGTTTGATATCAAATTTCTATTGTTCGCCTTTTTGGACTTTGCAGTTGTAGTGGTTGTGGTCTTGTTGTCTTGAGCCTTGCACTAACACTTTTCCTAGGGCTTGCTCTACAAAACTGTTTATGCGGGGGTTTCGTGCTGTCCGGGAATTTCTTCCTCCCTTTCCTTTGCTGACCTTTTGCCCGAGCCTCGCGCTGAGACGGGTAGGTGTAAGTAAAATGACATTGACAAAAGGCCAACCTCACACCCACGGATAACCATATTCGTCTCCAAGTAGCCCAAGTTCAACAGCCTTCTATGATGAAAGAAGTCATTGCCTCTTTTCTCAACCAAGCCCATCAAGCAAGCATTCTGTGCTCCCCTTCACCTCACCTCAGCCTGGCCCAGCTGCCGTGGCGTTTTCCCGCCGTGATGTTGTAATTGCAAAAAGAGGCTCAAATCTCCCTCATCAAGCGCGCTGCAAGGCTCTCAAGAGCGGGTGTCCGTCCGGTGAGCAAGGTGAGCGGCAAGCACCCGAAAGCTCACGGCAAAGGTGAGTGTCGACGTTACATGCCCATCCGCCCACCACCAAGGACAAGGGAAAGGCCCAATGTAGGGGTTTTGTCCTCAATCCAAAAGAGCCTCAGGAACACCCCCGTCACCCGAGAACGATTGGCTCTGAATCGCGGGCGGCTGTAACCCGTTTTGGCGTTTCGAAGCTGTCCTGACCAATGAGGTTTGTGGAATGAGAGAGGTCGCTTATTTTGGGAAACAAAGGGGAGAGAACAACAAGGGGACGTCGTTCGTTCGTTTTAACCCCACTCACTTTCTTTTTTACCCCAGTGACGGCTAACCACCACCAGTTGCTCGCTGGTCCCCAGTTGAAGACAAAGAACGCTTGGTCACGAAGCGCCAGAAAGATGACCGACCGACTCGATACCCGGGCGACAGATGACAATGCCTTTGATATGGCCCTGGCAGCGCGGGAATGACTGGCATGGCACGTCCGGTGAGGAGAGGTGAATATCTCTCTACGTCAAACTGATGTGCCGAGTGGACATTTCCATACAACATACTGGCATCCAAGACCCATGAAGACTCACGGCCGGGGGTTTCGAATCGATGTCTAGACAATCTCTTCCATGCGGTACTACCTTTTCCCCATGTCCATGTCCATGTCCATGGCATGTCGGCTTCCGTCCACCTTTCAATCATTTATTCACGATGCTTGGCTGGCCTCGAAAGTTGGCCGCCGGCCATCCAGTGATTTCACGATGTCGCGAAGCGTCTGTTACCATACCAGTACCACACACCCCTGCCCTATTCCTCGGGGCCATCCAAAGAGATGATCACCAATGGAGCTTGAAGAGAATTTCATAGGGCGGCAGCGGCTTTCTCGAAAGAGGAATGGTGCGTCGGTCTTCGAGAGACGCGACATTACCTGTCATCGCAGACTTGCATCGAGGACCATGTGGTTTTTCTGGAGCTAGCTAGTAGCTAGTGACCAGTCCTCACTACCTGCCCAACGAACCATTTCGAGGGCGGCTTGGAGTTGGGCTACCGCCTGGGGATATCTTCTTCTCTGGTCTGGATTTCTCTTTCTCTCCCCTTCTCTTCTTCTTCCTTCTCCATCTTTTTCGTGATTTGTTCTGCTTCAACATCATCATCTTTTCTGTCTTTCCTTGACTCGTCATAATTCATCATCAGAGTTATTCTTTTCTTCTACACCGGCATTTTACTTCTTTCATCCATACTTTTCGAGTCTCCTTGTTGAAGCCTTTAAGCGCTTTCTACGCACATCCCAAGTTACATCTCGCGGCAAAGGGGAGTAACACAAAGAAAGTAGTTGATCTTCTTTCTCCAAGTTACCGCTTCCACGAGATCATCCATTCCTCGTCCACCTTACGCATTCACACAACCAAAACGGGGATCTTGGTCTTACCCGACTGGTCGGTCGATCAATTTAATTCTCTCACTTTCATACTTACCACCTGAAGTGGTTTCTCCTTTCCATCCTGTTGGCTAGGATACCTTACGCAACAATATACTCGACAGAGGATAAGCAAGCAATTGGAAATTGGATTCGGTTTTTTTCTTTTCTCTTCTCAATCCTTTCGCGGTTACGCCTGGTCTGAGACCATAGGTTACACGCCTACCCACTCGGGCATTACAACAACAACATCAATAACGGCAAACAAGATGAGACCTATCTCAACAATAAGACTCGGTCTCGTCGCCGGCCTCTTGACAACTGCTGCTGAGGCTGGTCCTCTCAGGAGTCGTGAAGTACGGAGGCAGGCGGCGTGGAAGAGGCACGATGGGGAGGACCACTCTACGGCGCCAGCAGGGACAGGAGGAGTAGGCGGTGATGGATCAACAACGATTGTGGTGTCTTACACGGTACCAGGGTTTAACACGGCGCCGATGCCAGGGTTTATTGGAATCACGACGGAGTTCCCGAGTGACTTTGGAAAGTCTTCGACATCGACGGGGGCGGCTGCGGCTAGCAGTGATCCTGCTCTGATGCCCGGGGGAGCGTTCGTGACAGTGTCTGGATCCGCTAGCTCATCGTCAGCGGCAGCAACATCATCCGCCCCGGCTATCACCAGCAACATCCTCAACAACCTCCCAACCGCCGTCACCGGCGCCCTCCCCTCCGCCACCACCACCGTCTCCCCCGAGATCTACGCCAAGAACCTCGCCGACGCTCGCCGCTACAACGAGCAGTTCTCCGGCCTCACCAAGGACACCACCTGCATCTCTGGTCAGGCTGCGTGCGTGGAGGGTGGTCGTGCCTACTGCAACGCCCAGGGCAAGTTCAACGTTGCAAAGTGCGCCGACAGTGGCAAGAAGTGCTTCGTCATGCCCATGACTACCGTCCAGGGTGTGGTGATTGATTGCTACGAGCCGGATGAGGCGGCCAAGGTTTTGGCGCCTCTTGCTGCTCCTATTGGTGGTGAAAATGGAGGTGGAGGAAGCGAGACTGAGGTTACGTCAACTATCCTGGTTACGAAGAGTGCTGGTACGGTTACTATGACGGTGCCTGCCTCCTCCGGAGCGATTAGTAGCAGCAGTGCTGGTGCTGGTGCTGGTTCAGAGGTGATCGTTACGAGCACGGTCCAAGTTACGGAGTCTGCCGGCACGGTAACCATGACGGTACCAGCCTCCTCCGGAGCGGTCGGCAGCAGCAGTTCACTGTCGGAGGTGACCATCACGTCTACCGCCCAGGTTACTCAGAGCGCGGGCCCGGTGACGGTCACTGTTACCGTTGTTGCTCCTCCTCCCGCATCGTCGAGTGCGGTTGCTGTTGAACCTATCACCACTTCTGCTACGTCCTCGTCGGTCATTGTCTCCCTACCACCCACAACGAGTTCAACCACTGCGTCCTCGTCAAGCGTCATCGCGGTTCAACCTCCCGTCTCTTTGTCCGCTCCGGTCTCCTCGTCTTTGGCATCGGCAAGCCTACCTCCCGCAACCACTACTGACAGCAGGACATTCATCACGGTGACTGCTGTTGTTACGGATGGCGGGAGCACTTATCCGATTACCTTCACCATGGATCCCAGCTCGGCTCATCCTACGGTTGTATCGTCTGTGTCTGTGTCTTCTTCAGCATCATCTACTTCTCTTGCGTTATCTTCCGCCAGCAGCATCGAGCTTGTCTCAAGCAGCATTCCTTCGTCGACCAGCATTGTTGCGGACATCACTAGCAGCAGTAAGTTAACCCCTTCTACCACATCCAAATCCTTCTCGACCCAATTACTCTCGACATCCTCGTTCCATGACGTTCCTAACCAAATCACTTCAGTCTCAGTCTCAGTCCCATCGTCGGCCCCTGCTTCAGTTACCACCAGCAGCGCACTCATCACCACGAGCAGCGCCCCCGCTATCACTTCCAGCATCAGCGAGCCAATCACCACCAGCGCCCCGGTTGCTTCCAGCACCACAAGCGACGACGACCCCCTCGAAATCATCCCCGTTACCGACGGCCTGACAGACCTGGTCTCTTATGGCAATCCTGTTGAGCCTACAGAAGTTCCCACTGTCAACGTCAAGAATATCAAACTCGCTGCCGGTCCTGCCGCCGCCGAGATCACTTCCGCTCCTTCTGCTTCTGCTGCCACCGCCGCTGCTGCTGCAGATGACAGCGAAGAAGCGAAATACTGGGCTACAGTCGACCGCATCTTCAAGCCTGCCAAGTACGCTAACCACGACACATTGAACGGGAATAACGTCAAGTTGGCGGCAGCAGCAGCTGCTGCCCCTTCCGAATCAGCAGTGACCGTTTCCGTCTCTGTCACCGTCACCGAGACGCAGACAGCCACGGCCACAGCCACAGAGTCCAAATTTCAGACAGTCACTGCTACCATTATGGGCGAGCCTGTCAAGGAGACTACTACGGTCACGGCGACAGAAACAAAGAAAGAGACGGTTACCGAGACCAAGAAGGAAACGGTCAGAGTGACGGATACGTTGATTCACAATGAGACTGCTACTGTCACAGAGACGCAGACGCAGACGGTCAAGGAGACGGTGACGGTGGATGGACGACCGGCGATCGCTACCGCTGCGTGAGTCTAAAGAACGAGATTAGGGCAAGGGGGAGGAGTTTTGCTAGTTATCTACCATAGTGAAGGAGGGGCCTTGCACAGGTTGGCTGGCCCGTGGATTTTAATCTGGCTATGTCTTTTTTGAAACAAAATTTCTTTTGTAAATACCTATACATATATCTAGCGCTTTTGGAACTGGAAGCGGAAAGGGAGGAAAGGTTTGATACCATTGAGGAGGAAACAGTCCTTTTTTTTTTCTTTTTTTTTTTTGCATTTATCAGCCGGTTATATATATCAGACATACTGAATTCGCGAACTATCAGATGTGTTCTTGTTGTGAATGTAAAGTATGTGGTGGCATCTACACATCCACCTATTCATCGTTTTTCCCTCTTGCCTCGTTTTGTTTCTCCCTCTTGCCTCGTTCTTCCTTTCTAGGTCTTTCCCTTTTCCCCCTGCCGTAGGCCAATCTCACACGCACGGGTATGCTTTGTGGACTAAGCTAGGGTTAAAGCCAGTCCAATGGGCAAGATGCTGTATAGAGGTACCTTTAGGTATGCCTACTTACTGATGCTGTGTACGTTAGAATTGGACGAGTTCAAGCCACCATATTCTATATTCAATAATGGTTCTATATCGTCCTCGCGCTGAATGACTCCCGAATAAAAGATATGCCATGCCCTGGCGATCGTAGCTCATCTCTTCATTACCCCCGTCCAGTCCAATACCGTCCCATAGTAACCGTGCAACATCTCACAGCACTACTACCTCCTTCTCCTAAACCGACTATTATGAGCCGGTCCGCCCTTCGCCCCGTTATTTTTCAACTTCAACCTCTTGAAGTTCGCATTCGCCGTAGCCTTCACCATGCGCGGCTTCTTTGTTGTAGCTGGCTTTTCGTCATCGGCGGCATCCTCTTTCATTCCCTTCTTGTTGTCCTTCTTCTTGGTCGCTTCCTTCTTTTCTTTTGCTGATGGTGGTGCCTTCTTCTTTGCAGCCCTTGCCGCCTTTGCAGTACTCGCTTCTGCTTCGTCATCTTCTTCGCCATCTGACCCATCAAACTCTGACCCTGACCCTGACCCGGACAACAACGGATCCACGTCGTGACTATCATCTCCAGCCATATTCTTGGTCGCATCGAATTGTGTCTCCGGTATCATGTCGTCACCATCCTCTTCTTCGCTGTCATCGTCTCCCTCAGCAACCGGCGCACTAGGTCGTTTCGTCCTTGTCGGTCGCATGTTGACCTTCCGTGTCGTCCTCTTCTGTCCCTTCTTCTTGAACACCCTCAGTGGCTGCCCATTGCGATCCAATCCCTCCTTGCTCAGGTCTCCGTCATCTTGGCTGTCGTAAACATTCTCATCGTCGAATCCGCTTAGTAGGACTGGTCGCTGCTGCCGCTCCTTCTTCCTCTTCGATGATGGTGATTCAAGGAAGCTAGCTTCGACTTCGATGAGAGCTGCTTCGTCGTCTTCGAAATCGTTTGCTTCGTCTGGTTCTGCTTCTGGTTCCGCTGGCTCTGCTGGTCCTGTTTGCTTCTTCTTCCGGTCTTCACTTGTCGACGTGAGCGTCTTCTTCGGTGGTGGAGGAGCCATGTCACCGTGTTCCATTGCTTCCATCTCCCTTAACATATCCAGCTCCTCATCCAGCTTCTCTTCCTCCATTTTCCGTAGACTGGCTACCACGCTGCTCAATCCCCTGCCCTTCGCTATGCTGAACGGTTTTCGTGGTAGCTTCAAGGGCTCGATGTCCAACCACTCGCCATTCTCGTCCACGGGTGGCAGCGGCGCTGATGTACGACGCAAGAAAGCGGGTGTGGCGAAGTGTAGCTTGGACGCAGAGCGCTCGCCGGACGGCGTCTTGCCGAGAGCGTTTTTCGAGGGTGAGTTGTTCGCATTGTTCTTGCTTAGTGGTGTGGATGTTGTGTTGGTAGCGCGAACTCCAAGGAAGCTGTCGAGCAGATTGCGGTTGCGGCCAGAGGATGGGGTTCGGTCGAGGTTACGGTGCCGTGGGATGCTGGGGGTTATGAATTCCTTGTCGTCCTTCTCGTCATCGTCGTTATCGTTCTCGGGGTCAAGGGCGTGGCGACGTTTACTTGGTGTAGCCGTGAATCCGGGCCCTCGTGATCTGTCTTCATGTGTTGACTTGGATGGAGTGTGGGATATGAGGTCGAAGAGACCGAGAACACGGCCGTCTTTTTGGGGTGTAGGGCCAATCGATGATGGGACGACAGGGCTGAAGAGTTTCCGTGCAACCTCTGGGGTGATAGCTTCATCATCGACGGCAGAGTAGTGTTGTGATTTGGGGGTGGCGACAGACTTGGTACGCTTGGAGGGAGTTGAGGCAGATGGTAGAGATGTCTCTGCTTGCTTGCGCTTGCGTTGGCTCGGGTCTTGGTTGTCACTTTTGGTGGGAGGAGGAGGGATCTTTCCGGAGAGTATGTCGCGGAGTTTGCTGTACTGCTTGTATTTCTGGGCTGTTTCGAGATCAATTGTTAGCAAGTCTGAAGAAGATCAGTAAAGGGAAGCATACCAATATCCGGATTCTGTTTGATAACTTCGCGGGGCGGCTTCTTGCCGTCGTGGTTCTGGGCGTATTCCCCCTCGAATTGCTTGAGTTCTGCACGTAACTGTAGACTTTGGCTTTCATATTCGGCCTTTCGTTGTTCGTCCATTATGACGTTACTCTTGGTTCGACGAGAAAGAGCAATTCTGGACGCTGGGTGGAAAAAGGTCAGTCTTCTCAAAAAGTTGAAAAGCCGACAACAACTGAAATCGGAAATCAATTAAAGATACAGACAGAAAGCGCGTCTCAGTGAATGGGAGGACGCGACCTTTCCCTTTCATTGACGTTTCGCCCTTACGTTTCCGTACGTTACACCCCACCCAATCAGCACAAACAGTGGGGCATCCGTTCATCAGAACCCACTGACGGCAGGGGCTTCCGTCCCAACGATCCGCTAAAAATGTGTCGAACATGTGCAAGCAGCTGCACTGTATTACATCAGCACTTTGGGCACGTAAACAACTGAACTCTAACAGCCGCCACTTTTGCCCTTCAACAACATACTCCCCGCCACGACAACATCTACTCTCAGGGCCCAACCATATGGAAGCAAACGACGAGACTCTCGACATCCAAGCCCAAGTTCTGCAGACAACCCTCCAGGAGATCACTGCAACGCGACGGGCGAGTGCCGCCAGTGAGAAAGATGGCGACGGCGAGAACGACGAGGTAGCGGCGGCAGACGACTGCTGTGTCATCTGTCTGGATTCGATATCAGAAGCTTGCACTGCTATGCCGTGCGGGCATTCATATTTTGACTTTGTATGTCTTGTGAGCTGGTATGTTTTTAGTACCCAGTTGCCATATGCTTCGCTGAGCTAACAAGGGAAAACATAGGCTTCAAGAACACCCAAACTGCCCACTATGCAAGGCCGCCATCTACAAGGTCCGATACGTCGACTCGGCCTCGAATGAGAACTTTTACCGAGTACCTAATGCCCCGAGGCCGCGGAATAAGGACCAAAACAGAGGGGACGGGGCCCAATCGGGAAACCCTGCACTATCAAACCTCCTTCGGCAGCGACGTAACGAACAGCGCCGAAGACGAGATCACGACTCTAACACGCATAGCACACCCACCCCAGGTGAAGCTATCGAACGCCGCCGACACATATACCGGCACCAGCTATACTCTTTACACGTCGGCTCAAACCGCATTTCCGGATACAAACCAACACCAACGCCTGAGCAGTTCGCCACTACACCACACTTAATAACCCGTGCCCGTCTCTGGATACGACGCGAACTACAAGTTTTTGCCTTCCTCTCCGACCCCGAGCCCGCTGCTGGCCCCAGTAGCGGTGCGAGTAGCGCCTCCGAACGCGAAGTTGCCCGCCGTCGAAATAACGCCGAATTCCTCCTCGAGTATATCATAGCCATTCTGAAAACGGTCGACATACAAGGCAGCGCTGGCCAAGCAGAAGATATGTTAGCTGACTTCCTGGGACGAGATCATGCACGCTTATTTCTGCATGAACTGAGGAGCTGGCTGAGAAGTCCGGCGCACTCGCTGGTGGCATGGGATAAGGAGGTGAAATATCCTACAGTTTCAAGCGCTGAGGAAACCAGTAGGAAACGGAAGGCGCAAGAGTCCTTGGACGTAGAGGATGAGGAGCATGATGAAATGAGGTGGCTTGCCTCTAGATCTGAAAGGAGTCAGACGTCAAGAATGCTGGTACGCGACAATGACCGTCGGCAATTGGGCCATGAAAGGATATGGAGGCGAAGAAACTTCGAAGGACATCCTTGGGGGGACGGACACCCGGAAAGCGACCGCCAACGGCCAGGTTGACATACAGTGGTGCCGGCCACTTGGGTCAGAAGCTACCAATGGAACCGCATGTGCCGTATCGGGAGGCTTAAGAGCAACCGTTGGAAAGCGATCTCAAGTCCCCTTGCTCCTTGAAAAACAAGCTTCTCGGATACCCCGACGGTTGGGATATGCTTCAAGTCATTTCAGGCACTACGCCGCCCGACAGCATCGATCAGATTCAACCCATAGGGCTGGATTTCAGTTATCGAAAAGCTGTGGCCAGAAATATCCCGAATCACATGGCTCTGAGTAAGCGACCAACATGTGGCGGCGTTGCATGCATAGTGGTTTATGAAGAGGGTGTGAAACGGCATTCAGATGGGCCAGCAATTGTGAATTTGCCGCAATGCTGAATCGGTTCAACCACAGCATAACAATGGCTAACTTCGAACAAGGCCGTGAGAGTGTGTATCGACGATTCTCTCACCTACCGAACTCCTCGGAAGATGCTGCTTGGGCGTTTAAGGTATTGACTATTGGGAATTGATGAGGGTAGCCCAGACTGGAATCTCTGCCAGTGAGACTGTGACATCTCCTCGAGAAGGGTGTCTTCAAGGACAACAAGGATAGACCGTATCGGCTATCACGACTTGTCTAGACATCCCGCCTTTTCACGCCTAAGACACAAAAAGTCCAAGTACCACCCGGTGCGCTTTCGACTCGAGTGTACCTCAAAAACCGGTCACACCGTCTTGATGCACCTCCATCGTTTTAAAATCCTCAGCTTGTCCCGAAGGAGAATGTATCAGGACTCCCGAACCCCCATCATGCGTATCTCCATTCTCCTGCATATTTCACCAGCTAGAGCCGCAGGCTCTGGGAGATTAAAGTAACGGACAAGAACAGAGACTAAGGCAAGTCATCGGACAATAAATGCCGAGTCCAAAAGTCTTCAAGCCTGATGATTGGGGAATTGTCAAGATGGCTTGTGATGCCCGTCAGCACACTGTCGCATTGCAGAGTGATGTCTTGTTCTTCTGGGCAATGGTTCTGGCCAGCTGAACACTAACAGCTTTGTAAGAGAAATGCTGCAGCTTCTGTTAGTGAAGCACGCCAACTTCACGATTCCCAGCCTTCCGAAGACAGACCCAATTTTTGCATCTCGATATCTTTTCTACTTCCACGTTCATTTATCCATCCCGTCCATCCATCCCAAATCATATTGTGTCTCTTGCCTAGGACGCCAACGGCAATTTTCATTTGGTGCTCCAATAGAGCCCGTCGTACCTCGCTTGTCAAAAGCCTCTTTTCAATATGGGCGTCCCGAAAGTGTGTGAGAATTGAGAATCGATGAGAGGTGTTGTTCCCGCTTCTCTCAGACATGAAGTTTCTCTATAGCCCCTACACCCTCAACCTTTTGAATCTTCACGCAACTGTTTACAGATCCTCGTCTGTTTAATCCCCAGACATATTTCCTGATCTCCACACTTCCGGATTGCAACCCTAGCTTCGCCTAGCCTACGCTATAATCCTAGAAATCCTTCTAAGAGGCTAGAACAAGCCTTGCAGCCCCCTGTTCACCATCAGGAAATGAAACCCGCATTTCCTCTTTACTGCTGACACTCCCATTCTTTCATTCATCCATCCAAAACAACAAAAGCGAACAAGCAATGATCTGCTTCTTCCCGTCCCGAATTCCAGGGTCCTTTTAAGCTTCTTCCATGAACTACAACTGGTGATGCGAAGAAACCATATCGACAGCCGGCGAACACGACGACAGCACTGGGGAAGTCGAACGTCTCCCCCTCCTCGCACTTCGGAGCACTAAATCATGCCCCCATTCCGGCTTCTGGGTTCCGGTTGAGAGAGAGCAAGCAATCTTTGAGACCATTTGAGATTGAAGTGCTCCACTTCTCCCCTCATACGGTCAATCGTTCAATAAGATACCAAGGATCCTCATTTCATCTTGGCGGACTGCCTATCCTTATCGTCCGTTCGAAGGTTTTCGTGTGCAGCTATTCGGAGTCGCTAGGGGTTGAGGTTGTGGTTGAGATCCCCCCTTTCAATATCGGCCCGGATTCACGAGCGGCTCACATCAACCTTAAGCTCGGGTGTGCGACTGCAATTGCGACTGGGACGGTGAGTGCGCTTCCCCTCCTTACTCTTCGCTCTTTTAGGGGTGAAGCTTTGTCAGTGGCCTGTGTTTTCGGTCGAGAAGTCGGAAGGAAACGAAACGGAAACATGATTCCCACCCGGATCGTCGCTACGCCCTTCTCCGCCTCCGTCTCCATCATCGCCGTCATCTTCCGACTTACCTGGTACCTCATCCTGGTAACCCTCTTCTATTCAACAGGTGTCACCTCCGCTAGCATCACTGCCGTCCGCCGCGGCTCGTCCAACGACAATGATGGCGTCTTCCAGGCCGGCATCGCGCGGAGTTTAGCCCTCTCTTCCCTCATCAACACCAAACCATCAGTACAAAAGCGAAGCGCTACCGAACACGTCATCCTCTGCGACTGCCTCTCGGCCTCCGGGATCCGGTCGTCGCAAATGGCATACTACAGCGCCGACGTCCAGGGATCACCGACGGGGGGCGTGGGGATCGTCGATACCGAGTTAAACACGACAGCAACCTGGTACAACGCCACGACATCAGCGACGTGGGCCGACACAGGCGTGACGTTCAAAGCCGTGATCGGGTACCATGTCGCTGAGGACGATTACGTGGGAAAGGGGAATAATGGATATGGAGACTTTAGGTGTTGGCAGAGAGCCAGGACGGGGTTTGCGTATGACTTGAAGGGGAATGGGAATGTGTGTGAGATGAAGATTGATTGTAATAAGGCTGTTGCGCCTTGTAAGTGTTTTTTTTTTTTTTTTTTCCATTTCTTTCGTGCACTTTTCCATGGTTTTGTCCATGAGCACTCTCTCGTGAGTGCGATAAATTGAGAACGAAAAATTGAAGCGGAACACAACACATAAGAGGGAGATTTGCTAACGCAAGATGAAAAATAGCCACCGACCCAGCCTATGTCCCCTTGGAATCAACCACTACATTGACCAGCGACGACGGCCAATCACCAGCTTCAGCCGGCAACACTCCTGCTCCCACTTCCACCAACTCGGCAGAAAACGCACAGCAACCAGGCCTCGAGAACAAAGACAAAGACAAAGTAATCTCCACTGGAGCCGTAATCGGCATCGCCATGGGCATAGTCGTAGCCTTTACTTTTCTCGCCGGCGGGGCAGGGTTCTTTTTTGCACGACGACGGCGTCTCAGGAAACAGCGAGAACAACAACGCCGAAAAGAAGCCCGAGCGGACTCGACCATCACGGAGTCACACTCCCCCGGTTCGGATCTCGCCAAGAGTCCGAGCGCCGTTTATGAGCTGGATGGGGAATGGTCCCGACACGAGATGGGCGACGATACGGGCCACTATGAGATCGACGGGCAGGTGCGGTGCGAGATGGACGGGGTGGATGGGGAGATTAAGGAGAAGATGGATGATGATTTGTTTGCTGATGCGGCGGATGCGAAGCAAATCATTTTGTGTTTGGATGAGAAAAAAGATTCGAAAATGATTATTGATGAGAAGAAGAAGGAAAAGGGGGAGAAGGTGCGCGTCAGTGAGAAGGAAATGGAGGCAAGGAGGGATAAAGAGGAGCGGGAGCGAGAGCGAGAGCGGCAACAACAGGAACAACAGCAGGAACAACAACAGCAACAACAGCAACAGTTGGAGAAGGAACAGAAGACAACCAAAAACGCTGGCGACGACCTACCGATGGTCTCGCCAATATCACCCCTCTCACCACCGGCGTGGACAGAGGAAGGAGTAGGGCAAACACCGTTTTGCTTACCGGCCATCATGCCGGAGCCGGAGAAGTTTATAGCGGAGGAATTCAGAGCACACAACAAGGAGATGGCGAAGAGAGAGAAGGAAGGGGTGAATCTCAAGTTCCGGTTTGAGGAAGAAACGCAGAAGTATATAAAGGTCGACATACCGTCGGCAAGTGGGAAGGATGCGGGCGGCCCATAGGGGGAATAGCAGCGGCTAGGGAAGGGAAGAGAAGAAGAAGGATGGACCTCAAGTACAATCAGCGGGAAGGAGGGAGGGTTGGTAGGCGGGCTAAACGAAGCTTATGATTTACGACGTTAATATACCCAACGAGCCGATTTGTGAACATGTCCTTTAACGCTCGTGCTTTTGCCTCGTGAATGCTTGGTACGCTATAGAAGGAAAAGAGGGTAAAAAGAGAGAGCGGGAAAAAGGGCAAAAAAGATATTTACTTACTTTCGCTAGGAAACCGCTTGGAAAAACGTAAAACCCGCTTGGGATAGATGTGTTCGCTTGGGGGGATGTTCCGCTGTAGATTTTCGCTGATAAGTGTTTCGCTAGATGTTTCGCTTTTTCGCTTGATATTTTTCCTGATATTTTTATTTTTTATTTTTTTTTGCGCTGGGGATAAGTATACTCGCTATGGTACGCTATGGTGAATGAGCCCACCATGGGAGAGTGCCCAGAACTTGTCCAGACAGCCCTCCCATAGATTGTATTGGTCGAAAAGTTCGCACCTCGATGTGAATCGAGCACGTGCACTTTTGGAGTTTCTTGGAAGCAACGCTGGGACCGCTCTGCTACAAGACCAGGGTGTCCCTGCGTTTGTTGTTACTGACTTAACTGAACGCTAAAGCTATAAAGGCATAGTTAACCCCAAATTTCCCCGCACGAAACTTTGGTAGGACGGATGAAAGCTGGAGGTCCTGCCCACCGAACATCGATTGCCTGTTATATCGCATCTTGTCGATGAAATCAACTGTCGGTGAGTCTGATAGACGGACGGGAATAACTTCGGGTTCAAAGATAAGAGGGGTCGGGGTCGGGGTCGGGGTCGAATTCCATGTGCCGCAATGCCACTATCGCAAGCTGTGGCTGACTGAGTTATGAGAGGCAGTGCAGTCCGTAAGACAGCCTAGGTAGTTCGCCTAGATACGTAGATACGATGGGGCGTGATAAAACGAAGGCGTGCGTGACCGGAGCGTCGTCCGCATTGAACAAGGATGAAACGGACTGGCCGATGTGCCATGGACGATCGCAAACGCTGGGCGAAGCATGTAAGAGAAAAAAGAGAAAAGAGAGCTGATTGAATCGTCAACAAAAAACGGGTGTCAAACAGGAACAAGGGCGGGACAGCGGAACAGCGCCGAGCCAGCGCCGAGCCAAGACGGCCCCACAAAGCCGAAGACGCTGTGGAATAGATTTTCTTGGCGCCGGTTGAGCGAGGAAACGAATTGGACGAGATGAAGGATCCCATGTTCAATGCTGCTGTCGCGATGCCGAGCATCCGTGAACCCTTGAAAGCTTGGGTGTGCAAAAGAGAGCATGTGACGTCACCACATTTTCGAGAAACTCGTCACTCTTGAGAGCGTTGGGGTCATTTGAACAAAACTGAAGTGGTTTTGAGTCATGGAGATGGTTGGGCTGTTGGTCATGTATCCAATGTTGCAATGAAGAGAAAAAAAGGCACCTCAAAGTTTGGTTAAGGCCGGCCAAAATGCCGATGGAATCCAAGGAAAGAGGGAAAGATAAAGGCTGGTTGCGTAGTGTACTTGGATGTCACGGGCAGGGGAAGGAGCTGAGCTTCTCACTGCCTGGCTGGGCTGTGAACCGCCGAACCGAGCGACGAACGGCAGGCGCAGCGGGGTGGGTATCTGCCCTGCTGATCCTCCCTTTCGTCTCCATCCGTTCAAGTCTTCATTTTTTGGATTTCCATATCTGGTGTGCCGTCAGCCGGCTAATACCATAGCAGTTCTTGGATATCTACCTTATATACCCCTTCATCCCGGAACCGGTAACTGTTCTACAACTCCCTCGACTTCTTGCTCGTCTTTTGCCCCCAAGATTCAACAACCAGCTCGGAAGCGCGAATCGAAAAAGAAAAGTCAAACATTTTTGAACCTGAATTGTGGTGGTAGAATAACATGCGATTGGTCAACCAAGCGAGCACAACAGAATACTCATCCCTACGACGACTGGAGCAGGCTGGTTGGACTTGGTGATCTTCCCGAACACGAACTGCAAACATGGCTCCTCCATCTGCTGCAGAGCACTACCTTGAGCAACCCACATATGATGATCCTCCCGAGAATGGTTCACACGAGAAAGGCCAGGACAAGTCCGAAGAACACCACGATAACCCTCCAGGTGGATTTGACCCAACTCCACTCCCCGACGCCCCTCCCGGATATACCATCAAAATCACATTCCATAAAGCCATCAACCTCCCCGTAGCCGATATCCAAACAGTATCTGCCGACCCATACATACACGCCACATTGACTGCCGATGTCCCCAAGCGACACCCGGAGGAACCCCCTCTCACACGAAGGACACGAACCATACATAAGAGTCTCGAGCCGGTATGGGAGGAAGACTGGATTGTTGCCAACGTGCCAGCTACAGGATTCAAGTTGAAGTGCCGCCTATACGACGAGGATTGGCCGGATCATGATGACCGACTGGGGAACGTTACCATTGAGGTAGATCACCTAGACGAAGACTGGCCGGGATTCGGACTGGATGGCCAGTTCTTCGAGGTTAAGAAGCGTTCGGGCAGCAAACGCGCATACTTCCACAAGGGCATCGAGGCTCTCATGCATGGACTGAAATGGAAATCACCTCAGATACACATCAGCGTCAATTGTTCTAAGCGTCTCGGATCCCCCTCACGCTCAGATGTGCACTCTGGGTCCTACCTACTGGGTCAAGCACTTCAGTCCCATGATCGGGCGGCTGACCGGTGTAACGGCCGGTAGTGAGGGGACAGACCTTGATGACAACAGCAAGATGCCACAGAAATACGAGTGCGTGGTCATCCCCTTGGAACCTGAAGTATGATGCATTTACTGACGGAAGAACAGTTTTCAAGCCAACGAAATCCAACTTGCTGGGCCAGTCCCCCCCAGATTATACCACCGATTTGTCGAGTTCCGTCCCATCATCGGCAAGATGTTTTCGCAAAAGGGTTTCAGGGGCCACATCCTCAACAAAGTTCTTCACAAGCAACATAGACGAATCTACAACTACGACTCTAGTACCGAATTCGGGATCTTTGCAGAATGCAGCAGAGATGCCTCCCTACAGTTTCTCAGGATGGCGCACTACGCGGAAGGAGGTCGCATCTTCACCTACGTGCTCACGTTGGACGGCTTGCTGCGCTTCACCGAGACGGGCAAGGAATTCGGTATCGATCTCCTGAGCAAGCACACCATGCACTCGGACGTAGCGACTTACATTGCTTGCTCGGGAGAGTTTTTCATCCGACGCATCATCAAGCGCCACAAGCCCCATCACACGCACACAGGCTCCTCAAGCCACCATCACTATGATCCGCAAAGCCCTAGTGGTTATGATTACACGTGCGACAACGGTCTCAGTTACGAGACGCACGATCACCCAGGCACATCCGAGTCCTCTCGCGACCCAGAAGACTACGAGCTCATCATCGACAATGACAGCGGCACCTACCGACCAGACAAGTGCGTCCTGCCCGATCTGCAGGCGTTCCTTCAGCGGCAGTTCCCAGGTCTGCATATCCGGGCCCTGGACTGCGGCGATGAGGAGCACCAAAAGGCCAAGAAGGAGCAGCTGGAGATCAAGAAGAAAGAGGGTACCAAGGTCCGCATGGTGCTGAACCGCAGCCCGAGCTCGAGCAGCTTCAGCTCGGACGACGAAAGTCGTCTGGAAGACCTCGATGAGATGGATGATGATGCGCCGAGGTATAAGAGTAAGAAGGAGAGGGCGTTCGATATGGTGGAGGATCCGAGCAAGTGGAGGGATTGGGTGCCGGGTATGCATGGCAATGGGAGTGGGAGCGGGCACCACGCGGAGGGGAGTGGGAGTGGGAGTGGGCATTATGATGGGAATGGTCAAACAAGCGGAATGACCAGGACGGTTTAGGGATCTGTCTCGGCTGTTTTTCGCAAGTGATACCATGGTATGAGAAGTATGAGTTTGGAGCGATGATGGATCATGACTAGTGACGAGTATTGATGGAATGGATTCGACGAAGTAGTGGTTTTGTGTTTGGATACAGTACCATGGGCGTTTATAGGCTTTGGAGCACGGCGGGCTCGTTGCGTTATGATATACCACCAAAGAACAACATTGACCATTCCGAAGTGTTAGTTCATAATTCGTACAACGTCACGTTCGATCACATGAAAGCCAGCCATAAGGCGAAACAGTACATACAGTACCTTACCCAATGGGTTCGTCTACAATGACTCCCTGACCATCTCCATTCCATACGGCGGCCCCATACAGTGGGTCTCCTCAACTGCAATGAACGGAGATGATGATGCTGAGGAAACACCCCAATCTTCTGTAGCAACCGCACAGAATGATTGCAGTCATTTCCATCTTATCTCACTGCAGGTCACGAGGGTGGTCAATCGTAGTAGTATCTACCGTAGATATGAAAATGATTGTCGCTGAATACCTAGTAACCACAATTCGGTGTACATACTTCTACGACCTCCTTGGAGGCTACCGTATGGGGGCAGGAGTACAGGACCCGTACCGGTATCTTACAGCATCTTCGTACCGGTATCGTTTCGTCATACAATTACAGACCGTAGCAGCCCCAGCGACTTGACCTGGAAGACGAATGTCCTGCAGAGAACACTCACCAGAAGAAGCCCAGAAGCCGCCATGGAAGCTGGAAATGGCCCGAAGCGACACCACACAGTGAGTTTCAGTGCTCCACGGCCACGGGGGACCTGAAGTCAGGGCAATCACCATGCGTTCCATCGCCGAAGTCATGCAGCTGAATGGCGGGAGCTGAATGCATGCAGGGCAGGGTGGTCCCGGGCCGCAGATGGCCATCCACCCATGCTTCCGCGTTGTTTTTGATTGATGTCGGTCCAGGTAGACAAGGTTGGCAAAAAGTAGGGTCTACTGTGTAAACCGGCCTGTTGGAATGCTCAAGTGATGGAATGGGAGGTGATAGGCAGCTTGGACATGTTGAGGCTTCCAATGGCAATGAATAGGAAGGATGATGGGGGTACAGACGGTCATTTGCTAGTGGTGGGCGAGTCGGGTGTGGGCTGCACTAACGGGGAAAGAGCCCCAATTTATTGTTGCGTGTAGAAGAAAGGAAGTCAGGGGCATGTCTAGTAACCAACTTCTTCCATGCGATTATGACGAAATGAAGGATGGATAGTTTACGTCAACAGTTCCAATGTTAGAAAGACGCGACAAGTTCCGCGCGTCTTTTGGTTTGAGAATGTGAAAGGTTAAAAAAAATATTTCAACCAGTGGTAAAGAGATTGTAGGTAGTAAGAAGAGTTAGTCTACTAGCACCTACAGTACCTATTTACCTAACCACTACCTAACAGAAGAACGCCGGGCATGTGCTATCCCCCGTGGTAGATAAGGTGCCCCACAAGGTTAGCGAAACGGTCCATCCTTCTTCTCCTGATTTCCTAGCGCTCCCTGGTATGACACCTTGCTCTGCACGGCGTCTCCCGTAATTTTACATTTGACCGTGCCATTCCACTTGGACTTTCTTCTTGGCGACACTTTGAACAAGCTCCCATCCATCCGCCCTCGGTCCCGTCGAATCTGTTTCAAATTGTCCAGACCCTTGGAATTTCTTCGTTAACGACAGTTCTGTTGTTCTCCTCCTTGGTTTCTTTAGAGGCAGAGCTACCTACACCGTAATACCTCTTCTGTCTGGTCTCTACCCTCTCCGGGCTATTATCCATTACCCTTCTAGCCGTGAGACAAGTAACAGTGGAAAGAAGAGCTGCTGGGGATCGACAACCAAGCCTTACAACAACACCTGGGCAATTACACAATTACACGCCTACTTCGATCCTAATCCCAATTCCACTTCCAAATTCCACCCGAACGTTACCCCTTGTCGGCCCCGGCGCCAGTCCGACCGCCGTTAACGAGACGAGACGAGACGAGCGAGGCTTCCACTTCCCACGCGACCAAGCAAGAGACTCTCTCCCCGAGTCCCGTCCCGACTACACTACATACATACATACTACATACCTTATCCTAGGTAGCTTTGAGGTGGTACTACCTACCGCGACAAGAAAAAAGAGACAGTCCCGAACGTCGCAATTCTCCGAAAACCCGACCGACCGCTCCAACGAACAGAAAGAATCCCCATCTGATCATCCATGTTTGCATCCACGACGACAACAGTGCCATCCTGCTACTACAACCACAAAGACGCTCTTTTTGCCCACCAATTCCGATAATAATCTCTTTGGTTCCTTTGGCCCCTTGTCAAGGATACTACCATCAACCTATTCCCCCTCGACCACACACCTATTTTCGCTTGGATAGCTTGCGCTTCACTCCATAACTTGGATATAATCATACCCCCGACTCTCCCAAAGTAGTACTCGCAGTCGCTGGTGGTCCAGAAGCGGATGCGGACCGGGTCCCGTCCCGACGGCGCGGAGTGATGCAGACGGCAAAAGGGAAGGCCGAGGCGCTTGGACGGAAAGCCAAGGTGTGTGTGGTGTACCTGGGGTTGCGTTGCTTTGGCTTTGCTTGCCTGCTTCGATCGGAACGAGCCTGCTTACTCCCCCCTTAATCCCCATCCATTCATCCGTATGATCAAGATTGCAGGAATGGGAATGCTGACACTGCGGTCTTGCCCACCACAGCTTGCGAGTTCATATCAGGAGTTGCTCGAGTAAGTTTTCTCCAATAAAACGTTCCTTGCACGAAAGAAGCCACAATTCGCTAATCCTCTTCTGTCGTCTCTTCTGTTGCGCAGCGAATTTTCGAGCAAAGACCTACGATCGGTTGGCAACTATACCCTCGGACGACTAATTGGCAAAGGATCCTTCGGCAAGGTCTACTTGGCCACCCACAAACTTACAAATGGCTCCAAGGTGCGTGTTGCGCTGGCGGTGGCTTGGTCCCTGAAAGCCTCTTTCTATCCTTTCCGAGACACTCGGGACTAATCTTCCTCGGTCGCATATATAGGTCGTGCTCAAGTCAGCCAACAAGGATGACACCAACCTCGCTCGCGAAATCCATCATCATCGCCAATTCGTCCACCCGCACATCGCCCGACTATACGAGGTGGTCGTGACGGAGAACCTGGTGTGGATGGTGCTAGAATATTGTCCAGGTACGAAAACAAGAACAGAGGTCTCCTTCGACATCACCTTCGCCCGTACGCGCCCTCTCTAAATTACGTTAATGTGTTTCACAGGCGACGAATTGTACAACTACCTTCTTCAACATGGCAAGCTATCGGTCGACAAGGTTCAGAGGATCTTTGCGCAACTGGTGGGCGCCGTGTGCTACGTCCATCGACAATCCTGTGTCCATCGGGATCTGAAACTGGAAAATATCCTGCTCGACAAACACGAGAACGTCAAGCTATGCGACTTTGGTTTCACACGGGAATATGAGGGCAAGGCCAACTACCTGCAAACGTTTTGCGGCACCATCTGTTACTCGGCTCCGGAAATGCTGAAGGGCGAAAAATATGCGGGCGAAAAGGTGGATGTTTGGAGCTTGGGAGTCATTTTCTACGCCCTTCTCTGCGGCGAGCTTCCCTTTGACGACGATGACGAGCAAGTTACCCGGCGGAAGATCCTTAGCGAGGAACCAGACTACCCCGATACCCTTCCGGCAGATGCGCTGTCTCTTATGAAGAAACTCCTATCGAAACGACCCCTAATACGACCGTCTCTGCCCGATATCCTCGCGCACCCATTCCTCGCCGAATATGCGCCGCAACAACAGGAGATCCTGAAAATCGAGCAACCAGCCCCTTTTTCGACGGCGCTGGAACAGGAGACGTTACATCGCATGCGAAGCGCTGGGGTGGATACAGAGGCGGTGATGGAAAGTGTCATAGCCCAAAAGTGTGACGCCCTCGCTGGCTGGTGGACACTATTGATTGAGAAGGAGGAACGGAAGGCGGCGAGAAGGGAACGAAAGCGCAGGGAAAAGGAGGAAAACAGAAACTCGAGACGGTTCTCCCAGGCTTCTAGTCGACTCAATGCCTTGGCTACGGTGGAAGAGTCGCAATTCCCTTTCGGAGAGCAACCACAAAGACCACGAGGGCGGAGCGAGAGGAGAAGAAGCGGACCCTATCCGACTCTGCTCATCCCGGACATGCCCAGCTATGCCGACTATCCCAGAAGCGCGATTGAACCTCGCAGTCCGATAGAAGGGGACATGCCACCACCGCCGGTTGATAAGGACTCGATTAGGGGTCGGTCTACTAGCTCCTCGCGGCATAGGAAGCCGATTCCCCCACCGAAGGAGGGTATTCTGAGGAGTGCGAGGTCGAGAGGGTCGACTCTTCATCTGGTCACTACAAGTGAAGTTCTGGACTTGAACGGTTCTTTACAGCTGCCTGATGACCAGAACCAGGTGAAAAAGCGACCGTCCAAGACCAAGATATTCTGGAAGAATTGGACACATTGGCTCTTTGAGAGTACGCGGCGGCATAAGAACTCCCAGAAACGTGCCAGCCAATCCACCCCTAACTTGGCGGATAAGGCCGCGGTGCAGACCGCGAAGGATGACAAATCTAAGGACGGGGAGAGTCCACGTCCGCAGACGAGTAAGTACCCAGCAGCAAGTTCTCCGATCACGACGGGTACCGCTGGCCTACCTAAGGGTGTAGTGGCCAACGGCTACGCCAGCAAAGCGTCACCGGCGCTCTCCGCAAGCTCTGCTCCGTTTAAGAACAGTAACGCTTCCGTCGGCCTCTCGAGCTCGCTACCATCCTCTTTGCCACCGATTCCACGTACATACACGTCAGGGTCGTACAAGAGACAGTCCCTATCGCCATCGCCCCTAACACCCCGCTCCACCATGCGGCGACCGTCCGGCACCGCGGGCCTTCGCGGCAGGAAGTCCACCTCTTCGTCTGTCTCGTCCATCCGTTCAATGCACCACACCCACCACCATTCCCACAGCAAAGCTAGTTCAACCTCCTCCAACAATTCCGTTTCTACATCAGTCTCAAAATCCGCCCTACAAGCCAGCCGCAGTCCACACCACTCCGTCAAGGTTCTCCCCGCCACACCTACAACTGTCGGCTTCCCAAGCAACATCCGCTACGTTCGCGACCGCACCGGCCCGCCTCTAGGCATCGGCAGCCTCGGAGGTCCCGGCCTCTTTGCCTCGCCCAGTGAATACAGCTCATCCGACAACAACGGCCGTCTCAATGCCTCCTTCCTCGGCAATGGTGGCGGTGGCCTCTCCGTCCTCAACACCAACACGCAGTACTACCAAATGCCCCAGGCTCCCGGCTCCCCCAACCCGTTTGCCTCGGTCAATTCGGGGGGTTATTTCGGTCCGAGGGCAACAGGTACCGGATCACCTGTCGTGGGACCCGGTGGCCATGGCGGCGTGATGTTCGCCAAGAGGAAGAAGAATCTCTTCAAGGGCCCGATGCTCAACTTTGGCGGCAGTGCCGGTGGCGCGGGTCACGCTGGTAGCAGGCAGAGAGAAGAGAGGAGTAGTAGTGGTGCGTCCGGGTCGGCAAGTGCGAGCCATTCTAGGAGTGCGAGCGCTAGCGGGCTGGGGCGCAGGAGTGGGGAGATTACGATCCAGGAGGAGGAGGAGCCTGGCGAGGAAGAAGAGGAAGAGCACCACGGTGGTGGTGGTGGGTATGGTTACAGTAGCCACGGCTGGGGCGGAAGCAGGACGGGCGCAGGTTGGGGAGGACCAGGGATGGCGGGCATGGAAGAAGAAGAGGAGGTGGAAGAGGTGGATAACTTCAGTCCCATCATCAGCGGGCCGGGGGAGATTGGTGGAGGAGAGGATCATTGAGGATGGGGAAAAGGATGAAAGTGCAGATGAGAGTGCGGATGAAGGGACGATCACTGATCAGCGATCGAGAAGGTCGAGGCCTTTGTCGCAGGATCTTGAAGAGGAAGAGGTGGCCCATGCGATCAGTGAACCCCGACCGAACGCAAACACGAACCAACAGACTCCGACGAGGTCGAACATACACGAAGAGGAAGAGGAGGAAGATAATGTCGATGTGGGCGAAGGATTCAAAGGGCTTGGGTACGATGTCGGGATCGCGATAACCACGGATTCCCATAGGCTGAGCACCGATGGAATGCCGCTCTCGTCATCCACCATTCGGGTTGTTCCGGAACATCAACAACAGCAACAGCAACAGCATAGACACGGCCACAGGAGAGGTTGGAGTAATGGTGGAAGTGGTGGAGGTGGTAGCCGTGGCAGTGTCAGTGCCAGTGCCAGTGCCAGTGGAAGTAATGCCCGTCATGGCGGCCCAAATAATGGAGAAGAAGGGGCGAGTAGCAGCAGTACCACCAAGGTTAGCAGATGACGGTTAGTGAGGCGGGCCTTGCATATAACTAATAAGTAAAAAAAAAAGTCAAGTGTCGAAAGTGTGTAAAGAAAGAAGGACAAACAGCAACCGGGCCGGGAAAACGAACTCAACTGAATTGAATTGACAGAAGGATGGATGGATCGAAGGATGGGTTGACGAGACGGATAAGAACGGATTGGTTGTTTGAAACAGAAGGAATGGCAAGCAAGGCCTGCTTATACCACTTACACATATTTTTTCTTCTTCCTTTTTTTTTTCTTCGTGCTTTCTTGTTCATACAACTGACTATACATACATATATGTACCATACCACACCATACCATACATAGAGATACCTACCTACCTAAAGCCGGTCCCGGGGACTCACTCGTTGGGCACGAAAAGGACCAGGAGACGGGAGGGGCGAAAAGGGAGAGAGGAGATTTGGCAAGGGGATGGGGAGGTGGATGAAGAGAAAATGGCTGTTTGGGCTTTGGGGTCCTGTTGTCTTTCTACTACTACGTTTTTTACACTTTACCTCACTTATTTCTTTTTGAGCAAGGGCCGCCTCACTTTCATATCATCCTTTTTATCTTTATTTTTGGTTTGGCTTGTCTTGTTTAGAAAGTTCAAGATACCATTTTACTACTTTTGATACCTCTTATCTATCTAGCTAATTGTTTACCTACCTAACTTTATTGGTGAAGGGTGAAGTTGAAGAGTTAAGGGTGAATTCGAAGAGTGAAGCTGATGAGTGAAGCTGAAGCGGAAGAAGGCGAGAGCGTCACGCAGTATCGCTTCCACTCAGACTGATTTTGCTCAAGGCTGCAACGCTCCGTCCATTTTTCCAATCTTATTCCCCTGCAGGTTACTATATACTTACCGTAGCCAAAATGGTCAAATCCGCCAGTGGGCTCTCCCTTGCCCTCGTCACGACCTTGGGCCTCCTCAATTTTGTTATTGCGGTTCCTACTACCAACCCAAGCCCCCTTGATTCCTCCCTGGTCGTAGTTCATCAACGGGATGACGCCCGGGCCCTTCCTGCCACCACCACCACCACCGAACGCTTCTCCTTCGCCAAATGGGTAGACGACATCATCGCCAACCCCGAGACCGCCCTCACTCCGGAACAAGCATTGCAGGCTCATCGTGACTCGCTCAACGGTACTTTAGTTGCCACTACTGCGAATCACGACAACCTAGGGGTAGACAAGCGATGGGATGCGGCTGTGGTGTGTAGCCCCACTCCTATTCCTCCGGCGCTGGTAAGTTTTGTATAAAAAGCACCTACCTACCTACCTACCTACCTACCTTACCTGGCCAAATCGCAACAACGACCAGACAACAAAAACTGACACTATTACTACAAAAGAGCGAAATTGCCGCCTTGCTAATAAACAATCTTGCCGCCGCTACTGCCTATGCCTGCAGCACCTCCCCGATCCGCAGCTTCGGCAAGGGGTATATCAAGTATGTGGATAGCGTAGGAAACTCAGTCACGGTGGCAAAGGCTGAGATCACGGGCGCTACGTGCAATAAAGGTTCGGATCCTGTATCGAGGAGTTCTTGGTGAGTTTTTTTCTTTTCTTTTCTTTTCGCCCTTCTTATTCCATGTCTTTTTTGTACGGATGTGTTGAGCTACGACTAACCATACTAACAGCCAGTCCATTGCTCAAACTGCCGGTCTCATCATGGACACATGCACGTATACCGGATCCGATGGGCAGTTGTACACCCAGGGCATGCGCATGAATGTGAACGCGGAGTCGAACATGATAATCTGGCTAAGAGCACCGACTAGTTATTCGGAGCCATACTGTGGGTGGAAGGGATAGAAGTAGAGGTAGAAATAGTATAGTATGTGCGTGTGGAAAGTACCTAGGTACCTCTAGGCAAGCGAGCAGGGAAGGAACCTCAGGCAAATCCATGACATGATGGTTTAGAAGCTACCTATAAAATGAATGATAGGGTACTAGGTATCTCTCTCAATCGTTCTCCATAGGGAGGTACCCACCTACCTTTTTACAGACCTACACACAGACTGTGGAAAAGCTCTCCGTCATCCATGTCCGTTTTGCAGCTCAGTACCTAGTATACGCTCATCCAAAGCAGTTGCGGACATGCACAGTATCTGAATGTTTGTAGTCATTACTTCACCTTGATATAGGTAGGTATTATATGGACGGTACGTAAGCTCATCAGATCAGATCAGTAACATCCAATCTTTCCAAAACTCACCAAAAAAAAACCATGTACATCAGAAATTTGTAGTCAACCACAGGCAACCATTCAACCAACGAACGCCTCGCTTTCAATCTCCTCGTCTTTCTCCCTGACCGAAATCATCATCCACATCCTCATGTAAATCATCATGATTCACCTCAGGATTCCTCCAGAAATTTCATCCCCTGACCTCTCTCCAAGCATTACTCCAACGGTTTTACCCATTATGAGCACTGCGAATAATAATCATTCTGCTTCTTGCAAGTATACGGGCTCGCACAAGTCGTGCACCCGCTAAATCCAACACCGCCGCACTGCGCCCACTGCGCCGCCGTGCAACCGGTCGGCTGCGAAGGAACCACACTGGTCTTCAGGGTCGTGCTGCTGGTAGTAGCGGCGGCCTTGCTGGTGGTTGTGCTGCTGACAACCGGCTTAGCAGTAGTGGTGGTACCCGGAGCCGGGCTTCCACCGCCGTTTCCAGAACCAGAGCAAGTGAACTTGGCCGGGCCGGGGATGGTGTAAGCACTTGACGTGCCCATGGAGTAAATGTTGACCAGAAGGCCGGGGTCGTTGGCCTTGTAGATACCTGGGATCGAGTAAGTGGAGGGCGAGGCGGTGCCGGTGCCGCCGACGATGTTAATTTGAGCGCATTCCATGTATAACTGGGCCCCGGCGGTGGAGGACGCGGCGTGCAGAGCGATCATCTCGGCTCGGAGGAGGTATTGCCCGTTGGTGATGCAGGCGGGGATGTCACTGGGAGGTATATATGTTAGTTATTGGGCGTGGTGAAGGGGGAGAAGGGGGGGAGGGAGGGAAACAGAACATACATGTAATGGAAACCACCGTTGGTGATGACGGTGCTGGTACCCCATTGCCCGTTGTTGTAGCCGTCTTCTTGGATCTTGAACCTATTTTTCTTGAGTATTAGTGACTGATGATGGGGGCTTTTGTCGATCTGGTTCAAAAGTAGGGCATCACTCACCATCCACCGCCGATGCCACTGTCAGTCAGGGCGTTGTCGACCTTCTTGAGGTAAGCAAGGGTAGGACCCTTGTGGCTGGCGTCCATGACATCGCTGGGTCCGGAGGTGAGAGTGTGTCTCCAGATGGCCTTGACGGTGCTGCCGGCGTTGACAGTCATGATCTTATCGGAGGGAGTGGTGGGGTTGGGGCCGCCGTTGCAGGCAAGGTCGTTGGAGGTCACGTCGGTGATGGGACCATCGTAGGATGGGGTCCGGATGCCGTGGGAGACGGGGTAGGTGGTACCACCGGCCTCGAGCTGGACGAAGATGGTGTGGGCTGAGGCCGCGGAGGCGGCGGCGAGGAGGGAGAGGACCTTCATCTTGTCTGGCTAGCTGGACACTTGTAAGTACTGTGGATGTGAGAACTTGAAGGGATCTACAAACTTTCGAGTGGTAGTGACCCAGGAACGGGAAGTGAGACGTTCATATATGTATCATTTCATGGCGGGTTGCCACTTTCGCCAAGGCTGAGACACCATGAGGTTGAACATATGGAAAGGTTGATTAAAGGGTCGTCATGATGGGTGTTGGACACATGGAAGCCACAATGTCACTGTCGGGGTCGTGTTCTCTACTTTTGGGCCGTCTCTCCTAGGGCCAAAACCGGGACGCTGGAAGCAAGGCCGCCATGCGGCGCTTGACGAGGGCGGAAGAAGGCCGTCCGGAGTAGCACCATATCCGGATCAGGATAGTCACTTGAAGTTTCAGCGTTGGATTCGCCGCGATGCCGGACGTCAAGGTGCCGCGTCGGATGGGGACGTTAATATAGCCGTACAGGATATTTATATTGGGACGCGTGGGGACTGCATGACGGGTCACATAGCGCCTTGGTCCCGTGGCTTATTCCTGTATCAGCATCGTGGGCTACAATAGCGCAGGAGTTGCGGTCGATTCGAGCCGAAGCTTCTCTGCATCGAATTCAAAATGATGGAGCTACGTAGGAGGCTGAGATGGAAGAACTGGATATTGATTTTGTCGTTCTATGTTTGTAGTGCCATGAATAACATGAGAGTGTGATCATAGAACGGTTCAGTAACTGACGACAAGTGATAGATGAGGAACATGTTGTTATGATGTTGTAGTCCGTTTGTTGACTTCCGGTCAATGTTGACAAGCGAAGACCGATGACAACAGTGCTTGGGGTTTAAGACGGTGAGAGTAAGCGTGTCGGGACGAAAGGAAGAATCTGCCGGCAAAGGTCACGATGGGCCGTCGTGCTTCTCGGATCATGATCCGATGTTGGTGTTTCTGTTGTGAAATGAACCACCGTAGAGGGACAGCTAAGGGGTGTTCACCAGCTGCCAGTTAGAAGCCCAACAGTTGTCCTACCTGGCAGTCCCACAATTTGCTGGATCCGCCAGCCAATGCGGGTGCAGTGGCGCTTACGGGGGAACATGGACCGAGCAAGCGAGGGTTAGGGTCTGTCCAACGTCCTCTGTTCATGTTGTCTTGTCAAAACACCAAGTTGCCATCGTCACCAAACATCACCACTTTCCACGGAAAGCCCAAACTCATGTATGCCGAACAGTATAGCTGCCCAAACTACTTGGAAACACTGCTCCACAATGCTCAAAGATCAGTGGCCGCGATTGGGCCACCAGTCCTGCTCTCCGCTGAACAGGACTGGTGTTACCTGAACGTCAAGGTTCTCCCCGTTGTTCGCTGTATCGTTGTCATGGTGATATCAACAGTCACCACCACAAATCTATGGTCACCACATCCACACCTCTTAGGCTGCTTTATTGTTAAAAGATTGTCCATGTCGACCCAAACTTCTCACCAATTCTTCCTCTGCATCCTCAAAATCAACAACTGGACCTCAACCCATATTGCTGATTTAGTCAAACCAAACTTCCTACAACAAGGACAATCACAAGCGCACACTGCACTAGCAGAAACAACTACAATTTCTTCATTAGGTAAGCAATCCTAACCATCACTTCCCTTCCATCAAGGGATCTCCCATCATCTTTGTCGACCGACGAGCATCACTCGGTCTTGCACTGTGGCGACTACAACCACATCGACAGCAGTAGTCGCGAGCACCATCTTTTCCATTACCGAAACGTATCTCATTGGTATAAGAACCAGCAACTTACTAATAATATCTACAGAAACAACGACTACTACACGACATCATGTCACACCTACATCTCCGCCAGGCCATGGCCTTACCTTCTCGTATTGCCCAGTACCTCAAGAGACACCAGTTCAACCAGCAGATGAAGCACAAGTCCGGCAAAATGAACAAGAAGAGGCGCCAAGACGCTGTCGATCAGACGGTCCAACCCACAAACCCAAATCCTCGGAAGCGTTCCAGTGCAGAAATCACTGATGCCACTCGCGATGCCTCCATTGATCGGTTCCTTGATGCCGACGCCGCACCTCCCCAGAAGCGTTCCAGATGGCCGGTTTTTGAAGAACGCGACGGATTCCGTCCATCTCGTCCCCGCAAACGTTCAAGTGACGAATTTGAGGAAGTGTCCTCCGACGCATCTAGTGATCGCTTTATTGATGCAGATGCTCCTCCTCAAAAGCGTCCCAGATGGCCAGCTGCTGAAGACTGTGGCGACTCCACTTCGCTCCCAGAGAAGCACTCAAGACCACATGCAGAAGTAGAAGAAATTCCTGATGCCATCGCCCATGGAGACATGGACTCATTCGACTGTGAAGAGCCAGTCTCCCCTGCCAAGCGCTTTAGATCACTCGCTGAGGAGCTCACTGATGCCACTAGCCACGAAGACGGTGAAGCTTTCGATGATGAAGACGACGAAACTCTTTCCACCGCTCGCTCCACGTCGCTTGCTGATGCACTTTCCAACGAAAGTTGTGACGACTTTGATGAACACGAGTATACTTACTCCACCAGACGCCGCTCGCTTGCTGACGAGATTGCTGATGCCACTGCCGATGAAGATGGCAACCCCTTTGAGGACCAAGAACTCATTGACCCAAATATCCCCACCTTGCTGATGGATTCATTGGCACCACTAAGACTGAGGCTGGTAATCCACATTCTCTCGAGGTATGTTTTCTGTTGCGAGAATCCTTACATAGCTTGTTTACTAATAATATTCTTAGGCCATCCTCGATCTTGCTCACCTTTCATTTGACGATTGTTATCCCGATTCTTCCAGGCCCTCTCGATCGCTTGCCGAAGAACTTGCCGTAGCCATTGCTAACGAGGACACCGAGCCCTTTGATGACCCCGACGAGATGTTGTCCGTACTTCCTAAACTCACTGATAACGACGACAGCATCTCCATTGTCCTATGTGAAGAATCCCTATCACTCGATCATGAAGCCGGCGTATCCCAATTTCAAGGAAGATCCCTCGCAGATGAGCTCTTTGACGCAACTTCTGACGAAGTGGGTGATGCCTTCGAAGAAGCAGAGACAGATGTCCAACTGCGTTTCCACTCACTAGAGGAACAGGTTGCCTATGGCATGTCCCACGAAATCGGTCAAGAACTCCACGATATCGACTCCGCTCACCTCATGCGCCTAGACTCACCAGCCAAGAAACATGCAGACTCGATCGCTAGCGAGGATGAAGACATATCCGACACTGAGAGTGATGCTTCATTCGTCACCGCTCTCAAGACACTCTCCGACAGCGAGTTTCTCACTGAAGATGAAAATACCCCTATTTGAGGGCGGCGCCGCTCACTGGCTGATGAGATTGCTGAAGCAACTTCCGGTGAAGAAGGTGATCATTTTGACCTCGACGAGGATTTACCGGCAGACATTATGACTTCTGAGTCGTCAGCTGAGGTGCGCAAACGTTTGTCCTTGGTAAGTACTTGGTTCATCCATAAACTCTCTGTAAATAACCCCTTTTGATGTCTCAGCTAATTGAATATGACACAGAGAAAGTACCTTTCCACACCCGTCTTGCTCGGCGGCTGCCCGATGCAGTAATGCATCGCTTCTCGCTTCTGGGTGAGTCACCCTGTTCCAATCATTGACCAAGTACTGTACAAGTAAAAGGTTTCCTTTCTGTGATCCTTTTCTCGTTGGCCATAACAACCGAGGTCAAGATCATCCCATCCAGACTCATTGGCTTTTTTACTGGCACATCACAGCGAAGATGCCGCGGTTCAAAGCCTTCAGCCCTTTATTTGGTGTGAGTGTGTGTGAGATTGAACACGCCACAATGGGTCGTACGCGATCCTTTCGCAAAATCTATCACTATGCGTCGTCCAAATCCAATATTCGATGTGCTTGGTTCGACTCGCCAAGTGTAAGAGACACCAATTATCTCAAGGAGCGAGGAACGCCAACATCTTGGCTCTCTCAAGAATGCTCCTAACGAAGAAGAGTTTGCGAGCAGCAGAAACAGAAGAATAAGAGACAACGGAAAAAAAGACATGCAAAATCAAAACCAATAAAAAAAGAGTAAGCACACAAGAAAAGAAGCACGAGCGGGAAGAAGGCCGTTTTTTAGAACAACTCCGCTGCACACCATCATGCAGCCACTACCGAGTTTTAAAAGATGTTTCTGACACCATGTGCCAGAAGGATGTGACGAGCCACAGAAGTGATTGCATGTCGATGTCACTGTGGGAGTCTAGGTACACCACGAGTCTGCATTCCTTCGGTCCTCATGTCGGACGGCAGGATTGAAGATGGGGATGAGATGGGATAAGGAGAGACAGACGACAAACGACAGACGACAGACTGAGCAAGATCCATCCATCCTTGTTCTCACCTTTGTCGTGGGAATCTGCCATGCCCCCCATGCCTGCCATGCCTGCCATGCCTGCCTGCCTGCCTCGCCTGTTGGCCTGCCCTGCTCTGCAGTTGATCCCAATCTGTGTGTGGAACCATTTCCCCGGATTTCCCATTGACGAATCGGACATTGCCTTGAAAACGGTTTAAGCTCTATCGTGGCGCCCTCAGCTCGTTGGGTCATCCGACAACGATGACAATGACTGGAGCTGGTCAGGCCCGTATAACAAGCATAACCAGTGGATGAGAGCGAGCCAAGTCTAGACTTCCAAGACTTGGCTACCCCAAATACTTCGGAAATTTGTACAGAAACGGTAAAGGACGCGAACAGCCAAGCCGCATCCCTATTTGCCGCCTCAACAATGCTGGGTTCTCCGCATGCTCTCTCCTCTGCTTCTCTGCTCCTCTCCCTTGTCCGTTGGGTCCCTTGTCCCTTGTCAGGCTTGGGCGGAGCCTATCAAAATCCGGGGAAGTGGAGTTTTGGAGGTTGGCAAGATCGTGTAAGCTGTCAACTAAGCTCAAGAGCGTCAAGCTCCCTTTTTACCCCAACCTGGGGCAAAACTCTGGGGTAACTTGGGCACTTGTTCCAATCCATCGTCGCCGCCCCGTCGAGGCCCTCTTCGGTCCCTCTTCTCCAGTCAGTCTCTGTCAACGCTAGGTACGCTCTAAGCTCCAACCGTCCTGCAGTCATGTCTTCACCCTGTCCTACCCTGCTGTTCACCACCAAGATCACTCACCGCAAAAACCCCAAGTTGGGCCAACAACAAATTCTTGAAGAAAAGTGTGGTGCAAAAAAGACTAACCAAATATTCTTTCAACCCCTTTTTCTAGCTTTTTGTTGGGTTATCAGGCTACCAGGACCAAGAAGGCTTGGATCAATGACCCCCCTGATGCAATTTTTTCGAAACCGACCCGGTCTACCTGGTTCAGTTGGTGACGGCGACATGTGGAGGAGGGTATCCGCCTCCTTGGACACCCTGCGTGCGGGGGAGAAAGTCTTGGCTTTTGCTAACGCCCAACAAAGAGGGGCGGGATCTTCGAGGGGGACGGGTCTGGATTTCCAGGTAGTATCGACTACTGAGAGCAGAGCTTGCGAGTAAGCTGCTGTTCTGTTGGAGAGAGGCAAGGACGGCAAGGAAGGAAGAGGGTAGAGAGGGGGGATCCCGGAATCCCCCTAGGAGAACCATGTCGGCGTCAGTGACCACCAATTGTGAAGATAAGCCAAGCAAAGATGGCGCTGAATGGGAAGTGGAACCTCGGTCTAGTCTATGATGGTGTGGTGGTCTGTTACTGTCTGGCTGTTCTTGGGCGGGAGATGTGTGGGAAAGAAGAAGGGATGGAGATGAGTTGGTGGTGAAGAAGGAAAAGATAAATAGGAACGATGATGGCCTTCTCGAACGTGTATTTCTTATCATTGATATCAGGGTCTTTTGGGAGCTCAGTTCGACAGGAACACAAGAGAAGAGAAAGTCTCCAAGTCGTACTTGTGTTGCCAGCTCACAATTGTGCTTACTTAGGACCACTTCTGTTACCTTAGTCTCTTCTTTGTCTCGCCCCTTTTTCACCTCCCCCTAGCTCTAGCTCTACCAGCCTCTTTCTCTCCCACCACCCCACTCACCCGCCGGATTACCTTCTCCAACGGTTCGGTACATCTCCCGGCAGCCTCTCCCCGCATTGCAACCTGCGTACCGACTCCTTCCAACTTTGGTACCAGATCGATTCTGCGGCGTATCTTTAAACATTAATCCTCCCACCTTCTTCGCCGTTTCACTCGACTTGATCTTCACCTATCACATCTCACATCCATCGGGTCCCCCTCTTCCCGTTTCATACATACTTTATCCTATCTCTTCCCTCTTCCTCTTTGACACTTAATTCCTGAGTGTCTTCTCTACCAATTTCACCGAGGCTCTTACACATCCACCAACCTCAACCTCACCAAGTCACCGGGCCTCACCAACAACTACCGCCCACAATGGCCACCAACACCTACCCACCAGGTGGTGACCCCGGTATCCCCGGCCCCCAGGACATCGAAACCAAAGCCTCAGCCTACCACTCCGAGAAGGCCCCCTCCGCCTCGGACGGCTCCTCCCCCAAAGTCGAGGCCGTCACCAAGACAGAGCACGCCCGGCCCGAAGATTTCAACATTTCTCCGGCCGAGGAGAAGCGCATCAAGCGGCACATCGACCGGCGCCTCGTCATGACGGTCGGCGCCATGTACTGCGTGTCGCTGATGGACCGGACCAACCTGGGCGCGGCCAACATCGCGGGCATGGGCGTGGAGCTGAAGCTGATCGAGAACCGGTACTCGATCGTTTCGCTCGTGTTTTTCGTCACCTACATCCTCTTCCAGCCGCCCAGCACCGTCATCTGCCGCAAGATCGGGCCGCGGATTCATATGAGTGTGCTCACGACGCTGTGGGGTGCCGTCATGATCGGCATGGGCTTCGTCAAGAACTGGGAGCAGTTGGCGGCGTTGAGAGTCGTGTTGGGTGTTTTGGAGGCTGGTAAGTTTTTCATTTTCATTCTTGACACTCGTATAATACGGCTCAGTCGTTGACTCTGATGGAAAATAGGCTTCTTCCCCTCGTGCGTTTACCTCCTCTCCACCTGGTACACGCGCTACGAAGTCGGCAAGCGTAACTCGGTCTTCTACCTCACCGGCTGCGTCGCCTCCGCCTTCGCCGGCATTCTCGCCTACGGCCTGATGCAGATGAACGGCCTGGCCAAGCTCACGGGTTGGCGCTGGATCTTCATTATCGAAGGCATCCTGACCTGCGTGCTGGGCATCGCCGGCTACTGGCTTCTCGTTGACTTCCCCGATAGCCCGCGCGCCACCTGGTCCTTCCTCTCCGCCCGCGACCGCGAGTGGGTGTGCGCGCGCGTGCAGGCCGACCGCGGCGATGTCGTGCCCCAGAAGTTCGTCACCAGAAAGTATCTCGCCTCCGGCCTGGACTGGAAGGTGTGGGCGTACGCCATGATCTTCTTCAACACCACCACCATCAGCTACGCCTTGTCTTTCTTCCTGCCCATCATCCTCAACACCGGCATGGGCTTCAACATTGCGCAATCCCAGTGCCTGGTCGCCCCGCCCTACGCCTTTGCCGGCTTCGTCATGTTCGCCGGCGCGTGGGTTGGCGACAAGTACCGGGTCCGCGGCCCCATCGTCGCTTTCAACGCCCTGCTGGCCATCATCGGCGTGCCCATCATGGGCTTCGCCGCTAGCGCCAAGGTCCGCTACTTCGGCGTGTTCCTGGTCACTGCTGGCGCCAACTCGAACGTCCCTGCCGCTATGAGCTACCAGGCCAACAACATCCGCGGCCAGTGGAAGCGCGCCTTCTGCAGCGCCACCTTCGTGTCCTTTGGGGGCATCGGCGGTATTGCTGGTAGCTTGGTCTTCAGAGAGCAGGATAAGCTCACCGGGTACAAGCCTGGTCTGTATGCGTGCATTGCGACCAGTTTGTTGACTTTGATCCTGGTTGCGTGCTTGACGGTTTCGTTCTGGATGGAGAATAAGAAGGCGGATAGGGGTGAGAAGGAGTTGGAGGCTGATGATGTGAGTTTTTACCCTAACTACCCATACACTTTTGCCGCATCGGCTGTTGAACGCATTGCTAACCTACTTTGTTTCTTTCTACAGGATGATGCCCAGCCTGGATTCCGTTACACCTTCTAAGTTTTTTTGTGCTTTCTGGATGGTTTTAATGTTAGTAATGATATGTACCTGGGGATGATGATACCTGTAGGGTTGGGTTAGGACCTTGGGAAGATGATACCAGTTAGGTTTGGGTGGCTCAGAGATGAATGATCATGGCTTTGGAGTTTGGGTAATGAGTTGAGTTGTTTCACGATCGGGATGATGAGGTAGCCATGGATGAGGGTGTTCTGTTGGAACCTAGTACAGAGAGATGCGCTCGACGCTACTAAGCGGTTGTTCCCCTTTATCAGGGGCCAAATGAAGAAGCAGTACACAATATCAAGTCTTTTGGATGTAATCGGTGATGCGTACAAACGATTCTTTTGAAAGAATACATACCTGTTGTTTTCCCTCTATCCCTCCCAAACCACAACACATCACACTACCGCCTCCCCAAATCCCTCCTAACCCTCCACACCTTACTTCCCGCCGCTCTCCCCTGACTACCATGCAGCATTTCCACCCAAGGCTGCGCCTCCGAAGTGCTATCATGCAACGCCTTCACCCTTTGCCATTCCGGCCTCTCCTCAATCTCATCCGCTCCAACGGATTCCGTCTCGTCACTCTGGTCACCTTCCTCCCCATTACCATCATCACCATCATCAATCTCCATCTTCGCACCGCCACCACTAACAGCAGCCATCTTGCTGCTCTTAGCAGCATTGACATTGACATTATTCCTCTCCCACTGCCTCCGATGCAAATCCTCCGCATACGCCCAAGAGGGAGTATCGAACCTACCCGCCACCAGCACCAAATCTTGATCCTTCTCAGAGAGTACCTCAACAGGCAAAGGCGTCAAAAGCTGCAGTTCTCCTTTCACGGTATCAATCCCCCTGACCAGCACCAGGCCCAGCGCGCGTGAGTGGGACGGGGAAAGCGTTTTGCCTTGGGGGTTGGGGAGATGGGGCAGGTGTTCGCGGGGGGTTTTGCAGATCAGAAGGTCTGGGTTCTGCTTTGATTTCTGGTGCTGTTGCATCGACTGCTGCTGCTGAGTGGAAGCCGAAGAAGAAAAAGAAAGAAGATCCGGAAAATCCATAAAAGCACCAGCGCGGTCCTCGATTTTCACCAGAGCGAGAATCATCCCGTTTATGGCTTCGGCTAGCAGGTCTGGGGCAGGTTGGTGGTCATAGCAGAGAATTCCCAGAAATCCGCGGCGAGAGCCTCTGTAGCGGACACGCCATGGCGGGAGGTGGGTGAGAGGCGTGGGGGACCAGGTTGGGCCTGGGTGAGTTTGAATATTGTGCTGGCTTTGGCTGAGACCACCCTGCTGCTGAGCGGTAAGAGAGGAAAAGAGAAGGTGGAAGTAGGACATTGTTTGCATTGTGCGAAGGTGGAGGGCTGTCCTTGAGCTTCCTCCGCCCGAGGTTGCTGGGGCCGTGGCATCGACTGACGAGGATGGTTGGCTCTGAGGTTGTTGACTGGGGAGAGCAACGAAGGGGATGTTTTTGTCCTGGCAGGCGGCTTTAAGGCCGTCGACAGTCTCTTCAGGCCCGTCTTGGGACATGTAGACGACTTCAGTTGGCACAGTCTGGCGGATTAACTCGGACAGGATGTCGAGCCCGGTGCCTAGAATCCAGCCAGGGGTGTTGATGATGAGTGGGAATTTGTTCAGCGAGGGATTGGTCTTGTAAGTGTGGAAGAGATCGAGGGCACAGGCGACAAAATGGTCCGGATCCAAGCTGGGTGTGACCGACGCAACAGTGTGGGCGCGACGTTGGGCCGTTGTTGGGTCTAACGCTGGATGGCAGAAGGGAGGAAAGAGATTTGGGCTAGTCAGCTTGTTGAGGGATATGACGGAGGGGGGTCCAAACTCGGGCTGCCCAGGATCGAGATCGAGGACAACTACCGGGGCCCAGGGCTGTCGTGCGAGTCCAGAGCCAGTTATCAAGCGGTTGGCCATGAGCCGTCCAAATGTAGATTTTCCGGAGGATTTGGGGCCGCTCAGAAAGACAACAGGCGTAGCCTTTTTCTTGGATTCCAGGACGTCCGATAGCTGCTTATTCCATTCAGCTGGTGAGACCAACTCCTGAATGCCGGCTCTCTTAGGGGCATCGTCCGAGGTGAAGATAATCTGGAAGGTAGGGGTATTCTTCTTGATATGGCCCGGCACCGCATCGTCCACCTCGTTCCATAGCTTCCCAAACGCAGGGTTCAGGCTAGCAAGCTGTCTCAGGCTCCGAGCTCCTGGGTGTGGATGCAACTCGATTGTGGCATCGCTTGTGATCCTGATGACGGGAAGAGCATGGCATTGGGGAGCGTGAACCCAATGAACAAGATCCGATTTCGACAAGAAGGCTCCAGCAATGGTAAGCTCGCCTTCGCAAACCTTGATTCCGTAGCTTCCAAGAATGACCAAACGCTCTCCCTCAAGGAGCTTAAGGAGAACACGGCCGCTGGCTTTTGGTTGAATGTTCGTCTGGCTCAACCTCTGAGATGAATAGTAGATGATCCTCCTGCGGCCTGTCGGAATCGGTTCTGAGAGGTTCGGGAATTGAGATTTCACTTGACGGCCATCATCTCTTCCTTCGGCTGGTAGTTCGTCCTTGGGGCCTTGCTTTTTTCCTTGGACGCGCTGCCGGCTTTTCGTCCACATCTTTCTCGGTCTCTTGTTTCTGAGCCTGAAGTGCTTTTCTGAAGTTATCCCTAGTGAAGAAGGACTTGGCGGACGTGTTGCGGTCAATGATATCGTCGTTGTCGTCGTTGTCGTCAGCAGTAGGAGTAGTGGCGGCAGCAGCCGACAGGCCTAACAGTTTCTGGCGAGCAGCGAATGCACTCATTTTTTATGATTGACTGTTTTCAGCATTAGCAAATGGACATTGAGACCAGATAAGAGAAATGGTACCTTCTGATCAAAAAACGAAAGGTAGCGTTCAGGTTGTGGCACTCGCAGTGGTCGCCCAATAGTCGGCGTCTTTGGTGGCCATTTCTTCAGTTGAAATGTTGAAAGGTTGGGAAAATGGAGTGAGTTTCCAGCGAGAGACGTACTACGGAACAAGGTTGGCCTGTGGACGTATGGAGATGATCTATACCATCAAATTCTCCGAACTCCATTCATGTGAGGTATTTTTTTCAAGTAAGATGACAGATACACGACTTTCAATGGATACTCCACAGCTTTGTTGAGAGGTGGTGGTGAAGTCATAGCGATGGTGTTCTGAAGAAGGAAACAGCAGAGACCTCTGTGTTTCCGTAGGCGTAAATGCAACAATCACAATCAACCCTAACCCTGAGACATTTGTTAGTGAAGGAAAGTTTATCTTGGGCAAACGACCCTTATCGAGAAACAGTTACCCCACATTCCGCTTCCAAGTTCAACCAATCATAAGTCTCAATTTCCCTATTTTTTCTGACTTGGGTCAAGCAGCAGCAGCAACCTCGAGTGACCCTTGAAATACCCAAGTTCGCATCTCTCCACTTTCTTGATATTCCAGCGTGTTTACACGCGACGAGGATCATTCCGCTTGTATCTTTTCTGAGAAACAACTGCAGTGACAGACGGAAGGGACAACCTCAAGGCAGGAGAGCAGCGCACTTCCACAACAGCGCTCAAAAGCACATTAACAGCACATCAACACACTGTAAATCCGACCCCACATCTACACTTTTTAGCACTTTGCAACTGCACCAAACTGCACCATCCATCCCTGCACATACCTTAGTAGCACTCAATTATTCTCGAGGGACGCCTTTCCGTCTTCGACACTCTCTCCACATAATTTTCTTCCATCACCAACCTTATTCTTTTCTCTCTTTTTACAATCCAGATAAACCGCCCCCCATGGCTGGTCCTCGCGCACCCATCGGAACCCTCTCCCAACACGCCGCCAACGCCGCTGCCCTCGCCCGCAACACCTCCACCAACGTCTTCTCCCAGCAAAAATCACAACTCAAGTCCAAGAAGGGCAAGCAAGAAGAGAGCGACTCCGATTCCGACAGCTCCTCCAGCGACGATAGCAGCAGCGATAGCGACAGCGATTCCCCCGCACCCGACGCCGACTGGGCCAGCAAGTTGAAGAAGACGAACATGGCGCAAACGAAAACCACAAAGGCCGCCTCGCCTGCCCCCAAGACGGCTGCGAAGGCCAATGCAGAGTCCGTCAAGGCCAAGCCAGTAGCTAAGAAGGCAGAGTCAGAGTCAGAGTCCTCGTCCGAATCCGAATCCGAGTCTGGATCTGAGTCCGAGTCCTCGTCCGAGTCGGAGGTCGAACAGAAGAAGCCTGTCAAGAAGGCGGAAGAAAAGAAGCCAGCGGCGCCAGCGGTCAAGAAGGTGACCAAGAAGGCCGAGAGCAGCAGCGAGTCTAGCAGTGAAGAGGAGAGTGGAAGCGGATCGGAAGACAGCAGCAGTGACGACGAGGAGGAGAAGAAGATCAAGCCTGCGCCCAAGGCTACACCAAAGGCTGCACCCGCGACCGCCAAGAAGACTGCTAAGCAACCCACACCCTCATCAGAAGATTCAAGCTCTGAGGAGAGCGAGAGCGAGAGCGAAGAAGAGGCGGCACCAAAAGCCAACACTAGCGCCAAACTTGCAAAGCCCGCTAGCAAGACACCCGAGGCCACCAAGGCCAAACCAGTGGTCAATGGCAACTCCAAGTCCAACGAGACCGTGAGCAAGTCTGACGACGAATCGTCTGAGGAGGAGTCGGGTTCCGAGGAGGAGGAGTCTGACGAGGAGATGGCCGATGCTCCCCAGCCCAAGGTCGCCCCCAAGAAGGCATCTGGGTATGTGCTCTCCTACGACTTGTGCCAGACCACCAAGTTCACAATGCTAATAGACATCACAGTGCCCAACTGCCCCAAATTATCGCGCCCAACTTCCAAATGCGCAAGGCCGATGCGAGCACCGACGCCAAGGACGTCGCCCGAACATTCCAAAAGGCCCAAAGCGAGGGCAAGCAAATCTGGTACTTCACCGCCCCGGCCTCGATCCCCATCGAGGTGATCCAGGAGCACGCGCTCCCGCTCAGCAAGATCCAGTCCGGCGAGCCCATCATCACCCACAACGGCGCCGAGTACAACGCCACTCTCGAAGAGGGCACCACGCTCCACTCGATCCAGGTCCTCCTCCCCACCGAGACCGGCGACAAGTACGAGCTTATGAAGCAGCCCATCGCCCAGGCGCTGCACATCAAGCGCGTCACCCGCCTCAACCCCGCCGCCGCCGCGACCGCCGCCGTCTCCGCTCCCGCAACCGGCATCGTCCCTCGCCCTCAACCCGCCGGTCTCAAGGCCCGCTTCTACCCCATCGGCGCCTCGCCCGCTGCTCCCACGGACAACACCGGCAAAGACGCTGATTCCGATGTTGACATGGCCGAGGCTGCCCCTGCCAAGTCGTTCTCCAAGAAGCGCAAGAGCGAGACCGGTTCCGAGGACGCTCCCGCCAAGAAGACGAAGAAGACCAAGGAGCCCAAGGAGGCCAAGGAGACTAAGACCTCCAAGAAGGCCAAGTCCGAGACGCCTATTGCTCCCCCTGCTGTTCCTGGCGCGGCTGCGACCAAGAAGACGTCGGTCACTCCCAAGAAGGTCACGCCTATCTTGCCTCCTACTATCCCTGGCTCAAAGTCGAAGAGCTCTTAGAAAGTTGGTTCTTCGAGGCCGAGGCGAGGGTAGTTCATTCGGCCGTTGACTGCAACTGCAACTGCTACTGCGCGGGGGTAGAAAGTGTTGGCAGCCAAGCCAGCTTTAGCTATCAATCCTGGTACGAGAAGGGCCCATTCCATTCCTCTTCACCACCGCTTCACATTGAGCAGAAGAGGTGATGACGGCGAGAGGACAACCATTCTCAGCTGAAGGTTAGTCAACCCTGACGCTTGCTCCAGGGATGAACGAAAGCAAGGAGAGCGCATTGGAGGGATCACTCCCTGTCTATCTACTCTGGTGACCTGCTATTGCTATTGCTATGTAGGGCGTCCCTTGATGCGTTTGATGTACTTCCATATAAAGAAGGGTTGTGGAGCATATTGTCGAGTTGTGTTTGTACATAGATACCTCATACTGTACGGGAAGTCGTCATTATGGTTGCCAAGCTATAAAGAGGGGAGGTGATCTAAACAAGAAATGGGTGGATGGGGCAGTCACTACTGTTTCGATGGTGTGCGGGCTAGGGGCGTTCAAAAGTATCTGTCAGAAGGTCCTATACTAGATGTATGTGTCATTATCAACTTCTGTACGTATGCATGATATGGAGTATTGTGGATGAACAAGGCATATAAGGTTTTAGATGTTGGAAGAGTTTCCTTCGGCATCATTTGTTCGTGTATATTTTTCCAAAAAGATATCACACGGTACCATTGTCTAAAGCATGGATCGCTTGGTTTCATCCATGTCCCTAGGCACGTTATGTTTCCTTTCCGTCTTCTATTTTCCTAGAATTTACATCCCCATGCTACAGACACCAGGTAGATGAATATCCCTGAATCAGAGTCACTAAACAGGTAGGTAGGGTTTATCATCACCCATTCAACCAGGGTATGTAACGACATGTTAATTCATAAGAATGGTCATTCAAAGGTCAACTACCTCTCTCTCTTTTCTCTCTTCCGTTTCGTTCTTTCGAATCCAACTCACTTGCTTGCTTCCACTATAGTAGATAGTATCCAACTCGAGTACCCAACTCACTTTCCAGTCCAAATCAATCCAACTTGCCAACCCCCTATCGTATGCCAAGTCCGACCCAAGTTAGACCTCCTACATTACGTCGGCCGTCTAAAAGGATGAGCCTCAGTATTGAACACCCACTCATCCAAACTAATAACATCCGGCTCCGCAAACAACAGATAGAAATACTTGAGCGTTTCCGCCAGCCAGAAACTCTCCATGCTGTCTGTGAAACTTGGTTTCTTCACCTTCTCCTCCTGGTCCACCTCGTTGTCGTCGCTGTTCTTGGAAGAGGAAGAGGCAGGGGCAGCAAAAGCAACATTGTCAATGGCAGAGTGCGCAATGTCCGTTCGCGTGGCGGCGATGACGGACTCAAACATTCGCCAGCCTTTATCTTGCCAGACTGAAGAGCCGGTGATGCGGTAGTAGTAGAATACGGATTCGATTGCTTCGGGGCTGTTTTTTGTTTTCGTCAGATGTCAGTATGTGTTTATATGGAAGCAGAGTAGGACGGGGAAGGGGAAAAGTAAATAAAAGGCAACATACCGCAAAATATACCGTTTATCATTCAAACTTGTGAACCCCGGCGGGATATTCTCCCTCTCGATCCTATCCTGGACGTATTCCTCATGACTGAGCGGCTTTTCAGGTTCCGGCGGGAGGTGAAGTTCGAGCAACGGTTTTTGTTGTTGATACTGCTGCTGTTGGCCACCAGCACGCAAGTTGTTATTATTGTTCAGGTCAAGCTCCTCTTCAATCTTGTTCACCTTGGTGGCCACCTCGATCTTGTCGTCTTCCGGGAACCTCCTCTTGGTCAGGTGGTAATCGACGTCTTGCTGCATGCCCTGGTGAACACCGGACACACCCTTGGGCGCGGCGTTTACTGCCGATGCTTCTTGCTGTCCTTGTCCTTGTCCTTGAACATAAGACGAATTATTCTCCAACACCGGCCGTGTTTTCTCTTCCTCTTCCACCTTGCGCTTGGCTTCCGCTTCCGCTTCCACCTTCGCCGCCTCCTCAGCCTCCGCATACTCCTTCTTAAGCACCTTCACCTCCTGCACCCACTCCGCATGATTAACCTCCCATTGTTTCAGCTGCCGATCCCTCCACCCGGCGTCCGTGTCAATAGCATGATACCAAGCCGTTTTGTTCCACTGGCAATCATCCGCCTTCGCGCACGGCAAGACCATGGAATACTCAGGCATGATACCCGTCGGCATCACTTCGTACGCCCAAGCACAGCCGTCGGCAAGTTTCCGTCCGATCTCCACGTCTTCGGGACTATCGAAAATCTTGCCTCCCAACCCGAACATGCCACCCAGGAAACACGTCAAGTGCGTCACCTCCCACTCGTAGCTCAGTTTCTCGTCCGTGTGGTCGGGGCTGACAACCTTGGCCGAAAACAAAATGTCCGGGTTGCCGGGCGCCATAGGTCGGAAGAGGAGGTACTTCTTCACGGCGGCCGACACCTTTTCGTGCATGGCGCGGTATTTGGGCTCCAGACCGCCAAGCAAGAGGTATTGCTTGGGGAAGTACTCGTACGCCGAGTCCTGGCTGCCGCCCATGCTGTAGGACTCGGAGCCCCAGCCGCCAGCTACCAGGCCTTGGGGGACGCAGTCCCAGTTTGCAGGCATCCCTTCCGCGTTGTGTGGGGGACCTTGGTGTTTGATTCCTTTCCATGGGGGAGGCTGGTGTTTGGGGATAGAGTAACGAGGCGGGGGCGTTCGTCGGTCGACTCGGGATCGCTTCGTGACGCCGTTGAAGTTTAGCGGGTCTTTGCCGTTCTGGATGTCCTGGTCCGTCATTCCTGCGGTGTAGCCCTGCGGCTCCTCGCCAACGTCCTTAGCGTCGTCGACCTGCTGTCTTCCGGCGTTGCTGAGGTTTTCCCAGCTGGAAGCAGCCTGAGCGGTGCGGTTGCAGCCCGAAGCGTCGATATGCTCCGGGAAGATTCCCGGTAGGGCGGTTCCATCCTCGCGGTTCTGCAGATCCTCCAGGGCGTCCGTGATGCGGGCTACAGCGTCATAGTACTTATTCTCGCCTGTCAGCTGAGCCAGGCGCGTGAACTCCATGCTGAGAGTGCCCATCTCGGCCATACCGGCACTGGTGGACGCCCGCTTGGGATTGACGTTGAAAGCCGGGTGCCAGTTGTAGTACAGGATCGGCATGCGGTTTGGGGTGTCGAAGACGCTCATGAGCACCTCGGCGAGCTCGACCGCCTTGTCCAAGAGGATCTTGTATCCGGCCGTGGTCTTTTCCCCACCGGATACGTCGTATGCGCCCAGGAAACCACCGAGATAGCGGATAGTCGTCTCGAAAACGGGGATCTCGGAGCGGTACGCGGAGTAGGTGAAATCCAGCTCCTTGACGTACTCGACCGCTTCGTCGAACTCCTCCTTCAGCCCCATGATCCAGAGCGTGTCCAGCGAATCAACCAGCGTGGCGGCCCACCCGCAAAAGGGGTCCTTGGACTGCTTGGTGACGGGCGTGAGCTCGTCGTGGCCCCAGGCATACTTCTTGTAGCCGGACCAAGCGCGTTGCGCCTCTGCCCGGACCTTGTCCAGACGAGCCAGACGCTTCTCCTTGGCCTCGGGGGATTCGGCACCAAAGTTGAATTGTACCGTGGGCATGGGTTTGGGCTTGCTGGTGGGTAGCTTGATGATGGATTCCTTGGGAACAGGAAAGTATTCACTTGGCTTCTGCCAGTGGACTTTTGTCGATGTCGGCTTGACGTCATCTTCGATATCCCCACCGTGTACTTTGGAGCCATCCTCATTCGTTTCCGGCACAGGTCGATCGGGCAGCTTCACGGCAACGTGTGATTCCTCGGGGGCACTATGGTCATGCGCCTTCCCGACTGTAGGGGCCGGAGTGGGCAGGCCAAAACCACCAGGTACCTCATTGCTTGTCTTAAGCTGGGGAATCCTGATACCCGTCTCCTTTTTCGGTGTAGGTTGCGTGATAGAAGTTTGCTGTGCTATCGATGTAGGCTTTTGCGACGCAAATCCAACAACATGGCTCGTAGTGGGTATAGGTTTCGGCGGTTGTGGTGGTTTGTATTCCACATTTTGGTTGTCTTTTGTGGCCGAGTCTGCCCCTGGCGCCGCTTTCTTCGGCTGGTACAACGCAGATTGTGAGAGCTCCCAGTCCGAGTTCTGGGAGACATGGTATAGCAGCACAAGGATGATGAATGCGCCTATGAGGAACGGGCGGTATCTTCGTATGCGTAGCATGGTAGCGACAGGCGGCCGCTGAGGAAGTGGAAGATGGGCGTGTTGGCCAGGATCTCAGACTGGCAGGTCAGAGTCGAGGAGGACCGTCAAGGGAAAAAATAGGGGACGTGGTCGACGAACGTGCCCTATATGGGCTGTAGGTAGTCGCGAAGCTACCTAGAGGTAGGTATTAGGGAGGGAGGACAGCGAAGTCGAAGTATTCAAGGGAGAACAACCGATATCCAACGGCATGGCATGGTTGATCAGGAGGGGGCCGTTCGCTCGTCGATAGGTAGGTATCCAACAATGCCGAGAATGGTGTTGTTCGGTTGGTCGGGTTAAGTTCGTTCAGTATGTAACCTAGATGAACAGTGGTAGGTACCCTTCTAGGTGTACGGCAACTATCTCTAGAAACTGAAGATTGTGTCCCCTATGTTCCTTCTCAAAGGAAGTCGCAACCGAGTCTCTCTTGGGAAGACAGCAACGACAATTCCAAGGGAAGCTGTAACACACAGCTTCGTCGGGAGTTGAGCGAGGTTGATGACTCGGTTGGTAGACCAGACCGAAACGACTGCTGAACCCAAGGTGTAACCAAGAGTGAAGAGTACAGTCGTCGGACCCAATCGCAGAAAAGGGAGTGGATGTGTCAAGGTGGAAAGATGAGAAAGCAGGAAAAACGAACGAAATGTGGCATTCATTCCAAAGAGTCGAGATTGCCCAGACTTGCCGGTCCCTCCCTCCCCCCTCAGGTGTGAACCCTTTTTTTTGGGGGGGAACCGGCGAGCGAGGATGGGCCCCCCTCGGATCGTCACCTCAACTCGTTCAGTGGATGTGCAATAGATTTGCCCCGGAGAGACCTTGGTGGACGAGCGCAAGGAACCGTGGAAAGCCATGTGCCATTTGCCAAGTCAATGCGTTGTATGATTGGCCTAGATTGAAGTGCAATGGTGGGTAAAGTCCCTGGCGCGGCTTGGCCTTGTCTCGATTCCGCAGGCCGCAGTCGGCAGTCTGGAACGCTGCTTGATCTTCCGAGGAGACAAGGGACGCAGGGACAGCTACTTGGGGGTTGTAGTGCGGCTTGGGACTTTTCCTCAACCACCTCTTCATTAAAGAGAGGGAAAAAAATTATAGGACAGCGAAATGTTTATAAGATAATCTATATTAGTATTAAAATATTAAGAAAGTTATTAGTACAATACTCACTACCACTTAGCGTATGATGAATTTTAATAGTTATGTAACTAAAGATGTAATTCTAAATGTAAGAGTTTTACAAGGTATACACTCAGGTAGGCTTTGGTGAAAGTTGTAATATTCGACAAAGAGGAAAAGAGATGTCTGTGCCAGTATAGCATGGAGCTTGCAGCTAACCACACAAGAGAGGTGCGGATATTGGAGGTGCCAGAAACGCCAAGGTCAGAAGTGTGGTTCGTGCGGCGCACCCCAAGAGTGCATCCAACCGGAGGGCAGGCCTGGCTTATATAGGGTTCAAGCCAGGCAGACACTCTGGGCGCCAGCCCCATGACACTAAAACCTTTAAGAGCGATTTAGTTATTATTATATCTACCACCCTTATTTTTCTTGGAATTTTGAAAAAAATTTCTACAAAAAAATAGTTAGCATTCTCGAATAGTTTAGTTTGTCCTATGAACATTTCGCTGTCCCATAATTTTTTTTCCTCCTCTTTTATGAAGAGGTGGTTGAGGAAAAGTCCCAAGCCGCACTACAACCCCCAAGTATAGGAGACAATGACGGTGTGGAATGTTTGGATATCAACTACCGAGTCTCTGTGTTTGTAATTCTGTAGAGTTCGACTCCAGCAGTCCGGATATCAATCTCGAAAGATCAGAATAAATCAAGGTTTAAACGATCCAAGAGAAGGAGGAAGAAAAGGTTCACGGGAATAAGAAGAGCCGCAACACTACCTACTGTCCAAGGTACCTTCATCTTTACATCAAGTTATCAAGCTGTCAACCAATCACTCTGTCGAGTCCATCGAGTCCATTCAGAATGCTACTTTGCACATGCGTCTCGAGTACCGAAAACAGCAACAACGGATCTTTGGTGCCGAGCCCCTCCACCATCATGGTCCCAAGCTCTGACCTTTGATATTCATCCCATCCGAACATCTCATCTCCTCTCTAGAATTAAGATAAAACAACATCAGACGAAAGGCACGGGTGTCAATCGGATGAGGTACCAATTAACTCTTGATTTTCTCGCAGTCTCTTGATGTCCATGTGAGGTAGAGCCCAGCTCGACCAGTTCGTAAATTACAACCGCACTTGACACGACGCACACACAGAATGGTACAGACAGACGAAGACAGACAACTAAAGCGCCCGAGAAGTTCCACTGATTTGCCTCCCGAACCGAGAACCATAAAGAGCTCCCAAGAGTCCCCTCTGTCCCTCCCTGAATACCTAAAAGCCTGACCGTGACCGTAGCCGTCCCATTACCCCCTTTTCCTCGACCTTTTGATGATGTCCACTCATTACTACTAACTTTATAACTCTGCTGCTCTGAACCTTCCCGTTCTTCCTCCTGCGCTCTCCTCTCAGCGCGGTAGCTATGCATACTTCTCCTTTCTGGCTCCTGCTCTTGATTTGATCGTAGTGCATGTGGTGAACACAAGTAAGGACTTAAGTGTTTGCCTGTGTGTAGATATCGATATGATGATGGCGATAGCGTGTGAATTAATAAGTCCCCCTAATCTTAGCATACAGCTCCGTATCCATGAAGCTGTAGTTAGGATCCAGTTCGCAAAACGGGTGTTGCGAGAGAAGAACGTCGGCGGTTGGGCGATCAGTTGGGTCGCTGTTTTGTTTCACATTATTAGCCCACTTCGTTCACGATCATCATCATCACCTCCTTCATCCCCCGCATCGACTCCTCAACTCTCATCCACCAAGGAATGAAAGCACTTACACAGTAAAACAATCCAACATAAAAGCAATCGCAATCGGCGTGATCTCCTCCCTGATATCATCCGGAATAGGCGGCGTCTCTCCATTCGCAATCTTGTAAATGGCTCCAATCGCCTCATCCTTGCTCCACGGCCTTCGTCCCGCAAACATCTCCAGCACCACGCAGCCCAAGGACCAAATATCTACTTTGGCTGAGTACCCCTCACCTTGGGAGCGGATAACCTCGGGCGCCATCCAGAAGACGGACCCCTGCATCGAGTTGGTCTTGTCGTTACCGTAGATGTTGTCCGTCTTCTTGGAGATGCCGAAGTCGGAGATCTTGCATGTGCCGTCTAGGTCCAGCAGGATGTTGTCGGCTTTTAGGTCGCGATGTAAGATGCCTTCGCGGTGGAGGTAGGCTAACCCGGAAAGGGTCTGTCGCGTGAGCGAGGCGACGACGGGTTCTTCGAACTTGCCATGCTTGCGCAGGCAGGAGCCGATCGAGCCACCGGAGATGTACTCGAGGAAAATGGAGATAGAGGTCTCCTTGCGCTCGCAGCCGAGGTACTGCACGATGTTGACGTGATCGAGGTGCTGCATCGTGTCGATCTCCTGGTCGAGCGCGGCGACGAGCTCTTGCATCTTCTTCTTGTCGCCCTGGGCAGCTTTGGGGTTGACTTCAACTTCCTTCACGGCCAGGAACTCACCGGTTGTGGCGTTCATACCCAGATATACGCGGCCAAAGGTGCCCTTGCCGATTAGCTGACCCTTGAACCAGCGGAAGGTTGTTTGTCTCTTCGGTAGCGTGTTGATGTTGTCTTGCGTGGGCAAGGTCTCTTGGGGAATGGTGGATAGAATGGACCCTCGCCTGGGCTCGATTTGCACAATGTTGGCGTTGAACATCTTTGTGCTCTTGCGGCGCATGAGGTTGGTCGTCGCGTTGGGCACCGCCGGCGCCGCCACGTTCATCTGCAGCGACGTTTGCGTGTAGCGCTTGTGAGCTTCGTGCGCACCGCGGGCCACCTCACGAATGGACTTCATGCGACCGAGACCCCTAGACCGGCGCACACTGCCAGATACCATCGATGACGGGCGTGACTCCAGCGCCTTGAGCGTAGACTCGTCCGATCCAAGTGTATCACTCTCGTTGAAAGTCGAGTGTGAAACCCTGGTAAGCGGCGGTAGCATAGCAGCGCTGTTACTGCTGCTGGCAGCTGCGCTGTTGCTCTGAGCCATCTGTTGCGCTATCTGCTGCGGCTGTGTCTGGAACTGGCTCTCGTCCACCTCGGCAATCGGTGACGGGGCCTCAACCTCCGTGTCATTGCCCTCCTCAAGCACAGGTTGGTCGACGTCCAAGTTGGGGAAAAAGTCCTCGAGGTTGTTGATAAGGGCGTCGGTCGGGGGACGGTTGGCCCAAACATCCTTCTCAATAAAGGACTTGCGCCTGCTAATCTTGCACTCCGTCTCTTCCTGTTCCCATCCCTTTGATCCCGACGGAACAGGCGCTGACTGTCGGTGACCGTGACCGTGACCGTGACCGTGACTCGATGACGATGGCACACTGGTATGTTCAGGTTCCTCGGTAAACGTGGCCATACTGGGGCTGGCCTGAGGTGTGGTGAACGCCACGGACAAGTTCTTCTTGGAGCGGTCGGTTGCCAGCTTCAAACTGGGACGCTTGTTGAGTCCATCCTCGCCCCTGTTTGAATCATCCTTCGTCTTCGACGTCTCTGCTGCCTTGGGTTTCGAGATCGGAACCGCAAAGAGGCCATCGTCCGAATCGTCCGAATCATCCTGGTCGTCTGCGTAGTCCTGATGATCTGAACCGGCATTCGTGGATTCATTCTCCGGAGGTGGGGTGAAGCGCACATCGTTATCGCTGAAGTCCACATCAGGACCATGGGATTTACGCTTAGACTCCTCGTGATGCGCCGGGGCATCTCGCTGTTGTTGCGGCGGCTGTGGCTGCTGTTGTCTCGACTGGTATTGTTGCTGCTGCTGTTGCTGCGCCTGCTGCTGCTGAAGATGTGGATGGTGCTGTTGTGATGATGACGGCCGGTAATTCTGCTGATATTGTTGCTGGCTAATATGAGACTCGCTAGGTCTCCTACGAGCATTGGGACTAACAGCTGAAGGCGACGGCGCGCGTACTGCTTGGTAACGCATTTTAGCATCTGTTCTAGTAGTTTCAAGGTAGTGGTTCTGATCGTGACGGGGATTTCGCTGATCTGAGCTCTGCTGCCGGCCAAGGACACGTTCACGGAAGCTGTCAGACATGTGAAGTCCGCCATCTCTTCCGTTGTGTGACCTTGCCGTCTGTGGTGACAGTGACTGTTGAGGAGTGCCACCCGGTGAATAATCTGGGACGAGGAAGGGCACATTTCTGGAGTTCCAGGTGGTTTGCCCGGGCGATCCAGGTACACCTCCCGACGGCCGCGGGCTACTGCCTCCACTGACACCGGCACTGGCACTGGCACCGGAGCTTGATCTTTTGCGCTGTCCAAAGTCGACCAAAGACATGGCTCCCTTACCTCTTTGCTGTTCGCTCATCTCACCACCATGCCCGACAGGCGCTGAGGCGACACGATTTGGTGATAATGCGCGAGCACCGCCGGCGACAGGATGGCCGATGCCACCCAGGTGGCCGCCCATGTTGATTAACAAGCTGCCAATTCCTCCTGATGGCGATGGTACTTCGGCGGTTCCTCTTATGGCGGCCGGCCTCCTCGTCTGCCTCTCGGACGTCGTGTTCTCGCGGATATCCGTCGATACCCGTCTCTGGTGATACCCATGATCTATCGCGTTGTGATGATGGTGATGCGTGGCATGTGCGGTGCTAGGTCGGAATCCCTGTCCAGTTTTCTTACTCAGTGAATTGACCTTGGTTAAAGTAGCCGATGGGTCCCCTGGTGGTGCAGGTGCCTTTCGTACCGGAAACAGGTGATCGGGCCTCTTGTCCTCGAACGGCGAGAGTCGGGGCTGGTCAAAGTCCACTTTCCTGCCGACGATGCCGACCGGGGTCGTCTCTCCAACCGGGCTCGACTCCTTGGTGGCGTGCTTTCTGGGGGGCTCCGAGGCCTTGTACTCGACTTGTTCCACCGCTGGCATCTTCTCGTCCCGGTCCTTGCTGGATATCGTATTCTGCCTCGACGTCGGCGGCGATGAACTAGAACGCTGCCTTTGTCCGTTTAGCCTGTTGAAAATTTCCTCGTCCATGGGAGGGGCGCCACGAGGGACATACGATGATGGTTGACCGCTTTGGGCTCCGTTACCTGGGTATGGCGAATTCATCAAGCCGCCCGGTCTTACAAACAGTTTTAGCGTACCGACTGCATCCGCCCGTAGTCTTTTGTTCGTGAGCAGTTTCATGTCGTCCAAGGGCTCCTCATGCTCAAACTTGCCCAGTTCAGTCACGTAAATTGCCGCGCCGTCACTGTCAGGTAGGCCCAGGTTGATGCACACTAGCTGTCTCAAGTCATGTGCGGAGTCGATATCAGTAACATCCAACATACGATAATTCCAGTGGTCCAGCGTAGCGAGGAGATAAACCCGGGTAGCGACCACGCTCTTCTTCCTACTATGGCCGCTGTGAAAGCCGAAGCTGTGATCGTGAGTCGAGATACTTGAACCGGGGCGCTGATCGAGGGAAGTTTCGCTGACATGACCGGCACGACTACCAAGCGAGTGAGCCTTGAAGCCGGTGGCTGGACTAGTGGGGGAATCCAGCTCGTCGGGCGATGTCCCATCTTCCTTTCTTTTGTTCCGCGACAAGAAGGACAAGAAGGACTTTGCGCCTTTGGCGCTATTTGGAGGTTCAGTCCCGGCACTCCTGTCTCCGGTACTCCTGTCTCCGGTATCAACGACACCCAAAGGCCGACCGCCATCTTGACCGTGCCGACGGTCCGGGTTGTTTGTGTTAAAGCTATTCTTAATCATATCGGCGAGGCTTCCGTTCTTAAACATGGCTGCGGCATCGGCAGGAACGCCAGACCCGTACTGTGCTGCGTTTGAAGATACTGAATCACTGCTGTTGCGCGAACGATGACCAAACCTGCTGCCACTTCGAGGTGACGATGGCAAGACTGTGTTGTTGCTGGCGCTAGAAGGAAAGAGGGCAGAGGATGGGTTAGGACTGCCACCGATCGGACTGTCCCCGGCCCTTTCTCTTCCAACGTTACGGAACGTGCCTGCGTTTAAGTCGCCGGATTCGCTCACGTTGCTGGTGCTCGGGCTGTGACGACGGGCGCTGTCTATATCCAGGTTCTTCATCAGGCTACGGTGGTTTGGCTCGGCTGAAGACATGGTACTCGTCAGCAGCGGCATCGTTGTTGAGCGCGATTGGGAGAATCTCCTGCCTGCAAAGCCCGGGCCCGGGGCCTTGGGACCGGACTGAACTTGCTCTTCCCGCTCCTGCACGAAGGGACGAGATTTGCTAAACTCCACGTTTGGAGAATCTGCAGAATCGGGACCTGCGCTAGGCGGGACACTTGCACTAACGGACTCTTTGCGAGCATGACCGCCTGCATTTCCTCCTGCTTGTTGCCCGCCTCCACTTGCCGGTGAAACTTTGGATGCGTCAACGGGCCGTCCCGTTACGATTCCCCTGATGAGTCGTCGCATCCGCTTGCCTTCCTCCCGCTCTTTCGTCTGATCCCAGCCCGTCTTGCTCATCTGGCACTCATGCGCCAGCTGCGGATATACCTGCTGATGCATCATACCAAAGTTCCCACGACCACCGTGACCACTTCCGAGCTCCAGAAACTGCGCGCCATGGAGGTTCAAAACCTTAAACGTGTTCAGCCAGTCCTGGGAGAAGCTGTTTCCCTGAAGCCACATCAGAACCCTTTCAAGCGGCCACTGGGCTGCCAGCTCGAGAGGGATTGCAGAAGAGCTGTTGGTGGTATTGCTGTTGGTCGATAAGCCCCTGTCGGCCGTTGGGGCAGCGTATAACCTATGCGCATCCTCTATGGGCATTCCTCCCAGGCGCTGTTGTTCGACCGCGGTCCAGCTCCCTGGGCCACCCATCTCTTCGGGCAGCCCCAATCCCGGAATGCCAACACCCTCACCATACGTATCGCCGGCCGAAGGAATATAGGTCGCGCTCATTTGCTCGCTCTGTGGAGGCGGAGGAGGTATCGTGATCGAGGTAGTAGGTGGACCCGGGGTGTTGGAAGCGGACGCAGCCGCAGCCGCCGCTGCAGCAGCCTGCGCATGCAACAAGGGATTGTAGGCCTGCAGCCCGCCATTTCCGCCAGGTGGGGGAGGAGGAAGGTTGAAGGCGGTTTGTCCATTATATGGGCGTCCCCAGGCGCCATGCCATGGTGCAGAGCCCAAGGCGCTCGGCGGGGGAATTGCGCTCGGGGGAAAACCTGGGTTTCCGGGAGGCGGGCCGGGAGGGGGCGGCAATAAGGAGCCGCCAACAGTTCCTGGTGCTGGCGGGTAGCGAGGAGGTGGAGGAGGAATGTTCATGACATTGTTGATGCCTGCGACTCCAGAACCGACTTGCGGGGGTGACATGGGCGGTGGCGGCGGGACCGCAAAGGGCCGCGGAGGGTCCCTCTGGCCATTTTGGTACATGGCCGGAGGCAACACCTAGGTACGGTGTTGAGCGATGTCGTCGGGAAAAGTAAGGCGTTAAGGCGATGGCCACGGACGGTATCGGTATGGCGGTATATGGCGGTAGAGATGTGTGATGGCCGGCAAGGGTCGCCGGCCACGGACTATCGGTTGATCGAGGTTCGCAGGGCGGGGAAGGCTGAGGCCGATCGGTTTTGCGCGAATCGTCTGATGTTTCTGGAAATATCTGCTTTGGAGGGGATGATAGTCTGAGCCGGTGCAGAAACAGACCACGAAGGACAGGAAAGCGAATGCCAAGGTAAGGGCTTTGTTGCTGGAATACCTAGAGTCTACCTGGACTGTGGTGACATATGGAGGATGTTGTCGTCGAAGATGGGAATAGAGACAAACGAGCGTATGTCTTCGACGACCAACACTGGTAGAAAAAAGAGGGTGTGGTGTTGTGGTTGTTGGGACCGGACTCGTCTAATTGGGACTCGTTCTACTATTGGGTGCGACACAGTCGAGATAACAAAGGTCGGGGTGATCGGGGTAATTGCTGCGACAGGAACGACAAACCGTCGGTTCGCGGCGATCGGTATGTGGTGACTGGTGTATGTACGGTACGGTAGGTATAGCTTGTATAGGTAGCGTCCCGAGGTACAGCCACTAGTGTGGACTGTGTGTGTGGGAGGTCAGACGTGAGGTAGCTTCAAGTGGGATATACTTGGACCTAGGTAGGGTCGGTCGACGACGGGTAGTGAAGAGAGGTAGAGGTAATTGTCTTGTGTTACTGTGACTGACAGGATGGCAACCACCTAATCGAGGATGAGAGTGGATTGTTCGGTTGGCTGAACTGACACGAATGACGGCACTGTCTGTCTTGAACTAAAGAGGACTGGAGAGGGTGTGTGGTTGTGCTGGTTGATGTGGTTGTGGATTGTGATACGACAACGTCAATGACCACGACCTTGCCCCTAGGTATCGTAGTTCCCGTCACGACACTCAGTAGTACCAAAGTGCAGTCCAGTGACGGGTGACTTTTTGTGGGTTGTTTGTTGGGTAGTTGGTGTTGGTGTTGGTAGATGTTGTTGGCAATAATACCTATCATGACCCGACGACAGCGACAGAAAGAGGAAAAAAAAAGATTGAATATGAAAATGAGAATGAAAATGGATATCGGATGACACTGTGCAGACCTTGGAAATTAGATGACCAACTGAAATGACCCCTTTCTCCCGCGGACATCCCAAGTCGCCCGCTCGCTCGGTATTACACGTTTCTCCTTCCCTTGCCCATGTCACCACATTGAATGATTCCCAATCTTTCCCGACCGGGCCAGACTCGCGCACTGAAGGTGAACGGGGCACACCAGTCCTTTGTCCGGGTGAAGTGTCGTTGGGTGTCTCCAGATCCTGTCTCCGAGAAAAGCAAGCTCAAAACGTGTCGCTCGGGTCGGGGTGTGTGTGTGCTGCGAGGGGGAAATTGTCCCGCACTTTCCCTGGCGAGAGAACTTGCCCGCCCATGAATGGTCGCAGCTCTTCAACGGGGGAAGGTGCCTCATCCACTGCCGCCAGCGCTGTTTCGGGCGGTAGGTACCTTGTAGCACTGACGTTGTTAGTGCACCCTGGCAGTTAGCCGCGCCCGCCCGCGCGTCTGGACCCGGCCCGGCTCCGTTCCTAAGCAATGGTTCCACCTCGGACTCCCGGGCTTTCCTGACAATCCGTTGGCTGTTTCAACCCTGGCGACCGAGAAACCGATAATGTGAAACATCATCCACATGTACCGATTGTCAAAAGATAATGATAATACATCCCGACGACTCCGTGCTAAGCTCAAAGATATATCTAGAGTTACGCTATACATTCAATGAAATCCCTGTCGTAATAACATGAAATTCAATGCTGTGGTGTACTCCTCGTGATCCAAACCGCTGCGTTACTCAACCACCGTTTGTCTCATTAATATCCTGATACCCTTCCTTACATCAAAACGCAAGCGTTCGCAAACCCTTTAGCCTGGTTAAAGACCTGGTCATAATACCCAGCCTCGGCCCCCTCGCCCGAAGCGCCATTGACCTGCTTGACCACACCCGTGACTCTCAGCGTCTGTTCCCCTTCTCCATGCCACCACCTCAGCTTCTGCAACGAAGTGGTCTCTTCCTCATCACTCCTAATCTCCCACTTGCCCGAGCTCACCTCCACCTGGCAGGCATCCTTGGGGAAGTGGTAGTCGGGCAAGAAGACCACTGTTGGAGTGTCCGGCTTGGCCGCCTCCGGAGCTTGGATAGTCATGTTGAACTGGCATGACCGCAGGTCGAACCCGTAATTCTTCACGGTACCGGCGGTGGCTATTGGTGCTGGGCGCACATATGCCTCGGCTGCGCGGTACCCTGGACTGTTGGTCAGTTCCGGCTGGCGTTGTGTGCTCTCCGACGAGATGGAGGGGTTGGTGAGCGTGCGCTTGATGTTAGCTGGGGTTACGCTGCTGTCGTCGTCCAGGAAGTCATCTTTAATGGTTGTTGCTGTCTCAACGTCAGAGCTCGAACTAGAGCTTGACCGGTTGGGACTAGGTGACTTCGGGACGGGTGAATGTGGAAGAAGCTTGTCATCCGGTGAGAAGATAGATAAATCTTCTCCGTTCCACTGGTCTCCCCTTTCATGATCGTTCTGCGGTCGCCGGTTAGCTGCAAATCTGCAAAGAATGCCCACATACTGATACATACCTTGGTCATATAGAGCCACAAAGTGTACCCCTCCAAGCCTGCCCCTTCTACGCCATAATGGTTGGCATCCATCGCTGCCGACTGGCTCGAGTAGTCACCCGTCTTATAAGCATTCTTGTCATCCATGTCGTAAGGAATGCCGAACTCGGTCATCACACATGGGTGATTCCCGATGTAGTCAAGACCTTCCTGTCTCATTGTGGCATGCTGGTTTTTGAAGCAATTCCGGATAGCCGTCTCCCCGATCTTGATGCCGAACGCAGGGTTCCAGTATTTACCGCGGAGAATCCCTATCACGTCGACATTCCACACTCGGTTCCATTTCTTCGTCATAAGCGTGATGCCGTCGTACCAATGTGGCGCGTACACTAGCAAGGGGTCATCGCCATCCGGAGTATTAATGATTTTGGGAGGCAGCTCCATAGTAGGCCCCTGAAGAAGGATGATGGCGTTGTGGTGGATTGCTCGGATCGTGTCTCGGTATTTGCGGAAAAAGTCCATGAAGTAGTGGTTGCTGAAATAAGAATAGTCGACATGCTCGCCAGTCTTGGGGTGCTTGCCGAAGTAGTCCTTTTCGAGCAGCGAGTCGGTAGCCGGATCCCATACACCGTGTTGAGCCCAAATACACTGGCCTAGCTTCCACCCGGGATCTCTCTTGTAGCCATAGCGAGACTCGTCGTAGTCTGCTGGTAGCCACGCCTGTTCACCGCTAGGATCAATAAGCGCCCTTCCAACCTTGTACGGGCCCATGCCGCCCATGTCCCAAGTATCGACCTCAACCGCTCGACCAGACCCCGTAAGTATGGTCTGCCAGATTGTAGGGCATGTCCCCTTCTTCAAGTTCTGTTCCTTGGGAATGACAGAGATATCCTCATAACCAATCATTCCCTTGTTGGGCTCGTTCAAGCTTTCCCAGCCAAAGACCACATCGTTTTCAATATCCCCAGCCTCGTGTATCCGCTGCGCAAGGTGGACGCAGGCCTTGAAGAAGTGATCCTGTAGGTAGTCCTGAATGTTGACGCCGTCAATGATGCATTTTGGCGCAAAGTCTCGCCCAGCGAAGAACAGTGTGAACATGGTTGCGGCAGCGAGCCTGTAATAGTTTGTCGACCAGATCATCTTGGGAAAGTTATGGGGTTCTGGGTAGACGTTATGAACAATGGCCGCCTCTGTCGCTGCAAAGCTTTGTGGGTTCAGACCAGCAGCGTATAGCGTCCACATGGGGGCGCCAGAGCCGCCCGAAAAACGAGACCACTGCGATGCGCAAAGTTAGCTTCTCTGAAGGTCAACAAAACACAAAAGAGAAAGTGACCTACGACATCCTGGTGAGGATCCATAAAGATGTAGAAGCCATAGCTCTTGGCTACGCGCAGAACGTCAATGGTGTGTTGTATCCATTCTTCGTCGTAGATGCCAGGGCCAGCAGCTTCGATAGCCTCCCACGTGAACACATAGCGGATGGTGTTGTATCCGAATCGTTTTAGACGCGAGAAATGGAGGTGGGCTTCTTCCTTGGGAAATGGTCGTCCAGTAAACTTAACATTGTCGCCGTCGAAGAAGTTCTCGCCGATATGAGAGGGCTGCTCGGGTTTGTTGGGATACTTAGCGTCGCCGGCGACGTTGATGCCTCGAAGCGTGATCTGTCTCCCGTGGACGTCACGAAAGAAGCCGTTCTCGATGGTGAGGCGGAAGCCGGTCATGTTGGTGGTTATGTGATTAGTGTCCCTGGTCGGCGATGTATCATCAATGTGGCACGAGGTATAAGACAGTTGGTATAAGAACTAGTATGCGAATTAACGGATTAGGTGATACGTAGGTAGGTAAAGAGGTCAGGGAAAAGTCAGAAAAGGTTGGGATGATCGGTCAGTGTTGGGTACTTCCCGCTTTCCCTTGTTGCTCCCATGGTTTGTCTGCTCGGCTCCATGTCAGCGGTCGACGTTGCTGGGCTGGTTGTTCCCGCCTGCCCCCAATGACGTCGAGGGTTTAGCGTTGATAACAGGGGACTGCGGATACGGGGAAGGAAGACAGGGGGGCCGAGGTCTCGCCAGCACAGCGATCCCCATCCCATACACCCCGCTCTAGGTTTCTTCAACAAGTCTCGCGATTTGTGAGGTTTTCATGAATCCCGGAACGTGTTATAGTAAAGTGGAAAAATATCTGCAGAAATGTATTAGGAGGAAACAATTGCAAACGCAGGCAATCCGTTCCATTACGTCTCCCAAGAGCAATGTGAGAAAATAGGGTTAGGGCTCAGTATACTAGAAGTGAATCAGTGGGCCTTGGCTGTTAACGTCAATCCCGCCCTGCATGCGCATGGTCCCAGTTCCACTGCAAGCGCTTTACGCGTGCCGCGGTTTTACAACGCGACGTTCACGATCATTTCGTGAATTGCCAAATCAACAACCAGAAACGAGGAGGCTACATTTACTTTCCAAGTCCACGGCACTTCACACTAGCTAAAGACACGACACTACTCGATCTGAGTAAAACCACTCTCATACTCAAACCCACACAAGATGCCTCATTCCGAATCACCACCAAAGTCCGAGGACTCGCCGATACCCATGGTCGACGCCGCTGCTGAGAGCACAACCGCCGCAGTCCCGGAAGTCCAACAACCAGCAGACGAGGATATTGACATGACGGATTCGAATGCCACAGCCCACACCTATGCTACAACTCAGACCCTCGGAGCAGAGTCAAAGGATGTTAGCCAAGCCGAGGCGCAACACGATCAAGAAACTCCAGTCTCAGATGCGGCCACGAGTGCGCCGAGTGCGCCGAGCGAGAACAAACCGACGACAGGAGTGAAGCTCGAAGAACTGTTCGATGAGATGGACTCCGACGAAGACGACGAGTTCCCAACTACCAAGGCAGCAAAGCGGGAGCCAGCAAGCTCACCCGATCTGCTCTCCTCGCAAAGGTAGCAGCACATCACAGACATGCTTCCAAACCCATTACAATAGAAGCTAACAAACTGTCTACAGTGACATGGAGATTGATCTCCACGAAGCCTCAGATCCCGAAGTTATGCGCACCTTCTACCAACGTCTCTTCCCATGGCGATATCTCTTCCAATGGCTCAACCACAGCCCAACACCCACCAACGACTTTGGCCATCGTGAATTCGCCTTCACTCTGCAGAACGACGCATACCTACGATACCAATCCTTTGCCACCTCGGATCTGTGAGTTTTCTTGTTTACATCTAGTTGGTTACCCTATGGCTACATCCGCTAACTCGGCCAACTCGAACAGACTCCGCAAAGATGTCCTCCGCCTCATGCCCTCTCGTTTCGAAATCGGCCCCGTCTACACCGCCAACCCGCGCGACCGCAAGACCCTGCGCAACTCGTCCGCCTTCCGGCCCTTATCCAAGGAACTCTGCTTCGATATCGATCTGACAGACTACGACGACATCCGCACGTGCTGCGACAAAGCCAACATCTGCCAAAGGTGCTGGCAGTTCATCACCATGGCCATCAAGGTAGTCGACACGGCGCTGCGCGAAGACTTTGGTTTCAAGCACATAATGTGGGTATACTCGGGCCGTCGCGGTGCGCACGCCTGGGTCTGCGACAAGAAAGCGCGCGCGCTCGACGATCAAAAACGTCGCGCCATCGCCGGTTACCTCGAAGTCATCCGCGGCGGCGCGCAGTCAGGCAAGAAAGTCAACCTGCGCAGGCCGCTGCACCCGCACTTGGTCCGCTCGCTCAATATTCTCAAGCAGCATTTCCAGGCGGACGTGCTCGAGGCGCAAGACCCGTGGCGTACCGAGGAGCAACAAGAGAAGCTTTTGGCTCTTCTCCCCTCTGACCAGAAACAACTCATCTCCGCCCTCCGCAACAAGTGGGCTTCGTCCCCCGACCGCCCCTCAATTCTAAAATGGGCCGACATCGACACGGTCGCCAAAACCTCCATGACGGCCAAGAATTTCGACACCAAGAACCTTTTGGATGCCAAGCAGGATATCGTGCTCGAGCACACGTACCCCCGATTGGATATCGAGGTCTCCAAGAAGCTGAACCATTTGTTGAAATCGCCGTTCGTCGTGCACCCTGGAACGGGCAGGGTGTGTGTGCCGATTGATGTCAAGAGAAACCTAGAGGGTTTTGATCCCCTGGGGGTGCCGACTGTGCAGAGTCTGATTAGGGAGATTGATGAGTGGAAGAAGCCGGAGCCTGCTCATGAAGGGGAGGGAGAGGAGAAGCATGTGGTGGATTGGGAGAAGACCAGTCTCAAGGGGTATATTGAGTTCTTTAGGAGCTTTGTGATTGGGTTGATGAAGGATGAGAGGGAGGTTAAGGTTAAGAGGGAGAGGGAAGAGGAGGGAGGTGGGGAGGGAATGGAGTTTTGAGGGTGAAGCAGAGGCGGAACTGGTTGAGGGTTATAAAAAGGTTGGGTTAAATGTCTGCATATTTTGTGATGTTTGGGTCATCGGCGTTGTACCATAGGTATTGGGTATGTAGGCCGAGGTCTAGCAGGTCTACGGCTGGCTTGAACATGGGGATACGATCTCCATTTTTGAAGACTGAAGGGTATTTTGGTTGTTGGCTCAATATAATTGGGTATATGATGTGATGCTGTCGCTATTCTAAACATACAGCAGTTCGCTAGACTGCCAGTGGATGATGCCGGGGATCTCGCTGGACTCTCTCTACAAAGCGCAGAGCCGTGACCCAGGCCACCCGAAGCATTTTGTCCCAGCTAAGACGGAGCTCTTAACCAGACGACTGCACATCCTGTGCCTGCTCTGTCGTCTGCTCTGCAACCTCCTTAGCCGCAGCCTCACCATTAGCTTCACCAGCGCCATTCTTCTCCTCTTCATCATCCTCGCCGTTGTCCGCAGCAGGGGTACCGCACGATGACTCGGCCTTGAGGGTTCCGCCCTTTCTCTTCGGGATAACAGTCAGGAACGCCTCACCCCAGTCACCGCACTCGAGCCATTTGGCCATGATCTCCACGACCTGGTTCGTCGTGAGGACATAGCGACTCTGCATGGCCATGTACTCTCCAATGGGTAGCTTAGCCGTCCGCACCTTTGCCGCCTTGGCCCGCCCGTAGCAGAGCCCCTTTTCGCGGTTCCTGTCCACCAGGCCGCCGATGACGTAGCACGTGTTGGCTTCTAGCTTGTCCAACGTGTAGTCAGACTCTGCCGACAGGTAAACGATCGACTGGTTCACATCCTCGGCCTCTTCCTCGACAGGCTTCGGCTGAGCCTTGGGAGCACCACCACCCTCCACCGTCTCCTCCACCGTCTCCTCGACTGCTTCCGGTTCAGGAAGCAACAACCCACCATTTCCACTCGGCTTGAGAAAATCGATCATGCCCTCCTTGACCTCCGGCTCCTCCATCATCTGCTTCGCAACCTCCGCCGCCTGCATGAAATCGCCCTCCACGCACTTGACCCCGCCCTTCCAGTTCAGGTGCGCGTTATTCAGCACCTGCACGAACCGGTCCTTGAGCTTGCCCTTCCACGAGCTGATCACCAACTGGGCCTGGTACTTGGCGCGCCGGTTCTGCGAGTAGGAGCGCACGATTTGCGAAGAGAGGGATACGATCTCGTTGTCGCGCATGTACTCCTCAAAGTCGCAGTCGATGATGAAGGCCACCGGCACCGGGTGCGCCACCCACGGCTCCCTGTACAGCTTCTTCACGGCCTCCTCCGGGTCCTCGCCCGCTGCGACGGCTTCGGCTGCCACGGCTTCTTTCAGCGCCCGCTTCTTGGCTTGTTGTTGGTGACGCTTCTCTTTGCGCTTTTCTTTGCGCTCGGCGCGGAATTGCTCGTGGGCGGCCTGCTTGCGGAGACGCTTCAGTTGGTTCTTGGAGAGTTTGGGGGTGCCGTCTTCGTTGGTGGCCGTGGGAGTGGTGCCATCGGCTGGTTGGCTTTCGGCATTGTCTTGTTTTTGTTGCACTTGTGGCTCTTGGGTGTTGTCTGTGGTGGTTGCGGTTGTGGTTTGCTCGGTCGGTTGCTGCTCGGTGCTGGGAGCCGCCGACTGCTCGGTTTGTGGTTGTTGCTCAACCATCTCTTTCGTTAACTGCTCTTCAGCCTTTCGCTTAGTATTGGTCGTCGATACGGTGTCTGCTGGGGATTGGGCGTGGGCCACGACGTCTTGAGGGGTTTGTTCCGCCATATTGTGTGGTGATGAGAAGATGCAATAGAGAGAGAAAGATGATTGGAACTATGGGAATTGAAAGGTGACGATCTAAAAGTTTAAGTGGGGAAGGGAATTAAAGGCCGCGGGGTGTGTCGCTGCAAACGGCAAAACGGCCCTTCTGTTAATGGTCACTTTTAGGCGGTCTGTGCTGTGGAAGGTGTTACAAAGACACCTCCGTACCTGCCTAGACGCGTCCCCCATGCTTCTCTTTTAATTGAGGCGCGTCTCCCCACTGACACGCAGACCAGCATCTTCTTTCCGCAAAAAGTCCCTGGTGTCACCATTGCAACCTCGGCCCTCCAACTGTTCTTTCTCTGGAATTTGTGCCGGTAAGCAAGAGGGAGGCGTCAATTCTGTACTACCTTACCATCGGACGAGAAATCAGTAAGATATCTTGGCCAATATGTCCTCCAGACCAGAGCTCAAGGTTGGTGAACAGCTTCATATGGAAAGAAAACAGTCGACAGCCAGCTAACTATGTCACTTTGGTTTTTGTAGGTCGATGACGAACATGGCTTCATTCGCTTCTACAAGTCCTTGCCACAACTTGGCGAAGAGGCCATAAGGATATTCGATAGAGGGGACTGGTACACAGCACACGGCGATGATGCCACCTTCATTGCCCGAACTGTCTACAAGACAACATCAGTTATCCGCCAGCTTGGCCGAAGCGATCATACCGGCCTTCCATCTGTTACCATGACCGTCACCGTCTTCCGGCAATTCCTCCGTGAAGCCCTCTTCAAGCTAGGGAAACGAATCGAGATCTGGGCCAGCCCCAGCGGCCGCATGAACTGGAAGATCGTCAAGCAAGCATCTCCGGGAAACCTACAGGATGTGGAGGATGAACTAGGTGGCCAGTTTGAGGGAGCTCCCGTCATCCTAGCAGTCAAGATCTCAGCCAAGGCTTCGGAGGCCAGGGCAGTGGGAGTGTGCTTTGCCGATGCCAGTGTACGGGAACTGGGAGTCAGCGAGTTCCTCGATAACGATCTATACTCCAACTTCGAAGCATTGCTCATTCAACTAGGCGTTAAAGAATGCATCATCACACAGGACAAGGGCGAGAAGGAAAAGGATCCAGAGTTGGCCAAGTTGAGGCAGATCATCGACAACTGTGGTGTTGCCGTATCAGAAAGACCTGCAGGTGAGTTCGGCATCAAGGACATCGAGCAAGATCTATCACGGTTGTTGAAGGATGAACGTGCTGCCACCCTACTCCCACAAACCGACTTGAAACTTGCCATGGGATCTGCCGCGGCCCTCATCAAGTATCTAGGCGTACTGCACGATTCCTCCAATTTTGGCCAGTATCAACTGTACCAACACGACCTGGCCCAGTTCATGAAGCTGGATGCGGCAGCATTGAAGGCCCTCAACCTCATGCCTGGTGCTAGGGATGGAGCAAAGAACATGAGTCTCTACGGGTTGTTGAACCACTGCAAGACTCCTGTGGGAAGCAGGCTACTTTCACAATGGCTCAAGCAGCCACTCATGAATGCGGAGGAGATTGAGAAGCGCCAACAGCTGGTTGAGGCCTTTGCCAATGACACCGAGCTACGACAGACAATGCAGGAAGAACATCTCAGGTCCATCCCTGACTTGTATCGGCTGTCTAAGCGGTTCCAGCGTGGCAAGGCAACACTAGAGGACGTCGTGAGGGCATACCAGGTGGTCATCCGCGTACCAGGCTTTATTGGAACCCTCGAAGGCGTGATGGATGAAGCTTACCGTGACCCTCTTGATGAGGTCTACACCAACAAGCTCCGCGAGCTCTCAGACAGCCTTGTCAAGCTTCAGGAAATGGTCGAGACCACCGTTGATCTTGACGCCCTCGATAACCACGAGTTCATCATCAAGCCCGAATTCGACGATAGTCTACGCATCATTCGCAAGAAGCTGGACCGACTTCGTACCGACATGGACAACGAGTTCGCCGATGCCGCCGATGATCTCGGCCAAGAGCGTGAGAAGAAGATCTTCCTTGAGAACCACAAGGTTCACGGCTGGTGCATGCGTCTTACCCGTACCGAAGCTGGCTGCATCCGCAACAACTCGCGCTACCTCGAGTGCTCAACCCAGAAGAACGGTGTCTACTTCACCACCAAGACTCTCCAAACCCTCCGCCGTGAATTCGATCAGCTCTCCCAGAACTACAACCGCACCCAAAGCAGTCTCGTCAACGAAGTCGTCGGCGTCGCTTCCTCCTACTGCCCCGTCCTCGAGCGGCTCGCCGCCGTTCTCGCCCACCTCGACGTCATCGTCTCCTTTGCGCACTGCTCCGTCCACGCTCCCACCTCCTACGTCCGGCCCAAGATCCACCCCCGCGGCACCGGCCGCACCGTCCTCACCGAAGCCCGCCACCCATGCATGGAAGTCCAAGATGATGTGACTTTCATCACCAACGACGTCACCCTTTCACGAGAAGACTCCTCCTTCCTCATCATCACGGGCCCCAACATGGGTGGCAAGTCGACCTACATCCGCCAAATCGGCGTAATCGCGCTCATGGCGCAAATCGGGTGCTTCGTGCCCTGCTCGTCCGCAGAACTCACCATCTTCGACAGCATCCTCGCGCGCGTCGGCGCGTCCGACTCGCAGCTCAAGGGCGTGTCGACCTTCATGGCTGAGATGCTGGAGACAGCCAACATCCTCAAGTCGGCCACGGCCGAGAGCCTGATCATCATCGACGAGCTGGGCCGCGGCACATCTACCTACGACGGGTTTGGTCTCGCGTGGGCCATCTCCGAGCACATCGTCAAAGAGATCGGCTGCTTTGCGCTGTTCGCTACGCACTTCCACGAACTGACTGCACTGGCGGACCAGTATCCTAATGTCAAGAATTTGCATGTTACGGCGCATATCAGCGGCACTGATGCCGACACCGACGCTGACAGTGAAAAAGAGAAGAAGAAGCGCGAGGTAACGCTCTTGTACAAAGTCTCGCCGGGAGTCTGCGACCAGAGCTTCGGCATCCACGTAGCCGAGCTGGTCCGTTTTCCCGAAAAGGTGGTGCGCATGGCCAAGCGCAAGGCGGACGAGCTGGAGGACTTTACTAGCAAGCATGACGAGGAGAATGGAGGTGGGCTGGGGGTGCAGTACAGCAAGCAGGATGTGGAGGAGGGTAGTGCGTTGTTGAAGGACGTGCTGGTGAAGTGGAAGGATGAGGTCAAGAGTGGGCAGATGAGTAAGGAGGAGATGGTGGGGCGATTGAAGGAGTTGGTGCAGAAGGATGGCAGGTTGGTGGGGAACCCGTTTTTTAAGAGTGTTCTGGCTTTGTGAGGGGGGGTTACGCTTCGCTCACCGGCACTTGTGGAGGTGGACTGTTAAGTTTATTGGGGATGTTTTTCAAAAGGAAAGATAGGGGGATATGGAATGTAAACATGGCTATGGACGGTGTATGGCGTATGGGAATAAGTGGGCTATGACAGGCTAAGCTAAAACCTACGCTCATGATGGCTTTATTGTGTTTTCCAAATCATGCAGGGAAATCAGACAAGGCAAGACAAGGCAGGCGTTCAGGGAGCGAGTTGTACAATACGGCACAGGCCACGGATTAAAATCATATGAGCAAATGACAGTAGATATGAATGGCACTAGACGATCAGTCAAACTATGCTCTGGAAGTCAACAAATACTGTGCCACCTCTGGCCAAGGCTGCCCCCCCAATTTCTTCAGATAGACGGGGCAGCTCCAGCATCAAACGAACACTTGTGCAAAAATAGCCAAAGCCTCCCGTCAAACTGCTAAGACCGCGTGATGCCAGATTGTAATCCTTGGATAATTGAGTAAGAAACTGCTGCTCATCGCAATCTTTCCATTTTATATGTACAGCCATACATAACACCCCTCCTACTTTAGACCCCATTCACAGCTCCTTATAAGCCTTCATCTCCCTCTCCCTCCTCTGCCCCGCCCTCTTGAGAATATCCCTCTTCTCCTCATTCAGGCTCATCAGCGCCCAAAACCCAGGCTAAAAAGTCTCCACAAACATGAAGGTGAAGAAAACCCTGTTTTTTCAACGCATCCCCTCCCCAGCCCCAGTCTCCCGCAGCCTCTTTGACCCCGAAATTGTACGCCGGCGTCTTGGGATGGCTGAACTGCTGCTGCTGAGCGTTGTCATCGTTGATGAACGGCGAAGAAGCGGAGAAGAAGAAGCTGTAGAGCGTCAAAAGAAAACTGAAAGTAAGGCGCAGGGGGACTTGAGAACCCCAGTGGTGTAGCAAGGAAATCTCTTCGGGCATGGAAAGAGACACAAGGTCCGAAAGGCCCCAGAGACCGAGGATGATGCCGAGGAAGGCGGTGGTGGGGGATTGGGTCTCGAAGTTGGTTGCGTGAGGCTGTAGTACACATTATAGGTTAGGATCATGATTGTATGTGCTGAGGGGACAGGGAAGGTAGAGAGGGCGAAGAACATACCAGGCCCATAGCCTCCCCCAGTAGCCAGACTACACCCTGGTCGGCAATGGTGGCGGGACGGGTGATGAAGAAGAAGGCGAGGGTGATGTGGAAGAGGGAGATGGAGGTTAAGATGGTTTTGGCGGATATGAGCCCCATTGTGACGGATTGGGATTGTTGTCGCTGTCGCTGTCGCGATGCTAGGTTCGGTCGGCTTGACAGTCGGTAGGTAGGTATGTATGGATGATGCGGGCTGCGTGCGGTAAAGGGGCGTTGGTGCTGGATTAGTGAGGTATGCGCAGACGGATGTGCTGTTGCTGTGATGTCCGGAAGCACAAGACGATGCAAAGTGAGGTGTTGATGTTTCGTGCGCCGTAAGACTTTAATTTGTACTCCTTTTCGAGACAACAAAAATGTTCTTGTGTCAAGGATAACTTTCAAGAACCAATTGAAAGACTGTGATGCTGGAACATTCCCACGTCCAGAAACTCGTATCGCAAGTTCCATGTCCAAACCCAATTTAAGCTCACACTACCCTAACCCTCTTCCTCCCACTGCCACAATGACAGTTCTTGGCCCATGCCATTTCCACACCTTGATGGCCTGGTGGGGCACAGCTGTTATCGATAGGGCAGCTATGGTGCTGGACAGCTTCCACTTGAAGCAGGGGACTGCCTTCAAACAACTGTTGACCTCCAGCTCTCATTCAGGGGGGTGAGCTTCATGAACAACAATCTAACTGAAAAACGTCACACACTCACTCTCTTTTTCATCTTTACACCTTTACACTTACACACGAGAGTACTTGGGAATATTGTATAACGTACTTAGCAATTGTACCCTCTTTTATCTAATATTTAATTAGAGTAATCATCCAGTTTCACGTCTCACAAACCCGACACTCACACCATGTCCATCCTCGACGGTGACGGCGACGGCTGCGACCAGCCCAAGGCCCAAAAAGAGGAACCTCAACAAGAAGAATGGCCCTACCTCGACGTCCACCGCCATCTCCGCTACTGGAAGATGTGCATCCGCGCACCCTTACCTCACGTCTACTTATCCAACGAATCCAACCGGCTGGCCCTGGCTTACTTCATTGTCAACTCCATCACCCTCCTAACTCCGCCTCCTTCGGAACGAACTGCAGAAACGCCAGAACCGCTGATTAGCCGTGAGGACAAGAAGCTTATGAGGAAATGGGTTCTTCACCACCAACATCCCACGGGAGGTTTCTGTGGCACTTCATCGCTTGTCTTCCCGCTTAAGGACTATGACACGTTCAACTTTGAGACGAAAACTTCTGATGAGCCTGAACATGCCGGTCTGGCCAACATTAGCTCTACGCTGTTCGGACTGCAACTGCTCGCGCTGCTGGCGGATGAGGAGGACGAGGCGGCGGCGGAGAAGGTGTTTGAGGGCGTGAACCGCACGGGGACGCTGCGCTGGCTGAAGAGTCTCCAGCGCGAGGATGGAAGTTTCGGAGAGGCACTTAGTGATCTGCCGGGTCACGGGAGGTTTATCGCTGGTGGGTATGATATGCGGTATTGCTACATTGCTACGGCCATTAGGTGGATTTTAAGAGGGGATGTGAAGGAGGGGGAACCGGGGTGGGTGGAGGATTTTGATACCGAAAAGTTGGCAAAGTATATCTTGAATAGTCAGGTATGTTCACTTCACCTTCTCAACTTTCTAATATTTGGTCACTGACAATATTCTCATAGACATACGACCGAGGATTCGCCGGTAACTCCCAAGACGAAGCCCACGCAGGCTACGCCTACTGCGCCATCGCAGCTCTCACCCTTCTCGACCGTCCTCTCACTTCCACCTCTACTTCCACCTCATCCACCCCCTTCCCCTTCCCCTTCCCCTTCTCCTTCTGCACCCCAAAAACCCTCCCTCCTGCACTCCTCAATCCGCGACCTCCCCGGCCTAATCCACTGGCTCTCCTCCCGCCCCTTTGTCTACCTCGAACCACCTCCTCCCCCTTCAGACAGCGACAGCTACATCTACCAAGAAGACGACCTTGACGACCCCAATTTTTTGCTGCCACCCACCCCATCCGACCTCCTCTGCTTGCTCTCCGAGACCACAACCAAGGACGGTCAACCAAAACAAGCCCACGTAGCCTTCAACGGCCGCACCAACAAAGTCGCCGACACCTGCTACTTCTGGTGGGTAGGCGGCGCGCTAGCCAACCTCGGCCACCTCGATAGTTTAGTTGATAAGGAACCCGCCAGAAGGTTTCTGCTGGAGAAGATGCAGCACCGGATCGGCGGGTTCGGGAAAAGCCCCGGGAGTCCCCCGGATTTGTATCATAGCTTTTTTGGCTTGGCGGTTCTGGGACTGTTGGGGGATGAGAGGGAACGGGGGAAGGTTAGGGAGTTTGATGCCGGGTTGGCGGTGCCGAGGGCAACGGTGGGGGTTATTGAGATGGCTAGGGGGAGGTTGGTCGAGTTGGAAAGGGAAGGTGGGAGGGGTGGGAAGGGGGAAAAGCAGTTGGATGCGGTTGAGTTGGGATTGGAACTGAGGGGTGGTGAGCGGGAGAGACCGAAGTGGCTTGGGGAGTGTGGGTATTGACTATTGAGTGAGGTTGGCGGATGATGGTGATGAGGGTTGAACTTGGGTTGCGAGTGGAAGTAGGGACTAAAGCGAGTATTTGGTAGCGAAAGCGTTGCCTGGTGGAACAGGTTTTTGCTTGCTTATACACAACAAAGACATATACTCGGAGCACACCCCTGAGCGATTTGCATTATCATCATTTCGAATCAAAAGTCAATTATCCAAGACAACATGGCAGTTTCATTCGCTCGCATGCTCTCATACCCAAAGTTCTACATAACCCATATCTCATCAAAATCATCGATACACCAATACATAAACCCACAAACTCCCTTAAGAGTTAAGACTCAAGCACCAAGCGCATGCTTGATAAGCGTCTTATACCCCTCCACCGCCGTCTCCAAATCACCCACCTTGAGCCCCTCATCATCCCCATGCGCCACCAGGATACTTCCCGGTCCATACAAATAACTGACATGGTCGCCCTCAAAATTTGGCACATCCGTTCCGTAGCTGGCCACCATGGTCTCGAACCCATCCACATCGCAATCACACTCGACAGGTCCGTACCCGCCCGCCCACTCCATCGTGAACGCCTCCTCGTCGACCTCCTTCAGAATCTTATCCACCGCGCTCCTAACAATATCCGCGCCAGTGGCCTGGTTACCCGCCGCCACGCGAATGGCCAGCTTAGCGCTAGCCTCCTTGGGGATAACGTTCGCTGCCACGCCGCCGGCAATGGTGCCGATGTTGACCGTCGTGTTGCCGTAGCGCTCGGAGCTGCCCAGGTCTGCATCGATGATCTTCGCGAGCGCTTTCACCAAAATTTCCGTAGCGCTCTTGAACAGCCACGGGTAGCCTGAGTGGCCCGCGATTCCGGTGGCTTTGAGAACACCGCCCGTGTGCCCCTTGTGGCCGCAGCTGAGCTTGTTCTCGGTTGGTTCGCCGTAGATGGCGGCCTTGAAGCGCGGGAGTTCCTCTTTTTTGCTTTTCTCGGCGTCGTTGTAAACGACCGAAAAAGTCTTCATCCCATCACCGCTAATCTCCTCGCCTACGACGAATAGGAGCATCAGGTCGGCTGGATCGACCTCCTTGGCGCGGATGAGTTCTTCGACCGCAACGATCTGCGCGGCCACGCTGGCTTTGGCGTCGACGGAGCCGCGGCCGCTGATGAAAGCGTCGGAAGTGATTTCTTCATCTGACTCGGAGGAGGTACTGATGTGGTAGGGGATAAAAGGTGGGACGACGTCGATGTGCGAGGTTACTAGCACACGCGGGCTGGAGAGGTTGTGCGAGGAAGGCCAGGCGAGCACGTTGAAGCGCCCCTGGGAGTGGTCGTCGTCGTCATATTGAGAAAAAGGGTCGGAGCTGCTGCCTTCGAGGAATTGGGCCTTGGCTATGTAGCCGAGGTTGTTGCGGAGGTAGTCGAGGAGGAACTTGCCGACTTCTTGCTCGGTGCGGGAGATGGAGGGGATTTCGATTAGGGATTTGTGTAGGGAAAGGAGGTTCTTGCGGTAGGATGGCGCATCTTCTTTGTTGGCAGATGGGCCAGACGAGGTGAAGATCTTGAGGGGAGAGATAGAAGAGGAGGAGGAGTCATCGACGACGAGTGGGTGTTGGTAGTGGTGGTTGTCGATGACGAAGGCAGAGCTGGGGGAGAGGAGGGAGGTTCCCCCAGAGGAGGAGGAGGTTGGATGTTGCCTTCATTTTGGGGGGTTTCCCTTGCCGTGGTCCGAGGGAAGGAGAAGGAAATGAAGAGGGGAGTTTTAAGTTTTAGGATGAAATAGATATTTCCATCTCGAGTCCCGAGTGGTGACTGCAATTGCGAATGTCGAACCCCACACCGGCTGGGTTCCATCCGCATGCGGCAGCGGGAGAGGTCCACTTTGGAGAAGAGTGGAGAACTGAAGTCGGAGTTGGTGATTCCCCAATCGCTGACCCTGCGTGGCCCTGCCAAGACAAAGGAGTGGAGACTGTGAAGTAAACAAACATGTACACGACCACAAGTCTTGCTTGAATCTTGATCACACTCGAGTCTCACAACAACTCAAGTGCTGAGTGATACTTGTGCTCTTGCCCACAAAACATCCAACCCATGAGTTTTTTGAGTATATATGCCCTACGCCTGCCCCTCAACGCCGGAACAACATCCCGAAGTGTAACTGCCATGTCTATATCTACTGGAATCTCTCAGGCATCAAGTCCTCAAAGTGGAACCTGCCATCCTCGCCCTTTACTACGGTGCCCTTCTCGGTAACAATGGCATCGATGTACTCATTGGGAGTGACATCGAAACCAGGATTCCAGACACCGATTCTCTGGTCAGCAATCGCCACTCTGACAGACTTGCTGGTGTCGATAGAGCCATCCGCGTTAATAACAGCGCCGCTGATCTGAGTCAACTCCTCACGCTTGCGCTGCTCAATCTCGATCTCGTCACCGGTCAAGGTGTCGACGTCAATGCTGGTGGTAGGGGCAGCAACCATGAACTTGATGCCGTGGTGCTTAGCGAGGACCGCGAGCTGGTATGTTCCGATCTTGTTCGCAGTGTCACCGTTGCGGACAACACGGTCGGCACCAACGATAACGGCGGCAATGTTCTCCTCGGCCTTGCGCAGACGGAACAGGGCGGCGGCCATGCTGTCGGTGATCAGGGTGGAAGGGATGCCCTCGTGGACAAGCTCGAAAGCAGTCAGACGGCTGCCCTGGTTGTAAGGGCGGGTCTCGGTGCAGTAGGCGTGTCTGAGCAGGCCCTCGTCGCGGAGGGTGCGGATGATGCCGAGGGCGGTGCCGTGGCCGGAGGTTGCCAGAGAGCCGGTGTTGCAGTGGGTGATGACGGTAATCTTGCTGTCGTCGGTGATCTTGTACTGCTCCTGAAGCCACTTGGCGCCGAAAGCACCGATCGACTTGTTGGTCTTGAGGTCCTTGGCAAGAATCTCTTCAGAGGCCTCAATGAAAGCCTTGATGATGGCCTCCTTGGCCTCGGCATCCGTCAGACCCTCAGTCTTGACATCGCGAACAGTCTTCTTGAGCAACTTGACGGCGTTTCCAAGATCAACAGCAGTTGGCCTGGACTCATAGAGGTAGTCCAGACGGCCATCAATGTACTTGATGGCCTCCTCGGGGCTCGTAGCGGTGCAGCTGCCGTTATGGAGCTCAACGGAAGCAGCCAAAGCAGCAACAATGGCGATAGCGGGAGCACCTGCGGTCTTTTATTTAGTATCTAGTTGGCTTGCTTTTACAGTATGGTTCCTGGGTAAACTCACCTCTGACTCTCATGGTCTTGATGCAGTCAAAGGCCTCCTCACTGGTGGAGACCTCATCATAGTGGTGCTCATGAGGGAGTCTCAGCTGGTCCAGGACCTCCAACTTGCCCCGGGAATACTTGATGGCTTCGAGAGCAGACATGGTGTTGATATCGTGGTGGGAGAGGCCTGGGGCTGAAAAGGAACCAAAAACAAACAAATGTCTTGGTCTATGAGACACCAAAAATTCTATAGGCGGGAGAGATGGTCAGAGGGAAAGAAGGACTTCAGAAAGGGCCTCGGAATTGTCACTGTCGTCTTCTTATTCCTCAAGGTTCTCACTTGAGAAACTGAGGATAAAAAAGACGCCCCACTAAGCCGCCACCCAGACAATCGCATCGTCTGATTGGTTAGAATGCTTCTGTATAAGTGCGCTAAAAAAGCTGCGTAAGGCATAACATGGGACTACAGTAAACCTCATTTGGGGTCGAGATCAAAAGGTGGGGCATGCTCAGGAAGGTCTGGCCGACAAGGTACCTCGAGCTTAATCGGTACCCGCTGCTGGCCGTCACACCGATACAGGGACAGCTCTTTACTGTACATGCTTGTACGGTAAACTTCAACAAAACAACCGAACGAACTGCCTCCAAGACGTCCTTGCGATTATTCAACTAGCGCAACGTTTGATACCCTTCCAGAGACAACGCCCGAGTGTCATGCCATAGATCTCGCCCCAAGACGGAGCTGTCCAGTATGGAACAGCCATTTTCCTCCTCCAAGGTCACAGGTTCGAAGCTCCCTATACGACACCCGTTTGCTTGTCCTCTCGCGGCGCATTCCATATACACCAAAGAGAAGCACTGCTAACTTGCATACCGACGTCCACAGTCGAGTACTGCGATCCCCACGATGTCTACAAGCTCCTTTCGCCGGGCCTGATCCCCCGACTGCCCCTCCGCGACCTCAACTGGCAGTCTCACGCAGGCCCCGTGCGCTCCATCAACACCCTCCACGTCGAACTCGTCCCCGCCGACCAAGCTGGCTCCGTCGATCGATCTTCGGTTCTCTCTCCCACCCCCGACAGCAAAGCCCCAGGCCATGGCCATGGCGACAGCACTGCTAGCCGCGACGATGGCTTCTCTACAGCGTCCATTGGTGCTGGTCGTGGTAGCTCTATCGACAACGCCGGGCCGTTGGGCGCGATTCGTAACTCCGGGCCTGTCGTTGCCAAAGAACGACGACATCAAATTCCTGGTCTACGACGTACTCCCTACCTTAAGGTCCTCTTTGTCAGGTGTGACGACAACGATGCATACAAGTCGACAACAAGAGCCGAGATCCGCGAATGGATCAAGACAAACACTCCGTCATCTACTCCGGGGAAAGCGACGAGCAATGCCGAAAACCACGATGCCTTCGAATGGTTGATTGTTCACGTTGTCATACCCAACACTGTCGCTGCTACCCAGCCGCGGTCAAGTGGGAGCAAGGCGGCCGATTCGAGTTCCGAGAAGACTTCGGCTCTCAAATGGCGGACTGGGTCCAGCACCCTGTTGGAGAAGCTGCGCAATGACTTCAACGGCACGGGCAAGGGCGCCGTTGACCGCGTGAGGCAGATCCGCATTGGCATCAACGACGTCCCATACGATCTCCTTCCTCGCGTCGTTCCCGCCGTGCCAACCGGCTATCACGAGACAGAGCAGGATAGCGAAAATGCCTGGCAGGACTTGATTGGAAAGATCAAGGAGCTCATCCTGTCGAGCTTCGACACCCGCGTTACCCAATATGAGGAGGACATTAAGGACAAGGATGCGCAAAGGGGCTTGCCTGGCTGGAACTTCTGCACGTTCTTCATCTTGAAGGAAGGACTGGCTCGAGGCTTTGAAAGCGTCGGCCTTGTAGAGGACGCCCTGGTTGGTTATGACGAGCTTAGCATCGGACTGGATGCTATCATTAAGGAGCAAGCCATTTCGGGCTCGGCTGAAGCTCACGGTGGAGCTCTTCTCGACTATACTGAGGAACTGAAAACTCTTGCCGAGCATGCCGCAAGCCAGATCTTCTCAGGAAATATGGAGTTTGAAGACGAGGAGACTGTTGATCTCCAGACTAGCAAGCGGGTGAAAGATACGGATCCCTTCGGTGCTATTCCCATCAGCTCCACCAAGAAACCATACCGCGAACTGATTCTTGCCAATAACATCTCGCTTTTCGACTTCAGATGCTACATCTTCTCTCGGCAGGTTGCCCTCCTTCTGCGGCTCGGCAACGCTTGGTCAACCAGAGAAGAGCTTCTTGCTAAACTCAAGGAACAACAAGACTTGGCTCCTCGGGGTGTTGCACCCAGGGCACCACCGCCAAAACAGGCCTCGGACGAATCTGAGAACCTGTCACAGCTTGCCGAGATCTGCAGGAGGACATTGGAGTTTGTCCCTGCAGTCTCCATGCTCATCCGCAAGGACATTCTAGCGGCCTTGGGTCTGGGGAAGGGAGGCGTCGGGGCTGGTGATGATTATGAGAAAATCGACCCAGTACTGGCTGAGGTTATTGACAACATTGTTGCTTCGTTCGCCTTTTCCGTCGCGCAGCAAATCCTTGCCCAGACTTCCACCAAGTCTTTGCAGATCCCTGCCCCCATGCTGGCAGCTGGTTCTGATAACGAGCAAAAGTCCGCGATCCCGGAACCAAAAACGATGATGCATCCTGCGCGGACCTCGTCCATCCCTTTACGCCAGTCAATACAGCGTCCTCCGCCCAGCCCTGTCGGGTTTCCCGGGCCTGGTCGCAAGGATAGCATAAATGATGGCGAGTATGGCATGGCTCAGTTCCTTAAGACGGGACTCGAGGAGTTGGCCGCGAGAAGAGCTGAGCTGTATACGCTGTCTCGAAACGTTCTCGAAGAATGTGGTAAACGGCGCGGCTGGACTAACGGTTGGGCTGCGGTACCCATAGTAGAGAGCGGCGCTTCCGACTTGCAAGAGATCAGCCTCGATGACGAGCCAGAGTCAGATGCGAGACCCGCACCAGAAGTCGAAGTCTCCCTTCAGGCCTCGGTATCTGGTGTAGGCAATGAGTTGCTACGCACTGCCCTCGACAACAAGGATGACTTCTACCGACTGTACGAGACGTTAACCGATAAGGCGATGCGTCACTACTCTGTCGCCAAGTATGACCACTCGGTCCAGGCGACCAAGGCTGACCTCGCAGTCCTCAAATTCCACCTATCTGAGTACAAGGAGGCCGAGTATTACTTCTATCATACGATCCCGTTCTTTGGGGGATGTTCGTGGAGTCTGCTCGAGCTTTCCATGCTCGTTATGTATGCCAAGTGCTTGAAGGAACTGAGTAGACAAGAAGACTATGTCACCAAGGCACTTCGCCAGCTCCTAACAAAGGCTGCAGCAGCTGAGCGGGATAGGTTACAGCAAAAGTCTATGATCCGTATGGGCAACGGGTCCGCAAAACAATACCCAGAGAGTTCCGCGATATCTGGCTTCCTTGCCGATATGCTGACAGTTTCGGCAACGCTAGAGAAAGAGGTCAAGATACCATTGACCAACTTCTTTGGTGAAGTCGAGCTTGACGGTCCGCCGACCTATGACGATGACCAGGATAGTTTCTCACTCTCGCTGAAGCTTAGGAGTCTTCTGGTTGACGAGTTTGACGCGGAGTCTGTCAGCCTTCGTATATCCAGCCCTGGGTTTGGCGGCAACAAGGAGATTTGGGTGCAGGCCAAAGGCCCTGTGACAATCAAACCAGGCCGGAACAAGGTTCCACTACAAAGCAACATGTTGATGCCAGGCAACTATGAAGTTGACCAGATCCGCATCAAGAGCAGCAATGTCTTGCTGCACTTCGAGCGAGAGCTTGGACAAGTGGTGGAAAAGCCATTCACTGTCCTGCAGAACCCTGCTGTAACGCTTTACCAACGCACGAGCTCGCTTGACGTCCGACTCTTCAGCAGCAAGGATATCCGACTGGACTCAAACAACATGTTGGAAGTCGAGGTCATGACCGGCTGGAACGAGATCACGAGTGCTGAGGTGAAGATCAAGTCGGCAACGGGAGGTTTGCGGCTCCTAATGGGGGATGCTGTGATCCTTGACGAGTCGGCAGGGAAGTCAAAGAAAGTCGAGGGAGGAACATTCACGTTTGGGGCCATCGCAAGAGATAGTTCCGTGAAGATCAGATTCCCCTTCAAGATGGAGCAGGACGTACTCCACGTCGCTGTCAAGGTTGAAGTCACATACTCAACCGACAAGGGAACCTTCACATTCTTCAAGACCTCTTCGGTCTCCATTGCTCTTGCCCTAGGAGTCAATGTCCAAGACGTGTTCAAGCACAAGGCGCTCTTCTCCCGATTCACCGTTTCCACTGCTAGCCCCAGTCCCTTGAGGCTGTACAAGAGCGAACTTATCCCCTCAGACCTTTTCGAGTCTCATTACGGGATACCACCAAGCGACCCAGTCGCTATCTTCCCCAAGCAGCCAGCCAGTCTGCTGTACAAGATCGTCAAGAAACCCGGGGTAGCTATCGGGCCCAGCACGAAGAAGACTCTCTACCTGAAGCTGTGGTACAGCGTCCTACAAGACGAGATCGAGGATCTCCTCGACAAGACCCTCACCAAAGACCTCGCCGACACTCCTCTGCGACAATACTCCAAGTTGATCGTCTACAAAGTCCTCGCCTGGAGCCAAAAGCGGCTAACAGCCTACGAGCTCGAGAAGTGCACTTTGCTGGGCGAGCTCTCCACCTCGTTCCTGTCAGACATCAACTGGGCAACCCAATTCCCCGGCATCGGGCCCACGTCGAGTTCCTCTCTCCAAGGCGAAGACAGCCACCAGATCGCCGCCAAACTAGCCGCCTTTCTGCGCTCCTGGCTGCTCGCCAACCCCGTCTTGCCCTTAACTCTCCCTGACGTGGAAAACCCCCTCCTAATCAGCACGATCCTAATCCCCGTCGACATACCCTCCATAACCATCGTGCACACAACCGACATTTTGTTTCAGAAACCTCCCTTTCCCATTAACTCCGACTCCAACACTTCCCACCCTTCCCAAACTTCCCAAACTTCTTCCTCTCTTGAGGAGGTGGTGGAAGGAGGCGGCCAAGAAGGCCAAGAAGGCCACCCAACATTCATAATCAACCAACAACTCCCCGCCACTTTACGTCTCAAATGGACGCGCATCTGGGACACCGCCTACCCTGCCTCTCCGCAACGCTTCGAAGACCTGGAATTTAGTTACGAGATTAACGCTCCGGCTGATACGTGGTTGGTGGGCGGACGGCGGAAGGGTCACTTTGTCATACCCGCTGCTGCTGCTGCCCCTACCCCTCCTACAAATGAAGAAGAAGAAGGGGAAAAGGAGGGTAGTAAAGAAAGTAGCACACCACAAACAGAAGCCGACATTCCCCTCCTTCTCATCCCTCTCCGCGAAGGATACCTGCCTTATCCCGCTGTCGACATAAAGCAGGTTAAGTCGTCGTCTTCATCTTCCAACTCTCCCACCAGACCTTCCGATGGGCAAGCAGGTAGTGGAGGTGCTGGAGGAGGAGGAAGTGGAGGTGGGAGTATACACGGCCACTGCGAAACTGATAACAGAAACCTAGGAGAAGTAGTGGAAGTTATTAGCGATCGGGCAAGGGTGACGCTGAGTTTGGACGCGAGCGGGCCGGCGGGCGGACCGTTGGTTTTGGAGTGTGATAGGGTTGGGTTGGAGGGGGTGGGGGGACGGGTTGTTGCTTAGTAGACGGGAAACATGATGTGTTGTGTGTTTAGGTGTGGTGTTGTGTTCAGGTTAGCCAGACAGACAGAGAGAGAGAGCCTTGAAGTCGTTTTCTTTCCTTGTCATTTTGGGTCATGAGGTATCGTAGAATTTAATAAAAACAGGCTACATACATCACGTTACCTTCCCATTTTGTTGTGTGACCGACTCCTATACATCTCAAGGAGATTTAGGCCTTTACTACTTCACTTGGAAGATAGTAGCCGCTTTGCACCGTACCACATACACATACAGCTTTAAACTTTCAAACCAGTATTTCCAATATCACACCATGTATAGTACATCCCAAACAACCTCCCTTACGAGACCATCACAAGAACATGTGAAACAATGGTATACGTTGTAGTAGTGCATTTTCTCTAGCATGAATGCTCATCTCTTATTTATTCTCTCTTCTTATCTTCTGCTTCTCTCGTTTCTCAAAGTGGTCTGGTCTGTCGGTAGCAGCAACGATTCCATAACAATTACTAGACTACGTGACACAAGTGAGGTTCTTTAGGACCACGCCGTAGGTGGTACCTGGTACCTAAGCTAAGGTCTAGTAGCTTAGATGCCCTCAAAGTCACCACCGAGATCATCCTCATCCAGATCTCCCTCCTGTATCTCCTTGGCCAAGTCACGCTCGCGCTCTCTTGCTTCCTGGGCATTCTTAAGCTCGAGTCGGTGCTGGTTCATGGGGAAACGCATGGCCTAGTAGTTACAAACATTGTTAGCGAACCGTTGTCATCATCTTTACCAAGGACGGAAGACAAAGAAAACATACCTTGACACTCTCATCATGCAAAGCCAAGCAAGCGCGAATACGATCATGGAACGCCTCCGCCGGCTCGCTGGTGGCATACACGTCGCCGACCTCCTTGCTCTTCATGAAGCCGCGCTCCCTGTCAAGCGTGGCCTCGATGACGCCATCTCTGATCGCCTTGGCCACAATGTACTCGGCGCTCTCCTCGCTGCCGAGGTGCAGACGAATGCAGATGTCGCGGAGCGAGATGCGGCTGTAGCTCAAGCTCATCATGCGGATGCCCGTCTTGATGACGTTCTGGCGCAAACGCAGGATCAGGCTGTAGGTGCCGTCGCGGCGGAATGTGTCGGCGTGCTTGGCGATGGTAGTCTCGAAGTCCTCGAGGTTGCCGACGCGCACGGCGCAGACGAGCAAGAAGTAAGGGTGGAGCGTGGCTTCCATGGTCGGCTGGCGGAAGGTGGCGCGGTCGGGGATATCGCCCATCAAGAGCTCGACAACGAGCAGGAGCTTGGTCGCCGTCTGGCTGAAGCCAAGCGCACAGGGGCTCGAGGGAGCTTTTCTCGTCGCCGCAGTGAGATGCTCATGGGCCTCGGTGTACCGTAGTTGAATGGCCCGGACACGGCCGAGGTAGTACAGGAAACGCGCAACCTGGTTGTTGGCGGCGTTCTCGGGGAACTGCGTATGCTGCACCAGGAGATCGGCCTGGGAGATATGCGACGTGAGCAGGTAGTTGCGGAGCAGGAGGACGATGACGGAAGCTTGGGTATCGATATCCTTTCGTAGAACGGCGGTTCGAAGAGCGGCAAGGAGGATCGGGCGGATCGAGACAATCGGCGACTGGGGCGAAGGCGGAAGGGGAGCGAGCTGTTCAGCGAAGAGCGAGAAGTAGAAGTACACCTTGGCCGAGAGGCTGTCTAATGTGCGGCGGTTGAGGGACTGGATACGCTCGGACAGGAAACGCGACAGGGCGAAGCCGCGCTGGAACTGTTTGGTGTCGTAGAGGTGGACCTGCGCCAGAATGCCTAGGAAGATGTCGATCTCGGGGATAACCTCCTTGGCCTCCTTCTTGACACCGTTCTTAGCTGGCGACTTGGATCCCGAGTCGATCTCCATCTCTGAGCTGGGCTGACCGCCGAGAGTAACATCTGGCCGGTCGATGGCGAGCAGCAAGTGCTCGGCAATCTGAGTATTGGGTGACGAGGCGGAGAAGGTTTCTGAGACGACTTGTGCGAGGATGTCGGGTGTCAAGCGTTTCCGGATCGACGAGATTGATCGCAGTGCCCGTAGAGAGAATCTAGCATCGAAGAGGGCAACAGCACGGTCTAGGAGCGCAAAGTTGCTCTTGATATCTGTTCAAACAAGCAAAGGTTAGTTGGGCCCAAAGATGGAAGAAGTAGAAGCTGGAAACTGGAAAGGTATCGTACCGCTCATGGCTTGGGCGACGGGGTCAACCTGGGCCTCAGCCTCGCCGGCCTTGGTGTCGTCTCCCATGGCAATGTCGCCATCGGCGTCGTTGGGGGGTTGCGCAGAGCTCTGCTTATTCTTGGGAGGCGGCACAACGACGGTCATCTCGTCCTCGCCTTGCTTTCCCGACTTCTTGTTATCCTTGTCTGTCATCTTTCTTCGAGAACCTTTCCACCCCAATAGCTTCCGTGCTGCTCGAGTTGGTTCCTTATCTGGAGCGTTTCCCGTTATAAGCTGAGTGGGCTAGAGGTCGTGTGCGTGGTAGCTGAGTTGGTAATGGCCCGATTTGGTGGTCGATGGGAAACGGGGTTGATGAGATGGTGGTGGGGGTTGAGACGGTTGCGTTGGCGCGGGTGATGTTGTAGTGCTGTGGTGCGGTGATGATGACGCCGTTTGGTGGGCGACCTAATAGCAGACTATGTAGAGGTATGAGTTCGAGTTGCTTGGGGCGATCTCGCGAAGCGCGCCCTCCTTGCAAGCCTGGAGCAAGCAGCTTTAGCAGCAGCAGCTGGCAGAGTCGCAGTGGATCTAGCTTTAGGCGGGGGATGGGTCACTATGGGGGTGACCTTCGTCGTAGGCGTTGCTGGGTCGGGAGTGGGTACTACGCGAGGACCAAAGGCAAAGTTGATCCGTCGTCGTTGTCGATGAATATTTTCTTCCAAGATGTAGGAAGGTTCGGGCTTCACAAGAGTCCCGGTTGCTTTGACGGGAATTGTTGAACGATGAAAGTGCCGGTCACGGTTGGTCGCCCAAACGGACACGGGCCATATGAGAGCGGACGACCAACTGAAGGAGCGCCCCCTGTACACTGCTACTGCTGGAAGGCAGCCGGCCACCTACGTACATTATCAGGTACCTTGTACCTTCGCACAAGCTCCAGAAGAGCTTCATTCCTGTACTGTGATTGGTTAATTCTGCTCAGCCGGGCCCACTGCGGCTCGTCACTGACGTTGTTGATGTGCTGCCTGTGGACGACGTCCAAGTACGAGGGTACCTCCTTAGGTACACTTACAAATAACTCGAGTGTGGACAACATCACAGCCGCATTTACTAACCACCAATGTGAACTTTTACGACTCGTGAACTTGGGAGACATCGTTTCATAATTCAGTATCATTTTCAACAACACTGGCCGCAAACTAGTATCCCAGGTCACCTTCCATCTTACGACTGAGGATATGCAACATGTCTCCTGAACTGCATGATCTTGAACATCACAAGTCACATTTTCACTTACTAAACGACCTATTGTATCTTAAGCATGCGTCTTTAACTTAAAAAATAATTGGTGCCTCTACCTGAGCAAAGATATAGGCGATCCATACCATGGATAAGCATATAAGTACCCCGACCTCATCCAGTAGTACGCCGCCATCCTCCATCTTCCATTTCCATTTCCATTTCCATTTCCCAATTCCCAATTCCCAATTCCCCCCATCACGGAAGATTACCATACCAATACACACAACCTGGAACCGAGCACCGACGTCAATAAAGACCCTAGGTGATCACCCCAATCATCCCTTGACATGCGGATTATAATGCTCCTAGAGATCTCCCTTGCCAGGCATGACCTTAGCGGCCTGTACCGCGCTCATCTTGGTGATCCACTGCGCATTAGGCTGCACCTTGCGCACCGTCCTGAGCTCGTCACTAGAGTAGCCCGGAATACGGATATTGTAGGTGCGCTCCAAAAACGAGCTGGATGTCGCGGATCTCCAGAACCTTGGATCCTCTCTCCTTGGCGTTGCGGGAGGCTGCGTGGAGGACGCTCTCGGTGAAGGAGTCGGCGAGACCAAGGACGGACTGTAACGACCGTGTTAGCTCAGCTTAGGTGGTTGTGAGGTGAAGATTTTGTGAGTCTGCTAGTAGGAGGGAAAAGATACCGGCGGACTTCCGCCGATAGAACTGGGGCAAAAATGAAGGAATAACAAGGTTCCGAAAAAGAAGAACGTACCTCCTCAACCTCAGGCGTCAAGAGATTTCCATCCTGGCCCTCGGCCGTACCGCCGCACACCTGCCTAACCAGTTCGTCCAGCTTCTTCTTGTTCAGAACCCTCTCGCCCTCGCCCTCGAGCTGATAGGCCGGGGTCTTTTGCAGTACGGGCTGGTTCATGACGCCGACACCGGCTGTGCCACCGGTAAGAGTTGGACGACTAGGTGGGCCTGCAACGGGCGTGGGAATCTGCGTCGCCTTTTCCGGGAGCGTCTTTACGATGGGGAACTTGGATGCCTGCATAGTCTGGGGCATAGCGTTGGGGTGAGCGTGGGGATGTCCCTGCGTTGAACCTGCTACGCTGCCGGGAACAGTGGCAGGTGTGCCGCCTGGCGCAGGTACGTTAGTAGCGGGGATAGAACCGGCACGTTGCTGGCCTGCGAGGTTCATAGCCGCCGCGTGCGAGAGCGGCTGGTTAGGCGTCCGCTGTGGGGTTTGATGGCGTTGTGAGATTTGGGTAGGGGTTCCAGTCGCCTGTACACCAACCATGCCAGAGGGAATAGCCGTGTTGATGGGAGCAGGCATATGAGTAGGCTGTGAGCCAGGCTCGGCTTTAATGTGGTTCTGCGTAGCCTGTTGCTGTTGTTGCTGTTGCGGGAGAGCAGCCTGGGTCGTCGGAGTTTGGGTGGCGGGTGCCAGATGTGGCTGCGCTTGTTGTGGCTGGCTTTGAGGTTGTCCCTGTGGTTGAATGGGAGTTTGCGTTTGTTGTTGTTGGTGTTGCTGCTGCTGTTGATGTTGTGGTTGTTGTTGCTGTATCTGCTGCTGTTGTGGTTGCTGTTGTTGGTGTTGCATTTGTTGATGCTGTTGCAACTGATTCGTAGCGATTTGAGGTGAATGAGAAGGCGCAGGGGATTGTTGGGCTCCTTGTTGCGATGCCATTCCGCCCACACCCGCCATCTGTCCAGCGTTTTTGGCCGCTTGGATAGCGGCGTTCATGGCGGCTGTGGATGGTGCCATTCCAGCACCCAAGGTTTGGCCTTGACCTTGAACCTGAGCGGGTCCTTGACCTTGAATCTGTATTTGTCCTTGTTGAGGGGCCGCCTGAGGTTGCTGCCCTTGTTGTTGCGGCCTTGCTTGGTTCAGCATCGGGGTGGTGTTCGCCGCAATCGGGACGGCCTTGTTCACAGAGCCCGGCATCGGAAGCGATAGTGGTGTATTATGAGGAGGCTTCACTACTGTCTGACGAATTTGATTGCAGATGTTCTTGGAATCGTTGAACGACTTCTCCGCCATCGCTTTGCGGCTCATCAAATTCTGTTGCTCTTCAGGAGTGAAAGGCTTCTGGGCGTTCCTCCGTTCATCCATAAGACTGAGAAGATTTACCAGCGTCGTGTTAGTGCTGTGAAGGCCCAGAAACGCCCTCATGTATCTGTTCCTAACGTCTGTCTTCCACTTTTCGTGGTCCTGGGCGAGCACGTTTGGAGGTACGTTGAATTGTAGTGCCGTGACATGATTAACGACAACTTGGGGAACGCCGCCAGTCTTGTTTGGCTGTCCCGGTGCTGTAGCAGGCTGTCCTGGACGGACAATGCCCGCAGTGTTCTGGGGAGTACCAGGGGCGATCTGCGATGGTGTCGGTGATTGCTGAACAGTGCCAAGCTGAGGAGTTTGTCCAACTTGTTGTGGCATTTGCTGCTGGCCCTGTTGCTTCTGCATTTGAGGTGGTTGTTGTTGTTGCTGAAGTGGTTGTTTGGCCTGGATTTGGTGATGGGGTGGTTGTTGTTGCTGTTGATGCAGCTGGGGCTGCTGTTGCTGTACTTGACCGGGCTGTTGTTGGCCAGGCTGTTGCTGCTGCTGCTGCTGTTGTTGTTGTTGTGGTGGTGGTGGTGGTGGTTGCTGTTGCGTCTGTTGAGGTTGTCCCTGAGGTTGCCCTAGGGGCTGTGCCTGTTGATTCTGCTGCTGCTGCTGTTGCAGCCGTAACTGCTGTTGTTTCATTTGCAGGAGTCGTGCTTGCTCAGCCCTCTTCTGCGTCAACTTGTCTTGCAGCATCTTGCTGAAGGCCTCGATGCCACGCCTAGCGTTGAGCTTCTCTTGCGATCCTTCGGGTGATTCCTCGAAATTCTTCCACAGATTTGTCAACCCGTTTTGATAGCTGGTCTTTTCCTCAGCGGTCAAGAACGCGATATTTTGTACTTGGTTGGCACGGATCATTAAAGGTGCCTGTGGTCCCGGGGCGACACCGGGAGGTTGAGTATTTGGTTGCGCCGGCCCTTGGCCGGGCTGGCCTTGACCGGGTATCTGGTTCATGGCGGTTGCTTTGTTCACCAAAGTCTAATGTCCCAGGTTCTTTTAGACCGTCGGGTGGTCGCACAATCGAGATAGCTGGGCAGAGTATCGACAACACTAGCTTTGATTACGAAGGCGTTTGGCGTGATGAAGGGAGCGGATGCCGACGCGGAAGGTTCCAATTATATAGATATGTCTGCGAGACTTCGTCGATGCGATACGGTACTGAAGAGTCCTGCGCAGCTTTTAGGCATCAGCAGGTATTCGCAATTGCAAACGTGCCCGGGGGTTTGCTACCTTTACAAGAGCTACTGAAGAATAGGACGATTTAGTGATTGCGGCTTTGGAATTTCGATGGAAGACCACGGGAAGAGGTTGTTGGCGGCTGGACTTCGATCCGAACTTTGAAGATGTTTCTTTGATAAATACCATCCTCAGTCCGTCGGCTTCGCCATCGTCGCCGTCCACGGACCTGCTCTCAGAGAATGTGGCTGGAGCACAGGCGTTCACGCTACTGAGCGCGCAACGCGACGTGTTCATTGGCTAAGCCACAACATCTTTTAGACCATCCCTGCCGCTCCAGTTACAAGGCTGTGGCGCTCCTCCCTCTAGTAATTGTAGCATAAAGGAGCAGTAACTCAATTACATCGTATAGTCGGACATATTGCCAGCTATCCTGTTGAAAGGAATGATTTTGTAGTTTATCGCAGTATGACTTGCTTCACGGTGCTTGTCCATTGCCGCTGTATCTTCCATGTTCCAATAATCATTCCATCCCATTCTGTCTTCAACTTCCACTTATTGGTCAATCAATCTTCTCAATCACGCCGCCTGAATCACTTCTGTGAATTTCGTCTGTGATGTGTCCGAAAGGTTTGTGCTGTTGGCATGCATCCTTTTGTTTCCGCCTCTTCACAGATGACAAGATTTCGAGACCGACGTGTTACACAGGAAATCACCCAGAGGTAGTTAGTTGTATAAAGGGTAAGAAGTTATTGCTTGAGAAGTTCAACCATGCACAAACAGAGAGAGCTATAACATGAACCTCTTTGAATTTGGCTATGCTGTACATGAACTCGTACCGAACCCGTTATTGGATCCTTGAAAACCGAATGCCAAACCAGTTCGTCAAAAAAGAAGACTACTCCCAAATCCATATGATTGTTGTTGATTTCAACGTCAACCCCTTCAGGCCAGATTCTTTGGCATATGATGCCGAGCTGCCCAAACATTTCTTGGTACAAGACAAATCCGCTTCCTCTGTGCAATCCCAGTGTAGATGGTATCAATGCAGTCATGACTCCTCTCGTTGCCTGGCATGTGATCAACTCCTAAACCGGGAAAGTTTCTGAACTCCAAGGCAAACCCCCATGTTGAAACCGCTAATTTGGAAAATGCAAAGCCGTTATTTTGTACGGAAATCGACCCTTTTCCCTGGTCCACGTTTTCCTCCTGAGAGAATGAAAAGCCCAAGCTCCCTCTGTTGTTCCGGTTTCTTTTTGGCGTATCTTCATCAGTCGTGTCTATCGTGGTATCCATTGCCCCTTTGCGCATCTTTCTATATCATGTTCATAAGTTCATTGTTGTCGTCAAGTCGTGCTAGTGTGTTGCTGGATGCCGCTGTCGTTCGAGCCCCAAGTTGATGATCCATATCATTATCCTATCCCTCATGGTGAATCAATATCCATGACACACTCATAAGAAGGCAGTTCTCTAGACCATGTTGACTCATCAACAAGAATCTCCTCATTACTCGAATCCGGCTCCTCGATCTCATCAATCCTCGGTGGCGGCGGCGGCATCGGCTCCGAGACAACTTGCACGCCTCCGCGGCGGCGGTCACCAACTCTGGTGAACATACGTCGTGGTGTGCAGTAAGGGCCAGGCTCCTCTCCTGCACTAGTAAATAACCGTTTGAAGTCCCTGGGATCTTCGCGGTCTGAGTCGCTTCCCATGCTCTCGGCGAATGTCCGCTTGCCGACGCTGCCCGACGTCATCCGCTTGCGCCTCCGCTCCTCCCGCTGCCGCCTCACCATCTCGTGGTGTTCGGCCTCTTCGATGTCTGTCGAGTCGTCATCACTGCAGTTCAGTTGACCGAGCTCGTGCATGACGTTTTCATAGATTTCTCCTCGATGACGTCGGGACCTGGACCGACTTCGTTCTGATTCGGCGTACTCGATGGTATCCGGATAGATCACAGAGACACCTGCATTTTCGTCCTCATCGTCGCTGCCATCGCTCATCTCCTCGACAATGAGGTTGGGATTTGTCACGACTCGTCCCGGGCGAATTGGTGGTGGGGAAGGCGACCGTGACGGCGACGGCGATGGCTGCATGGATCGCGGAAGACTGTTTGTACCCAGATCGTCGTCGTCTGAATCGGATGAAGTTTCCGAGGAGGTGCTGCGGGATTGTGGTGAAAGCTGATCCGGGTCTATTGCTCGGGTAAAGCTGAAGCTGGGGCCGTGAAGGCCGTGAAGGCCGACTAGCCGGCGGACGGTGATGGACGGCATTGGTGGAGGGGAAAATTGCCCGTGTGACGGCATTGGCCCGTGCCAAGGACTGCCCTTCCGGCTGGAGCCCGGGGACAATGGTGGGGACGAGGGTGCCGCACCTTGCGGCATGACTTTGATATTTGGGTTTGATGGCCACATGATGGGCTCGGTAGGCTGATAATGGTGAAGTTGACGAAATGTTCAGATGCTGCGTCCGGTTTGGCTATTGCTTTCCTTTTAAAACAAAAGTGATGAGACCGGACTTGATAAACTGATAAGTGGTTTGCCGTAGCTGTGGGGTACGGATGCCGCTATGACGATGCCGGTGGTAAAGATCTTGGATCTCGGAGTGAACAAGTGGTACAGTACCAACGGGAGTACAGGTGAAAGTGAGTCAGGGTGTCAACACCCAAAGAAGAAACCTCCGGCTAGGAGATTGAAAAGGCCTTTGGTTGCTGGTCATGATAGTACTGTCTGATGCGAACTGGACCCAGGCTTCAGCACGGGATAGGCGAGGACCCAATTCCAGTCAGGAAGACATCGACCAGTAGAGGAGTGTTGTTTGGTGTGGGGGGAAGGATGATGGCGAGATATATGTACCGGTCAATGGGAGATCTTTCTTTTGCCCGTTCCCAGAGCTGCGGGAAAGATGACAAGGAAATGCCTGCGGTTGGACTGTTGCCAATGGGGGACGGGAGCCGTAACCTATGGGATGATGCCGACAAACTTGCCCACTGTGTATGTAAGCCTGGGATCGGCTGTATCGAAAGCTTATCCTAACAGGCGGGATACGATCCTTTTGTGCTGGGCGGTGCAAAGGCGCAGGAGAGCCGCAGGGTGAAGGACGATATGTTCCGAAAAGAAGCGTCATCTCCTGAGCGGCTTTTATGAGAGGTAAGAGAGGAAAAAAGAAAGAAAAACAAAGGTCTACCACTTTGGATATGTGTAGAATGCAACGCAACTTGATCTTATTTTGGTTACGGGCTCCATTTTCCAGGTACCACGCTTTTTGATGAGCACCGTAGCTCTTGAGAGTCAGCATACGACACTTGACTATCGTGCTCTGAGCGAGAAAATCCGCAACATGTGCTCGTCCGCCACCACTCGGCTCGGCGTCCCGGTATAAAACAAGTGCTATCGGGGAGAGTAGCGGCGCCTTGGGCAGCAATGCTCCGGGTACCCCTGACTCTTCCCCGGATTCTGTGCTGGACGAGTCCATGTCGGCATCGTGAAACAAACGCAGACTGGAAACATCAATGGCAGGTACCTGGGGCCGACTCTCGGCGTTGCAGAGACGGACAATGAGATAGATAGACAAGGAGAAAGAAGCCCGTTTTTTTTGTCTCGTATCTAGCTTAATGCCGTGCCATGCTGGTAGAGCAATCTCTCAGCCTGGGGTAGGTACTGCATCCACTTGTCAGTCGTGTCAACCGTCTATACGCAAAGGCGCAAGAAAGCGCAAAGCCAGGGACCAGGGCTTCATATGATAGATATCATGGCCAGCGCAGTTGTCCCCAGCGGTTCTCGGATGAGTGAGCAAGGTGAGCTGGTGAACAAGGGAGATTGCAGGCGAATCGTGATGAGGAATGGTCGACACAAGACAGAAACTAAAAGGGACCGGCAGCAAAGTACCTACAGCAATGTAGGTGAGCTAGAGTGCCAGACCCAATGACCGTGACAAAATGGTGTAGCAGGATGCACCACAGCGCAGAGGCAGCACCGTACGCAGTACATCCGATAGTGCGTAAGTCGCATGAAAGTGCAGCAGCAGGAGGGCGGGGAGGAAGATGCGGACAACTTGTCAGTGGAATGTGGGGTTGTGTGTGCTGTGGGAGTGAGTGGTGAACTTGTGTGCTTGAGGCTTGAGGTTGCATCACAGATGATGAGTCCGCAGATGCGTGCCCACGCCCGTTGAGCATTGAAAAGCACGCATTGGCGCACATATTGTGGCGGGACTGTACCAATTCACACCTTGGTGATGGAGGACTCACTTGAGCAAACGCTCGAGGTTGAAAAGATATTGTCCATAATAGGTAGTGGCAGGTTTCAAGTTGACCATGACACAGAAGGAACGCGGTGACAGTCAAAGGAAACGGAAGGGGTTACCGTTCCCGAGCTCTCACCGGGCTCACCGGGGCAGAACACGTGGAAAGGCCACGGCAACTTGCACCTGGCAGCCGCTGCCGTACACCGCCGAATGCCATTGTCCAGTTTGTATGTCAGCTGTGACAGCCTGCGAGACAGTCAGAAGAAGTCGGACACGGTCGAAGTAAAATGAAACAACGGAGGTCGGGGATGCCGTCCATTCGGAAATCGGAAGGCTGGCGGGTGCGGGTGGATGCACAAGGTGGTGTCCTTTGGATGGGTCTCCCGGCTTCGTCCCGGACTCTTCATCCCAGGCTTTCATTTCAGATGCTGTGATGGACGTGATCACGGAAAGATTTAAGTGTTGAAAAGATAAGGGAGTACCTGTCGAAAGATTCTTCTAAAAAAGAAAAGGTCAAGGGTGAGGAGGATACAATGGGCGTGCGTGTCGCAGTGGTGACCAAATGAAGCAAGACAGATCTCTATTGGGTACACAGTACATGTAATAAGGCTATTCCGTAGAGGATCTCAAAGGTATTCGGTACTTTCTGCCGGTTCCTGGAATTGGCCCATATGCTTGGAATGCGGGGGTGGGGCTGTTTGTTTACGCTCGGTGCACCAAGTCCCGACTTTACAGGGCATCATCCGACTGGCGACAGCTTCACGTTGGACCCTTAAACCCAAACACCCAACAACGCCATAAACAAATACACCAAAAGGCTAAATCAGCCATACGGTCACACATTCTCACACCTAATTAACCTCTTCACGATTGCCAAAACGAATATTCCACACACGGCGCGTCATAACCTCACATCGACCATGTCGCTCCTCCTGGCGCACTTGGAGCAAATCTCGACGTCATGCGAAAGCATCGTCAGTCTTCCGTAGGTCACTCTCACAAGTCTTGATCGCGTTTTCTATTCAAGTCGCATCTTGGTATTCTAACATTCAGCCCACCCTCGGGGCATCACCACTAGTTTCCCACCTCCCAAAATCTTCACCAACGCCCTCCTCTCCAACCACGACATCACGTCCCTGATCCGCGACACCGAAGCCCACGAGCGCGCCCTCTTCTCCGTCCCTCCGCCTCCCCCCAAACCCACCACCCAGGCGCCCGACCCACCGAAGCCCGCGAACCGACGACAAACCATCTTCAACGTCGCCGGCGGCGAGGTCACCACCGGCCCACCAGCCAACTCGACGCGCAGCAGCGGCCCGACGCGCCGTAACACAGCCGTGGCCGCCGTCCTAGGCGGGGATCTTCACGCACAAATAACGCGACGAAACGCTAGCGGAAGTGGCGGCGGCGGCGGACAAGGAGGAGGTGGCGGAGGCGAACTCGACATTGAGGTGCTTTTGCGCGGCGCCGAGAAGCTATGCACTGTATACCCCTTGCCAGGCGCGCTGGAGAGGATACCGGCGCAGCGACGAAAGAACGATCAGTTGATGAACACGCTGGCGTACTATGAGGCTAGGGTGGCGGAGCAACAAGAGGCTTTGGACAGGTTAAACCTGGAGCGCTATGCGGAAGACGAGGAAGAGGATGGGGCTGCTGGCGGCAGAGAGAGCGCGGCTGCTAACGATGTGATGACGGAGGAAGATCTAAGGAGGGAAGAGGAGGAGATACGCGATCTGGATCGAAAGAGGAGGGAGTTGCAGGCGAGGTTGAGAGCCACGGAGCGCGATCTCAATGGGTTGATGGAGTTTTGAGGTGCGGTACCTGTGATACTTGCAAAAAACTGTTGAGGCCTACTCAAATCACGATAGGAAGGAGGATTCTGCGAGACAGATTCGCATCAGAATTCGCATATCATACATCATTTATTCAGGTTTGTCTCGACCATTCCCCCGAATCCTCAACAACTCGGCCCATCGGCCGGTCTCTCGCTAACATCCGAAGTACCAGTAGTAGCAGCCTTTACACGCAAGAACTCCTGGACAAACGTCTCCGGATCCTGCGCCCCGCTGAGTTCCGACCGCCCATTGATGATAAAGTTCGGAACACCATGGATTCCCTTCCTCTGTGCCTCCGCAACCTCGCGATCAACCTCCTCACCACCCTTATCACCATCATCCAGCAGCCAGCTCTCGACCTCGGCCGCATCCAAGCCCGCGCGCTTGGCAGCAGCAATCAAATATTCCTTTGACGACACATCGCCGTCTTCCTCGTGATGTAGCTGGAACAGAGCCGCAGCAGTCTTATTCTCGAGCTCGTTGGACTTTGTCTTCGCCAGCTGGATGAGCCGATGCGCGTTGCGGGTGTTGCCGATCCGACCGTTCAACGAGAACTTGATGTCTTCGCCTTCGCCGATGGCTTTGAGGCGCGCGTGGACCATGGCGATGCGTTCGGGGCCGCCACCCAACTTCTTGGCAAGATAGGCTTTAGGGTCGACGCCGCCGGTCTTGGGTAGTGATGGGTCGAGATAGAACGGGTGCCAGGTCACGGTGAAGGTGTCGTTTGCGCTGCCGGGGATGTTGGCATCTTTATAAAGCTTGATGGCGTGCTCGAGACGGGCTTTGCCGACGTAGCACTGGAAAGGGAAGGTATTAGTGTGAGTGGTGTGCACATTTGCGGGAAGGAGTCAAGGTAGCAAAGCCTTACCCAGGGACAGATGATGTCGGAAACGATTTTGATCTGAAAGTGTGTCATGTTGTTGCTGGCTGGAAGGGAGTGGTCGAACTAAAGGTCACGATATTGATATTCGATGTTTAGGTTGGAGGAGTATTGTTGGAAATAAGTTTCAACTTATAGACATCGAGGTTCTGATATACTCGAAGCACATAGAGTATGTCGTGCTACCCCTCCCTCCTCCTTTCCTGAAAGCCGGAAGCCGGAGGGGCTATAAAGTTATGAGGAAGGCGAGAATCACATCACGATGGGCTGCTTATAAATCGACTTTCTTGAAAGCCTTCGATTTGAACTCTTTGTATTCGATGCAATTCCACAAAGTATAAAACGACATTGTCTTTCATGCCTTCTTCGTGTATCACAGAGTGTCTAGCATTGGATATCGGGGCGAAATCCCATACATATGATGCTGTTCAAACGGGCGGGGTGTCCTGACCTAGAAACAGAATCGATTCGGGGAATGGTATATGTCCAATGCGTGTAAGTCTGGCAGTCCGCATGGCAGCGTCTCAGATTTTGAATTACTTGCAGTTTCTACGTGTACCTAGAGGCTTTACCATTAATGAAGCATTGACTTCGATACATATGATGTCGATATCCTCCTTGGCCTCCTCCAACGTGGTCACACAACAAACAAGCCATGATCGGCAAATATCCCCTCAGGGCCCCAGCATGTGTTCAGGTACGACCGGCTTTTGGATGATCTCCGCGCGGTTGGTAAAGCTTGGGCCACTGCAGGCTCCATTGCATTGATGAGTTCCCAGCCTTCCGGTATCTTTTTCGGTGTTTTCTTTCGTCCGATCAGCTCTGTCAGTGTCGGGAGTTGTGACCCTCAGTTTCTCAGCTGGAGGTTTGAGCTGAAAGATGGAGCTAGGGAGCCGGGGACATAAAGTCATTTTACGGCCTTTTGAGCGTCCCCGCCAGAATAATTGAGACACTTCAGGCAACCAAAACTATGGGCTCACGATCCCATCCTTTTTGATAAACTCTCGCGTCCTGCTGGCTGCTGCCATTGAAGATGCCCAGATGGACCGTGCGCCTTTACCGTAGGTCGGTTATAGCCGCCGGCCTGCTGGAGTCCAAGGACTCCAACTGCAGACGAAACGGCGCCAACCGCCTCCGCAGCGATTGCCCTGCCAAGAAATGGAGCTTGGTCCCCCGTCGCATCCTTCGTCATCCAGTCAATTGCCCTGCAGTACCCTGTCACTCACTGTCCGGACAATGGGCTCTGCGCCGCCCAAGTAAATAAAAACCGGGAGGTTGGGGACAACGGAACGGGCTGGGGAGGGAGCTGCCCTGCCCTGCCCTGTCAGATCCGTCGCTCAACTGTCCAAACAAGTGAGAGAGGCCGCTCCCAGCCAGTCATCTCATGGCCATCTCTCATTGTCGACGTTCCTGACGTTGCAAGCAAATACGGGCGGGCTTCGATACAAGCAGGACAAGCAGGATAGACAGAGACAGACAGGTACCGGTTGCCCATTCAAGTTGTGTAGGAAGCAGGGAATTGGAATGCCTTTATAAGGGGAAAATTATGCCATGCTTCAGCATTTCGACCACTTGCAAACGAGGGCCCCAAAATAGGTAGCCGGGTAGCGAAGAATGTCACTGCCCTGGCGAAGTGGGCTGGTGGGCTGTTTAGTAGCATTTTGTAAGAACTTGTCGCCCAGAGAAACCAGCCACCGCTTTTCCGCAACGCGAGGAAGGAGCGCGCGCTGAGGCAGGTCCCAACCACTGAGCTGCACTCACTCAGCAAACCAGGAAGTCTCTTGTCTTGTCTCACGCTTCTCAACGCTTCCTTCCTGCTGTCCTTGAAGTCTTTCCAACTTTTGCAGCCTGTACCTGACCGACGGGAAACTGTACGTCACCCACTGCACCAAGCAGCAAGACACGATCCCTTTCTTTTCTCGATCGTGCTGCTACATCCTTTTTGGCGTTCTATCTTGTAGAAGTCTTCTTTCTGACCTCCACCTGCTGTCCCATACTAGCATCTAGCTACAGCCTACAGCCTACATCCGTCTCAAGCTGTTCTTGTACCTGACCTTCACCGAAGCGGGTACTCCCTACCCTACCTACCTACCTAGCTTCCCTTCCAAACAGCACGAGGAAAAGAACCCTTGAGTTTACCTTGGGTCCGATCGTGGTGCCTTGCAGATTCATCCTGCAGCATTGATACCTATTCCTAGACAACAAAAAAAGACAAGGGACAGAAGAGGATCCAAAGGGACGAAAAGGTTCGACACTTGTGCCTGGCCCCTTGCCTGTTTCTGTTTAGGTCCAGTTCCGCTTCTGCTTTCTTGCTTTTGCATCTGGCAACGACAACCTGAACCTGAACACACAATCTTCTGCGCCTACCTTACCTGCTCCCCTCCACCAACCAACCAACCAACCCACTGCGGTGCCTGTCAATCCATACCTACCGACACACCTCCTCAACTTGTGTGTTGCGCGTTACCGCATTCCTCAGCTACGCGCCCAGACGAAACGAAACGGATTACCGACGGTTTGAACAACGCGCGGGAATAATTCAAGACAAGAGAAACACGTGGGGAAAGAAACGAACATCTTTTTGGACCCGATCGCGCATTCCAATCAGCCTACCTACCGACCTCCTACGACTTGTACCTCACCCAGCAAAGTGAGGTAGACCAGACCGCCTTCCATTCCAACAAGCGAGACACATCCGTTTTACGGCGCAACACCTTCTCCGAGCCAAGTCGACACCGACGAATTCGAAAAGGACACCTGATCCGAACGACGTGTTAGCCTTGAGGGCAAAGGTTGTTTACTTGTCGGGCCGTCGCGCAACGCTGTCCCCAACCGTCCCTCTGGCGCAAACCTCGCGGAGGGCGGGTGTGGGTACCAGGCGCGGTATCTATAACGAAAGGGAAGAAGGAACAAGGGTTTCGCGATAGAAGTTAAGGGAGGAAGAAACATCATACATACGACAAGATGGCTAGCGGGTTCCAATTAGGGTGGTACCGTATGTTCCTCCTCCCCCTCCCGTCCTCAGATATGTGGTGGGCAACGGAATGAAGCTAACACTACCTATGATGAACTACAGGGTGGCTACCGTTTCTGGGCTATCACCATGTGTTGATGATTCTCATCATGATCACAATTATTCTACTATGTAAGATCCGTCTGTTTTACACATTCTTCAAGGTCCATTGACTAACACCCCTATAGCTCTCCTCCTAGCAGGCTGCTCGTCCTCATCACCCCTCATCCCCGATATCTTCTTGTTGTCGCTCTACTACGAAAGCTACCAAGCCATCCCCGACACCTCGCAAGTGCACTACGACGTCCATACCGCGCTTAGCAACATCGTCGACGGCGCCCGTCTCCAGGCGCGCGTCGGCTACTTTGGTATCTGCGTTAATCCCGATGGCGGATCGTGGCTGTGCAGCAACAATGCAACAACGCTAGCCAACGAGATCTCAGTTGATCAGGATCCGTTGAACTTAGTTTGGTTGGCTGCGCAGTTTAAGGATATGATTGTGTTTCCGTATTTGATGTAAGAACCCGGCCTAACTTATTTTTCACGCGACGACATGAGCAGACATACTAACAAAACCCACAGCATCATCGCAATCATCTTCGCCTTCATCTGCCTCCTCCTCCTCGCCACTTTCCCCGGCTGGCACGAAGAGGAAGACTCGGAAGGTTCCGAGCGCGAAGTCAAGCCATTTCCCTCACGGCCCGTCAGCCAGGTCGCCCTCGTCATCATTTTCATCGCCACCATTTTCGTCCTGGTCTCAGTACTTTGGCAGCACACGGCGTCGGTAGCGGCATCCGTCATTGCCCAAGATTTCGGTAATGGGAGCGTCATGGCCGGTGTCGGTTCATCAGCCATGGTGATGGGCTGGTTCAGCTTTACCTTGTTGATCATTGTCACGATTGGTTTGCTGGTCATGATATTGAGTATGAGAGTGCTGAGGGAGATCATGGCCTAAACCACAGAAGGTGGTGGGCTTGATGGACCTGGCTGGTGTGGGAGAAAAGGGGGGCGCGTCTTTTTGATATCCCTGTGTTCTTTCTTCTCACATACGTACCTAACTATATGGGAGGCTGGACAAAGGCGCTGATAGAGATTTCTGTTTTTTTCTTCTTGTATTTCCCTGTCATGTTGTTTTGTTGATTTTCTTTCTACTTTCTGGCTTTCGCTTTACTACGATACCTCAACCCACTACCGCGGCTCACACACACACACACACACACATAAACACAACTCACAACTTCACACCAACGATAACCTAACGCACATAAAACGACCCGAGACGAAAGAAGGAACGATCAAATGGAATGGAATGGGACCTATGGCTAAAGATGGAAGGAGAAGAACTGGGGAGGATGAAAGATATATAACGAGTGTTAGACGACGACGATCGGGCAAAATTCCCCTCTCGTACCAGACACTCCATGGTTCAGGATATGTTTGTACGTATGGGTGACTACGACTTGGCCATATCAAGGGATCAACGTATGATGGATGGGTAACCTGGGAGATAGGATAGGCTTTGAATGAAAGAGGGTCGGATTTTTGTTTCGAGCTTAAAGGATCTTTACGTGCACAGGGTCTGCGTCAGTACGGTCGAGGTTGAGTTAATGAAATGTAAATTCGAGGACCTAGCTGGTCTCACCCTCCAGTGACTTGCATAAAGGTATGTATGTCTCTCTGGCTTTAATCGGCAGTTAAAAACAGAAGAACATACGAAAACTAACACAACCTCAGAAACTAAGTTTGTGCACATCTCAGAGTTATCACTTCTTCTTTCAGTCTACTGACAAGGGAGTGAAGATGCTTTCAAAGTTGCACTTGAAAACAACACTTGTTCCAATCGATGATGTTTTATCATTTTCTTTATTTTCTACCACTACCATTGCACTGACATGTATTTGTCGGTCTGTCTGTCCACCTATTTGGGTATCATCAATCCGCAATCCGCAGTCGGAAAGAAGAAAGAAGAAGCTTCAGCAAGCAGTTAGGTATCTGACCGAATCGAAGTTCTCGAACCAATTACCAAATAGGTACGGTACATTCAGTTTTTCTACCACCTGAACCCATTCCGTTACAACCCCTTCATTTCCTTACTCATCATATCTTTCAGACAAAGGTCTTGGTTGACTTTACTTTATAACAAGTCTTTCTCTCCTCTTTACCAGAGCCAAAGCCAAAATTAGAAACAAAAGCGATGAGGGTATGAGGGTATCTTCGCTTCGAAAAACTCCAATGGAAATGCCGAAAGGGAAGATGTCCTGACGAACTCCATTCCATACAATCCATGCATCCGCTATGCAGCCATGCATCCGGTTCAAGCATCCATTTTATGCAGCCAATTTGTCTCAAAATTCCAACAAAACTTCCAACAGACAACACGACCCGAACCAAACCGAACCAGACCAGACCAAGCAATCCATCCAATCCAGCAAGAAGGAACGAGCGAACGAACCCTCAAGAGACAAGAGGTCAGGCTACCAGAGAGTTACTCAGAACCGCCGGGTCTCTCAAAGCATCTTAAACAAATCATCAGCATACTTCACGCACAGTTTTCCCTTGATCTCCACAGTCTTGGGGTCCTTAGCAACGTCCATCTCCGCCGTAAATCCCTTTAGCAGCTTCTCCTGGTTTTTGCGGCCTTGTGTCATAGCAGCACCACTGAGACCGGCACTGGCACCACCAGCGGTATTGGTATTGGTAGGCTTAACACCCAAAGCCGGGGTCTGACGACCACCATGATGGCTGCTAAACACCCTCTGACCAATACCATTACCATTCCTCGGAAGCGGAATAGGAGTCATACTCTGACCGTATCCCTTACGACCAACACCAACGGACGGGGCAACGGCTGTGGCGCGGACGGAACGTTGCAGACGATCACGCTCGACGGAACCTGGGGAAGAAGAGTCGGGGCTGTTGTTGACATTGTTGATGTCGTGGTCATTGTGGCTGTTGCTATCACCGCCCTTGGAAAAGCGGGCAGAACAGACGATGGTACCGAGCGTGTGCATATCCGTAGCGATCTTATTCATGGCGTTGAACAAGATCTCGTGACGGACGGAGGCGCGGAGCTCGTTAGCTTGGATGCGCTGCTCGAGGCTGGCGAGTGAGTTTTTGATGGTGGAGAGTTCGGTTTGGAAAGTCTCGGTGTGGAAGGACAGGTTGTTGTCGAACTTGACGACTTGTTTGGCTATGGAGAGAAGGGGGTTGCTCGCGGCCATGGTGGCGGCGACGTTTGAGGCGGTGGTGCTTGGGAGGGTGGCGTCCTGCTCGGAGTCTTGCTCCTCTGTCTTCGGCTTGCGTCCTTTCTTGGACACCTTCGGCTCGGTGGCGGGTGAGGGGTTGGTGGCAGCAGCCACATCGGTGACCTGCTCCTTGTGCTTGGAGTTGGCGACGTTGATGACGTTAGCAGCCTGCTCGTCATCCTGGATGTGTTGATGCTCCTCGACTTCAACCTGACCCTTCTTAGCCTTGCGGCTCTTCTTAGTCTTCTTCTTATTGATGGCAGAAGCGGACTCATCGACGAGAGTCTCCTCCACATCCTCCTTGGGCGCCGAAACAGTAACAGTCTCAGAAGCGTGGCCGGCATGGTCGTTCTTGACAAGTTGCATGACCTCTTCGTCAAGTTGCATGTCCACTTCGATTTGCGTGGTCTCGGCAATGACTGTGGTATCGTCCAGTTGGGTGGGACCATCAAGATCCATGGTATCCTGGTAGTGGTGCTCCTCCTCCTCGCCAATCATCTTCGCCTTCTTGTTCTTTCTGCTCTTCTTTGCCTTCTTAGCAGCAGAGACAGTGATAGTGTCATCCTCCTCCAAAGCGTTGGACTCTTCAAGGCGGCGCTTCTTGTCGCCCTTCTTGGACTTTTTGGACTTCTTCGACAAAGCTTCAGCGGTGGCAGAGTCCTCTTGCTGCTGCTCGTGCTTGACGATGGTGGTATTGGTCATGCCGACATTTGCCTCATGGGCATCCTCGATGATATAGCCGTGCATCATAACAACTCCGCGCTCGCTTCCGTTGTCGCTGCTCTTCTTGGACGCCACGCTGTGCAGAATCGCGTCAATGTCGGCGGGAGTGAGCGGATCCTCTTGCGTGCCTGCCGTAGCCCTAAACGGTGTGCCGAGCCTGGGAGCCGCTGGAAAGCCTTTGCCGCCGGTAATCGGCAACGGGACGGGGGTGCACTTGTTCTCGGACTTGGATGGAGAAAAACGGTTGTTGGGCGACGAGTCGAACTGCAACATCCTATTGGGCATCTGTCCGAGAGGGGTCTTGGTGTTGAGAGGCGAAGTAGGCGGGAAGGTCTGGGTCTGATCCAGAGTCGAGTTCAGGACGGTGGGAGTCAACTTGTTCAAGAATTTTTGCATCGACTTGGTAGTAGCCTTCGAAGGAGATTGATGCTTCTCATTTCTGACGTTGATGTTCTTGACCAGCGACATCAGTGGATTCTCAACCTGGAGCTGGGAGCTCGGAGAGGGCGAAGCGGACCTCTTGGTTGCGGGCTCATACGGAGGGTAAGGTGGGAGCGGGATGCGGCTCTCAGAACGGAGAGGCGGGGCATTCTCCTTGCTCAGTTCAGTGTTGGGGGGCGGGCTGGCGACTGCAGAGGAGTAGAGAAATGCTCGTCCACGACAGAGTCTTCGGGTGCGCCTGGCGTCATAGAAAAAAGAGAGACCTTGGGAATAGTAGGGCTGACAGGCTCCTTCTTGATCCTGGCCACTTCTTCCTCTTGAGGATCGGACTCCTCGACCGTGACAAAGGTCGCGTCATTAGTAGAGAGGGTTGGGCTCTGGCCTTTGACGAAACCACTCACATCCGAAGGCTGCTCGTCGTCGGCGAGGTCACCTCCAGCGCGAGTCTTGGGCTTCTTCTTCTTGCTTTTGTTCTTCTTTTTCTTCGCAGAAACTGAAACGCTTTGGCTCAGCTTGCTATCAGGTATCGGCATCTTAGCCTCAGGCGATCTGGCGACCTGCGGCTTCTTCTTCTTCTCCTTCTTCGCGGAGCCTGTAAGCCAAGCAGGCGCGTCGGGCTTGAAGGGTGCCATGATGTATGTCAAGAGTGAGGTCAGTTTGAGGGAGTGACGATTGGGTGAAGGCAGCGCGATGGAGAGATGCGCTTGGTTTGTGCTTCTCAACGTCTTGACGAGATGGTCAAAGAAGACTTTGCGCGCAAAGAATCAAGGAGACAATTGACGAGAGAGAGGTTGTGTTGATGTACTCGACAAAGTGGTGTTGGTGGAAGGTTGATGGTTTGGGTAATCCGTGCAGAAGTAGCGACTGCGCGGATAGATGGTGGAAGATCTGAAAGCGGGATGAGGTGAATGGTTAAGGTTGGGAAGTGAATTGGAAATGGAAGGTGCTCAACTTCCCAGTGCCGGCGGAAGCGATGTTTGCCTGCTGGGTTTTGTGGACCAGTCACTAGCAAGAGCCCCCTTCACTTAAAAGGTTGCCGTCGTCAGTCACCTCGAATTCAGACGGAAATTATGGTTGCCGGGCAACGGTGGTGTTCAAGATAGGCGGGGGAGGACAGTCCGCTTGTCAGGACATGACACTCGATTGCCTTTTGGTCACTCGCCACCATAGCTGCCAGATGTCGGTCATGTGGCATTGTGTGTATACTGCGTGAACGACAGGAGTCAGTTGTTGATATTTTCTGTCTTGATTGTTCGAGCAGACGAAGAAGAAACATAGAAGCCATCCCAGAAATTTCAACATTTCAAGGTGCAGTGTTCTCCTCCCACGCAAATCCCGAGACACCGGCTTGAAGTGCTTAGATTACGTGGTTTGAACATCTTTCATTTGATTAGCCATGCACGTTTCCCAAGAGCTTGATCATTTGTAATGATGTCTGAATTTTGTATAAGCCAAAAACCTAGCCCAATCCGCTACCCTAAAACGCCTGCAATGATAATAACTACAAAATGGTATATGTAAACTGCTGACCTTGACCTCGGATACAACGCCAACAGGTGACCGACCGCTCAGCCACCTTTTGCGCAAAGAAAGTTAAACGCTACGTTACGTTTATGAGGTATGTCTGTTCCGGGTTCATATGTGTATCCAATCCGCCAAACGTGGCACCGACCATGTCCAAGTCCACACCGCGAGGACAGGATATACGCAAAATCGTGCTCCACATCTATCCAATGGCTAGAGCATCGAAGCAGTTGCCTCATCCTCCTGCTTACTTACGCTCACCTACCCCGGTGACCAAGAAGAAGTACGTTCCCAGGATAGAGCACACCACGAACGCGGTAAGCACTCCCGCGCCCGCCTTGTCTTTCCCTGTAAGCTCCGACATGGACAGGAGCGTCGCCGGCTTCTCTCCCGCATTGGGATTACCACGACTCTCACCACCGGTGCTGTTGGTGACCAGCGGCTTGAACACAGCCTGTTCCTCGGTAATCAGATAGGTTGAGAAAGCCGCAAGCGCGCTCATTCCCTGACCGGCGGGACCGTTGTCCACGTCGCCGTCGTATTTTCCGACATTCCAACGGTAACCGCATGTGCCGTCGGCCAGGCAGCTGTCGATAACACCCTCGATGTTGGTCTTGAAGGTCTTGATGATGGGTTCTCGGACGAGGTCAGGCGCCATGAGGGCGGCCGTGGCTAAGGAGCGGAGGAGGTAGCCCTTGAAGGAATGCTGATCGACGTTGCATAGAAGTCTGTCGCTTAGCTCGCAGGCGCGTTCGACCATTACGCCCTTGGGGAAGAAGAACTCGAGGGTTCGGTTGACGAGTCCAGTAAGGGGCTTTCCCCACTTTTCAGCATCTTCGGTCTATTGTGTTAGGTTCATGTTAGCTATCAAGGCCCTCTTTGTGGTAATACATAGATACCGGGATGTTGGCGAAGAGCTTACCATGTTGTACATGATGGCGACACCGTGGATCATGATGGCTGCGTTAGCTGACCATTGGACCTTGTTGATGTCTGTGCAGTTATGGGGGACATGACCACCGTCGTAGATGTTCCAGTTCTTGTCGATGTAACCCACATCCCTGATCCAGTTGTAGGTCTTCTCGGCCCACTTGGAGTAGGTGCTGTTGTCGGTATAGCGGGCCAACCTTGCGCCCAGGTTGAAAAAACAGGCATTGGCGATGGTGTTCTTGTAGTCATATCCAGCATTGGAGTGGAAAATCTGCCAGCGCAGACCTCCACCACATTCATCGTCGTGGCGGTCGTCGGCAGCCTGAGTGTTGAAGACGGCCTGGGCCATTTCAAGCCAATCAGCTTCGCCCGGAGCCAAGGGCAAGTTGACTTCGGCGGCGAGCATGGCAGACAATCCCCAGAAGCCCTGATCATCGTTACCGAGAGAGGCAGTCCAGTTGGGCGACATGAAGCTGTTCTGAGGCGGATCGGCTTGGAAGACGAGGGCCTGCTTGGCTAAGGTGTTGTATGTGTCGTCGCCGGTGTAATGCCAGTAGTCGATGATTGTCCCCCACATGGCACCAGCCTCCCACCAGTAGTACGGCCCAGCTGGCGGGGGCCCAGGTAGAATGCCGATGGTTTGTCCAGGTTTATCACCAGAGTAGTATGATATCAGGTTCTTTGCGACAGTCTTTGCAGCGGTTTTTATGGAAGCTGTTCTCGAGGGTTAGTTACCTTGGAAGTGATGACGTCGAGGGAGGTACTGACCAGTGTCGTTCACGTTAACTTGGAGTGTCGACTGTCCTGTTGTTGTTGCGGCGTATACACTGCTAGCGGCAGCAAGCAGCAACGGTGCTACGCCAGCAATCTTGGTAGTTAAAAGCATGGCGAGGGTCGAGATACTATTCCAAGTCCATACACGCGTGTTTCACAACCAATAGAATGACCCTCCGAAATCGATATTGATTGTATGAATGTATGTTTGCGTAGGTGTAACGTAGGAAGCTGTCGATTTACAACAGAAACAAATGCATGGGGAAACTGTTTTGTGGTGACGAGCGAGGGACAGGCGTTGTGAAAGTCAGAAAGAAAAGCAAAGGGGTCCCAGATTGGGCGTTCGTCTAGGATCGATGGAGTTCCCTGTAGACTTGTATGGGTTGTGACCTCCACTCTGTAATTAGATGCTGGTCCGTGGCGGCGGCGGCGATGGCGGCGATGGTGACTTTTTTCTTCTTTTTTCCAAGAGAAGATGTGTGAAAACACAACAAAAACAAACCTTCTCCTCCTCAGCCTTTCTTCTTCTTCCTCCTCCTCTTGAACGTTCAAGTGTCGTCCAGTCCCCTCCTCCCCAGTTTACCCCCGGGCTGACCTGACGTAAGGAAAAACCGTGTTGGATCTGGAGTGCATCGTTGAAGGGGCCGAAGGGGGCGCTCACACTGGGCCGGGATTGGCTGGGATCCTGGTTTGCCAGAAAGGAGAGCGCTCCATTTCTGAAAGCGTCCAATGAGACAGCCGCACCAAGACAGTGACTGGGGAATCGGACGGATGCAATGCGCCCCACTTGCAATGAATGTTCTGGGCAAAGCTGACCCGTGGCGGCGTTGGTCGGGTCCCTTGATGTCCCTTTTTGGCCATCCTTTTTCTGAACTGACTGACTGACTGCAAGCACTCTTGTCAGGCTGTTGTGTCCCTTTGTGCATCTGGTCAATGCACGAACGATGACTTTAGAAATGTTCGTTTTGAAATCAGAGTTTACTGAGGTCGTCAATTGAAATAATAGCACATGAAGCCCCAGACCTCTGAGTGGCAGTGTAAACAAGGCCGGATATCACTTTCGCGACTGTCTATCATGTCCATCAAATTCCACTTGTTCGGTTTCAGTTTCCTGATTGTCTCTTCCACTTCCTTCTGTTGGCTCTACATCCATGCAGCAGATTCTAGTAACTTTGGTGATAGTCGCTGCCTGTTGATGTTGGCCGCTTCCTCTTTACCATGTACTTCTTCCGCTATACCCCTCTCCTTCTCTGCGGGAGCCTCGGCCAGGTGCCTGTCTCCAACCCATGGGATCGGATGGATGTCAACTGATTGATTGAAGCCATGTGAGACCCTGCTCGCTGGGAAATGGGAAGTGTGCGGAACCCCACCTCAGACTCCGCCTCAACGTGCGCGACATCGACCGGGCTGGAGCCGCAGGAGTCTGACCTAACTTCGAGTCAGCTAACCCTGAAACCTACTAGCTCATTCGTATTTTCGTATTTTTTACCCACTTGTGCTGCTACTCCCGCATTTTCCTCTCTTGGCCAAGAGAACGCTTCCAGTTCCATCGACATCATCTTCCACAACAGCTTCCATCCATCGTCATACAGTACCCCGGATTTGTGAGCAACTGCAAAGAATCAACCGCCCACAATTCTGGAACAACCTGGATCTCAAACCCCGCTGGGCTGAAGAATTTGAGTGTGATATCTTTAGCCTATTTGGTGGCTTTCAGGAAACACCCTGAGCATAACGGGCAAGACAGCGTGATGGCGACTCACTTGGACAAATTATACCGGGAAACCGGCACAAGACGTCTAATGACGGAAGCCCAGGTATAATCCTATAAGCCCAAGCAACAGGATAAAGCGTTTCGTTATTCGGATGGGCCATACCTAATACAATGCTGAAACCCCGACGGTGAATGGCCATTGGCACCGGATTCTTTACACGTTGGGAACCAATGAGAGACTTCATGGTGATCACGATGACAGGTGAATCATAGTAACGAAAGTGTGGACAATCGTTCGAGGACCTAGATGGTTAACTCTATATCTTTTCACCGTTCCGGTACGATGCCTGAAATGGAGACTTTAGTACATGTTTCCAGTATTGGATTCAGTGTGGCCAACCGGTCTATACTGATGTTTAGGATTTGGGTTGACTGAAGCGACTTTCCACGTCGAACTCAGTGACTTATCGATGAACGGACCAGCGCCAGACATGACGAACTACTAGTCAATGCCAGATGAACACTCCTCCCATACTGGCTCCATGGGAGAAGGTTCGGAGAATGAAGGCAAATTGGGACAAGAATACCATATGAGTGAAAGGGACGAACTATTAATGTCATTAGTCTCTCATCATATCTCGGTCTGTCATTGATTGCTGAGATGTTGCTGAGTGTCATGCTCCTTTCCATGTCATGGACTCGAGTTTACCCCTAACCCTAATGCCTTCGGCCCAGGGGTCGCTCAGGCTCAGGAACCGGAGACTTCAAGATGCAGCAATCCCTCCCGTCTCCTATCGATAAGAAAGAACCATCCCACCATGACAGCCCACCGCGGTGAGCTGCATGGCCTGTGCATTACACCTTCGGCTTCCATTCCCGTTGCCGGCCGGCGCGCGCGTGAGTTTCCAATTCCATCATTGACCCGAATCGCGTCGACTGCCCATTTTCCCTATTTGCAACTGAACCGCAACTTCAAGTCCAGAACATTTCCGTTTACCGGTCCCTTTGCTGCACGACATTTATATCTTTGCTCCTAGACAAGGACCCCACCCGACGATCAACGAACCTCCATACCATCCCGACCCTCAAATCGACCGTTGCCGAGCTACCAGAAGCCATCGAACAGTACACGTGAAGAATATAGTCACGATGGCGCAAGCTCGCAGCGGTGACAAGGAGCCATGGAACGAGGAGACCAAGAACAAGTTCGAGGGGTATGTTCAGTGGCGGCAGTTGGCGTGGACGGCGTTGACCCCGCAAGGCATATGAGGGAGGGCCGTCTCAGGAAAAAGAAAGGATCAGACGGCTAACCAGGCCATTGGAAAATACAGAAAGAGCAGAAGTGAATACCTTGATCCGTGCCAGGAGGCCGCGCAACGGAGTATCAAGTGTCTGCACCGCAACCAAGGAGACCGGACCATGTGCTCGGATTACTTTGAGGCGTATAGGGATTGCAAGAGGCTTTGGGTTAGTAGTGATTCTCCTCTACGGACTGGGATGCAAAGATAGTAGAACATGTGCTAACGAGTGTACTGTTGGGGATACAGATCGAAAAGAGGCGCGAGCAGAAGAGGAAAGCGGGTGCGCTCTTCTGAACCGAACTTTGACGGGAACATCTATTGAAGAGACCTACGACTACAAGGAGTTATAAAAGGGATCCACACAACAGGAGGAAGATCAACGCGGGCGACATAGCCTTTTGCGTTTGTATAAATAGTCATTGTGAAGCATTTGCTGCATGGGTAGGCGTTTAGGATATGTAAGACAGGCGTGCCTGTTTAGTCGTTCATCAGAGGCGAACAGGAAAGGGAATAGAGAAAGAGATGGGTGTGAATAATGATCGTGAAACCGGCAATTGCTTCTAAAAGGGGGCATGGGAAATGGCAAAGGTAAACATCAAATAAGCCGATATGACGATGGTACTATATTGACGGTGAGGACGGAGCCACTCACCTCGGTCAGGGCGGGTCGGGACCAGATCGATCACTTGCAGGCACCACGTCCGCTGCGCCGCACGAGCCACCCATTCAGTGTGTACAGCATCGGTCAAGGGCAACCCCAAGCTCAACTTTAAACCTTCTAAATTGACAAACTCACAAAGTCAACAAACGCCAAAGTGCAGTGCAACCGGCCAAGTCTTTGGGCTACGGTCCCTCTTTAATCTTTCATTCCAATTCTTCATTCTCTGTTTGGCCACCAATCCTTTACGTTTTTCCGACGCCAAGACTGGGCAAGCAAAGCAAACAAACATCAACAATGTCATATGGACGATATGGGCGCCCAGCCCTGAAAAACAGCGTCGACGTCCAGTTACAGACCGCCTTCACTGACGGCAACTGGAACACCGTCATTCGTTTGGCCGACAAGCGCTTCAAAACCCTCAAGGACCCTTACTACGAGGTATAATCATCCTCATCATCTACCTCACACTAGTAGTCATCACCAGTCCACTCACTCACTATTTCCCATCAGGCAATCAAAATCGCTGCCGAGTCTCAGCTGGATGGCACCATAGAGAGGTGTACGGCACTGATCGCCATTGACGAGCTTGTCAAGTCCAAGGCTGTTCCCGACTATGACACTGTCGAACTGTTGGAGTGGGCTGCTCGAGATTATCTCTACGACACCGAGTATGCCGAGACGTTGGGTCCCCTCAGAGCCCGCTGGGTTAAGGCGAACCCCAAGAGCAAGTTTTCGGTGAAGTGTCTTCAGTCCTGCTTGGAGTATTGGGATCTTGTGAGCGCTCAGCAGATTGCCACGACTCTGGACAAGGCCTTTGCCAACTCGGGAGACCGCCAATACATGTTCTGGAGCATCACTCTCACTTACCTCCTTTCAGTGAGTCCCCTTTATATCCTGAGGCGGGAACCAGTACCCACAGCTGACATGTTCAGATCAGCCCCCAGTGCAGTGAAGCCAGCAAAAAGGTGTATAGTCTTCTTGTAGTGAAGCAACTTGAGAGGGCGGCTGATATTACTGAAAACGTATGTTGTCCCCAGAGCTACTTCCTAGATAACACTTCATCAGCCAGACAGTGTCTAACCCTAGCTCCAGTCCGAGAAAGTCGAATCTAAAGATCGAGGCCTGCTTCAAGAGGAAGAGATCTCTCTTTATTACCGTGTCATGCTCTCCCATGGCTCCAAGGAAGACTTCGTCAGCCGCATGGAGAGCTCCAAACTGGGCCCTCTTGCTCAACTCAAGGAGGGCCGCAAGGACCTGTTCTACCAAGCGCTGAACGCTTATGAGTCGTGGAGCGAATGGGACCGAATCTATGATCTTTGTCGTCAAGCTCTCAGACTCGGCCTTGATGGTGCGACACCGACCTTTTCCGTCTGCGACTACAAGGTGTGGAAGAAGTTCGCCTTGGCTGCCAGCAAGTCCAGGGATCAGGAGACTGCGCTCGCCGAAGTTCAGAGCATCCTCAAAGAGTTCATTGCGCTCAAGACCAACACCGCTATGTACAAGAAGAACATTGCTCTCACCCTTCTCGACACCGCCTTCCACCAGCCTACAGCACCAGGCAGCTCTGGCAACGAGTCAGGGCTGACCCCGAGAGTTATCCAAATCGGCCTGTACTTGGACAGCTACTTTGATAAGCTGTCTGCGTTTGACGATGTCAAAGACTTTGTTGCAGAACTCGGCTTCGAGGAGGTCAAGGGTCTCATGGAAGAGGTCTTGCCCAAGATGCTTGAAGAGGTCAGTTCCAATCTTAAAATTGTTTAACATGGCAACATATTGCTAACATTACTTTGTCTTTATATAGAAGTCTGAGAAGTCTAGTCAGGTTATCCTCAAGTCACTAATCTGCAAGCTGCGCTACCTCCTCACCACTTGCACACAAACACTTTCCCATAATCCATCTGTGGTAGACGGCCAAGAGCATGACAAGCCATACCAGTGTCGTCTGTGCTCCGCACTTATCACTCTACCATGCGAGAGCTGCTTGAGGAGCGTGGTGGCCGAGGCCGCCCAAATATACCAGCAGATAGTCGACGACTCGGAGCTGCTGGCAGCAATCCCCCGTCTCGACAAGGACCCCCGCATTGACTTGGCCCTTGTCATGGGTAACTCCATCCTTAAGCTCTCTGGCCTGCGTCCTCGCACTTCTGATGTCGCACCGGCGCCGCTGCGGGATGTGAACCCCTCGCTGTTCCTCCAGGCGGTTCTCGTCTTGGATACCCAGCTTAAGGTTACGCCTGGCGATGTCGCGCTTCGCCTGCTTCTGGCCCAACTCTACCTCCTCCTCGGATGTGCTTCCTATGCCTATCAGATCTGGACTCCTCTGGATGTTAAGCGCACTATTCAGGACTCTCTCAGCCCCCTGTTCTTCGACAGGATATCAAGCTTGTCGCCGGGTCTATTTACTGGCACCCGTCCCTTGATGGAGCCGCTGCGGTCATACTACAACAACAGTCTGCACAGCAGCTGCCCCTTGCGGATCTGGGACGCTTTCGGGTCTGGGAGCTACAGCAGTATTCTGGAGATGACCGAGTTTGACAGCAAGCTGCGGAGGAGCTGCACGCTTATGATGTCCATTGTGGAAGAGAGGCGGGCCACTCGTGCGTTCGGTGGAAAGATCGAATGCGAGATTGGCGATTTGGCGCTCACTGGTACGTTTATCTCGATTATCTTTTCTCTCAACGAAACTAACATGTTCCTAGACAACATTGATGACACAACCATCCTCCTCAACAAGACCGACTACGGTTCCTTTGTCAACCTCGAGAGTCCCCAGGGTCCTCCCATCCAGGAGTTCCTCCGTATCGGTCCCGAGCTTTCGAATGAGCGTGCCCACCTCTCATTCCTAGCCGAGCAATATCTCGACCTTATCCACCACAAGCCCCCCAAGGACCACCGTCCTTACAAGCCCAGCGAGGCGTCCATCAAGGAGCGCGCTTACACCTTCGAGACCCTCTCGCAGCTCAACAACTCGCTGACGTCCTTCATCCACCGTCCCACCACCCCTGCCGCGCTCACCTCCCCGGAGGCGACTTACTACACCGTCGTCTCACTCCTCTCGGCGGCCGTGCTCACCGCTCTCTCCAGCACCCGCGCCGACCCCTACCCGGCCGAGACTATGAGCGTTCTTACCTCGTCTATCCGCACCGCTTTTACCGGTTTGCGTACCCGCTTTACCTCTTCTTCCACTTCTTCTTCTTCTCCTGGAGTAGACGAAACTTTCTACTCCCTCAGCGACATGCACACACTGTCCTACGTCCGGGAGACGGCCCTGGCGATGAGGCACAGCGCCGCCTTCGTGCAGGCCTGGAACGACCGCGAGCTGGCCCGCGATCGCTCGGGTAAGAGCACCCTGCATAAGGATGGGCTGGCGGAGATGAAGGCGCTGGACGCCATGGCGGCCAAGACAGTGACGGAGGTCAAGGGGCATATCCAGAAACTGAAGGAGGCGCTGGGTCAGGGTGGGTGGTTGGATAAGATGCTTGATTGGACTTTTGGCGGTGAGAAAGGGGAGAAGGAAGAAGATGAGAAGGTGCGGAAGGCAGTGGAGGACGTTGTGGGTGGACGAGAGGGCGCGGAGGAATGGGTTGGGAAGGTGGTTGAGAGTTGGGGCCAGGGAGTTAAGGGGTGGGGGTTGGTGAAGATGGAGTGATAGTTTTGATATGGAGGTCATTGGTACATAGAGTGGTAGAGAAAAGTATGCTTTAAGTGAAAGATATGGAAATTATGACAGAAAAGGGGAATCAAGTACATCTGTTTCAAGCTCTTCACTTCGCACCCTACCGTATAATTCCGGGCGATACATTTTCGACTTATTTATAAATCAGGCATACCTAATCTGTACACTCGAGGCACCTCTGGAATTTCTTGTGCTCGAATCCCCTCCTTACACCCAAACCCCAAGGCATCGCGTGTATGGATTCTCTCAGTCAGGCCAGGAAAATTGAAAATCTATCGCGCGGAATCATACGGTACAGGGTGCGAGTGCCTGCTGGAACAAACCCACCACAGCTTCTTACCTACCTAGGTACCCAAACATTGTGGAATGCAATGATGGATATATGGAAAGAGCGCACCCTGTATACAGAAAGAGGCCACCATGACGGTAAACAGCAGGAAGGAGGGCGTTTCCAGAAGGTGAGCCCACGGCTGATAGGGAGCCCGGTTGGGCACGGCAGTACATGTATATAAACGCACGGCCCCATCAACCTTAAAGTAGTCTTTTCCTCTCTTCACCAGGATGAACACTTTTACCAAAACCTTGGGGCCTCCATTTTGCCATACAATTTTTGTTATCACGGTTCAAGTGCAATTGTATGTGTCATGCCCGACTCCCGTCATCGGTAGCCCTAAAAGAGGAGTACCTAACAGTTAACGACATGCACTAACTCTGCGCCTCCGCATTCAGTGTGCATTCTTGGCGCTCGTGGATAATCCACTTATTCTTCTATAAAACAAAGCAAGGAACTCTCTGAACCCACCACAGTACCACTACCACTACCACGACGACGCTAAGACGCCTCGAGAGACGAGAGCATACCATCAATGGAATGAGACCCTGGGAATCGGAACCTGCCGGATCGATGGAAGCTCGGCCTGCTGCCTCCTCTGCCTCCGAACATGGCGAACATGGCGAACCTAGTGGACGTGGCCCGCGCCCGCGCGTGGCCAACGCCTGTGATGTCTGCAAACGCCGCAAGGTCAAGTGTAACGGCCAAAAACCCTGCACCTACTGTTTGAGCCGGAAACTTCCTTCTTTGTGTGTGTACTCACCTCCGAAACAAAGAAGGCCGCGCGCTTCTAGGTTGAGTCTGAGTGGGATACAACAGGGAGAAACAGCAGCAGCAGCACAGGAAGAGCTGTTGTCATCTCGAACTGGTAGAGGGGAAAGAGGTAGTAGCTCTGGAGCTGTTGATGAGGATGGCAGCCTACATTCTGCGGCATCACCGCGTTCATTATTGTCATCTCGGGGTCATGCTGGTAATCCGGCCCAGGCGGCCTCTGCTCACGCTCGGGCTTCGAGTCGAAGTAGTACTAGCACTACTAGCAGCATCAAAGAGCGCGAACTGCCGGTAGCAAAGGAGTCGCAGACTCCAAGTCGGAGGTCTCTACCAGGGGCAGCCACCGGCGGTAGCGCACGCAGTGTTGGAGGAGGTTCGCGGCGGTCTGGAGAGTCACGGCCACGGTCACAGAGGGAGCATCAACGGGACCGGGGACAGGAACAGGAACAGGAACAGGGTCAGGAAGAAGCAGAGCAGGAGGAACCACCACCACCACCACAGCAACCCGATGTGAGTTCCGGCCCAGGCCCAGAGCCAGGCGCGGAAGCCCACAATGAAGAAACCGAAGTCCCCCGCGAAGGCCGTCTCCTCGTCGACCCTCAAGGCAAACTAATCTTCATCGGCGACTGCGCCCCGCTCTCCTTCTTCCGCACTGTCCAGCGGCTGATCACCTCGCGGATTGATCCCGATGCGTTTGCGCCTGAGAATAGCGGGTATTCGGCTTTGGAGAATAATGCGTCGTATCATCCTAGGACATCCGCTGGCGGTGCTGTTTTCCCTGGAGGAGGTGGTGGTGGTGGTAATGGCGGTGCTGGGTATGGTGGGTTTGGTCTTAGTAGTAGCGGAAGATTTGGACCAGGACCTCCGCTCGTCCAGATGTCGATTATTGAGCCGGCTGTTACGGCCTACTTCCAGAGCACGACGGGGCTCATTGACATCTTTGATGATGATCAGGCACAGCAACCGAGACAGTTGATTGAGGATATCACTTCTTGGACTGCCCAGCTCCGCGGTGAAGGAGGAGGGGGCGTATCACCACCAGGAGGAGACGCCACTTCCGCCGTTTTCTACCTCGTTCTCGCCATTGGACTGCTTTTTCAAAAGAACAGCACCAACAACAAAACCAACACCAAATCATCATCTTCCCCGTCAGAAGTGGAATCCTCCTTCTCTGAATCCGAAAGGATCGCCCAAGCCTACTTCGACCACGCCCGCGACCTCGCCTTCGCCAACCTGACCGGCAACCTTGGCCTAGCTTCAGTGCAGTCCTTCATCCTCATCACTCTCTACATGCTGGGGGCGTGCCAAATCAACGGAGCCTTCATCTTCTTCGGCATCGCTGCGCGCTCGGCTTTTAGCATTGGCATCCATCGCACCGAGGTCAATGCGCGGTTCAGTCCTGAAATCCATCGCCAGCGCGATCGGCTGTGGAAGAGCCTGCGGGTGGTGGACCTGTTTCTTAGCACGTCCATGGGCCGGCCACCGGCCACAAGTGACGTCGATTGCACTGTGCTATACCACGCTGTTGACGGCGAGGGCAGGGAGCAGACGGATCCGGAGGCTGGTAGTGATTATCTACTGAACGGGTCGGCACAGATCTTTTTGATCATTGAGGGGATCGTGCTGGAGGTGTATTCACGCCGAAAAATCTCGCCGCAGCTGACGGAGGGGATATCCAGGGAGCTGAGAGAGTGGTCGGCTCGATGGTTGCAGCGGCTGAAGCGGGTGATTGAGGAGCGACGGCCAAGTCCGAGGCAGACACCGCTGCTGCTGACGCCAGCGGGAACGGGAGCAATGGTCAATGGAGCCTGTCAGGTGCTTGCGTCGTATTATTATGCAGTGATTTTGGTGTCGCGGCCGTTCCTCATGGTTGAACTGAGGCGAAGGCTGGCGGAGGGGTATCCGGCTGAAGCATTTACGGCAAGAGATGGGCTGGTGACATCTGGCAAGTCGAAACTGGCGGATGCTTGCATTGATGCTGCTAGTTTGATGGTCGATCCTATCCAGGATCTGATTCAAAGGGGGTTGATGACTCGGCGGGCGCCCGTGATTGTGTAAGTTTCCGTTTTTTGGCAGCCTTCTTTCCCCCAACCCCAACGTTCGACCATTCGCCGTTATTGTATCTTACCTACCCGATCTAGGTCATGGCTCTTTGCCTCTTCACTTGTCTTGGGGCTAGGTCTCCTGGGAGGCTTCGGTCGTATCATAGAAAAATACTGCCGCGCCTCCATCGCCGCGCTCGAGTACTTTGCCGAAGCCGACGCTCACGCCGTGCAGTACTCGCTCATCGCCAAGTCGCTGCTCAACACGGCCTTGGCTTATTTGGAAAAGAGAGAGATGCAGGACCGGCTTCGAAGAACGGAAAGCTCGTCTCAGCTATTTGGTCTCATACCCCGTGGTGACTCCGGGGAGGAGACTACAAACGACGACACCAACGACGACACGAACGACGACCGCGAAGATCTCAACAACACCTCCAATTCTTATCAACAACTTGGACATCAACACGAGCAACAATCCCAGTACCAACGAAGCATCCAACACACCAACCCCTCAGTAGGAGGACATTTCGCTGGTGGCATCCACGGAAGTATCCGCGGCGGTGGCGGTAGTACTTACCCACAACAACCCAACAAACAATCATCGTATCCCATCGGTACAACACACCACAATTACCACCATCATCATCTTCATCACCATGCTCACGTACCCACCTCATCATCATCCTTCTCTCCCAGCCGCTTCATCAACAATACCAACAGTATAAATCACAATCACTTCGACTTTGTCGGACACGGACACGCACACGACGGGTCAACAACGGCAACCACTTTCCTCGGCATGACTGAGTCTCTACCGCGCACCCCGGAGTTCTCCATTATGGGTGCAAGTCTGGACTCGGATGCTGATCAGACGTTTGGAGCGATGAATCTGTTTCCGTTGCTGGAGACGGATGGACATATTGATTTGGCGAATTATTTTTGAGTTGAGTTTTTTTTGCGGCCGAAGCACAACAAACTTTTGTGTTCACAACCGTTGCGGGATTCTGCATGAGCGTGGAATTGGTTGAATGGTGCAAGGAGTCTCAGGACAGGCAGGACAGGATACACAATCAAATTTCAGGGATGTCACCTGAATCTCAGCGAAAGGGTAAGGAAGCGAAAAGTAAGGAAAAATAAGGAAAAAGACAAAATAAATTTCCGTCAAGCCTTCTACACGTGATACCTTTTGGGTGTAAGTGCCTTGAGACGGAGCTTTAGGGCTCGGGGGGTTACCTTTGGACTACCTTTAGTAGAATTACTTTTGGAATTACCTGTGAGTGAGATTGCTTTTGAGTTGCCACAAGTATTACCTTTGAAATTATCTTCAGAGTTGCTATTTGCTTCTCGTCGAGGTATTCAGTGCCTCAATTCTCGTTTCTGATCTTGCGCGGCATCGATAGTTCGACAACGGCCTCGACAACGGCAATTATCGAACGTCAATCTTTAATATCATTCATTGTAGGACCCATCATTGTCACTACATTGAAGTGAAAGAGTGAAGGCAGTTTATGGTAGGTGGTGAGAAGATGCACGGGCCGTCTCCTTCGTTTTTGAAACTTTCGATAATTTTCAAGATTTCGATGAATTTCTGACACTCTGTTAACTTTTTGGTTTTTTTTGGGGAATGACCATGCCTACAATCAATAACTGTCCGTCCGTCAATCAAACGTTGAAATCTAATATTCTGACAACATTGACAGGTCGTCGTGATACCTTACCTTTTGTCTACTGAGCTACTGTGTGCTCCCCGTCGAGATCGGGGATTGGAAGCGGGTGGATACATAAGGTACTTGGGTTTGACATGGCAACACAAGCGTGATTTGACAAACGGATGCATGGATGGATGGATGCTGTACCCGATGAGTACAATAGCCGTTGGTGAGATGGGTCGATTTGACGGGATATCAGATCGGTTCATTGGTGAATGAAACCAATTAAGCGCTATGTAAATATGCCAGCTTGCTCAGGAATATGAAATCTTGTGTTACCATCTGTCACCCGTTCTCATTCCATATGTAGTAAGCGGAAGATACAGCGAGATATAAGCCAACATGAAGGACGGAATTGCTTCTCTCATGGAAATATGGCTTCACTCTACTGTGGTAGACCCTTAATGGACACTTAGAGAACCCATCATCACTTTATTTATGCCTCGCAGGTTCATCTCCATTTCTTCTGGAATCACGTTCCTAGGGCGGTGGTTAGTAAATGTTGCAGTGTCCATGCCCATGGTGATCGTGTGGCAGTGGTGGTCCGTCGATCCCCCTTTTTAATACAGTACCCGGTTCCTTTCCCCGGCTTTCCCCTGGCCGTTGGAATCGGGAGCGACGGGAGGTCCGGTGCGGTACGTTGTGTGGTGCGTGGGGGTGCGGTTCTGTTGAAGACGTTCATATTATGAGAGCAGGTTGAAGGTTTGATGTTGAAGTAATGAATATATATGTGTGGTTTTCTTCATTCTTGTTCTTCTTGTTGTCCCTTTTGTCTAGTGTACACTAGAAAGTCGAGGAAAGACTGGACGGTCAAGATTTAGCAACAGAAATGTGGTTCCACATAGAGTGGATTCGAGACGCACTAACATGTTTATGAGCGCCTGGCATGGACAACTGTTAGAGGAGCTAGCCCCTTTCGCAGAAAGCATAGAAGAACAACCTGGAAGCTTTACTAAATAAATCGGCCGTCATCACCTTCAAACAACATTCGCTGGCTGTAGCTGTGGAATAGACATGGAGCGAATAAAGATTCGTTTGCAACCATTTCCGCCGCTCAACAACGCCGTCCACAGATGGCGGAGGAAAGAACCACTGAAGTGCACAGGTATGTTTCAGGAATTGTTAACCGATCAGCGGTGTGGATATTGCAAAAGTAGAGTGGCTCAAGCGAGATCCCTATCTTTCCTTGGAAGGAACAAAGAAGAACATGCTGATACGAACAGAAATAAACAGATCAACAACCCGCGAGGCCCACCAGTCCACTCACTCCATGTTCGCGATCGGCCGACTGGAGGTTGGAAATCACATTGGAAGTCGGTCGGTCGACAAAGGCTTGCGCGTCGTCTGGAGAGTTTTGTGGAGATTGAGAGTCCCGGGGATCTCAGCTGTTGCGTCGTCGTCAGGTCGTCTCAAATCTCAACCTCCCATCCCTGCCTTTGCCCCCAAATGCAATCCCCAAGTCCCCGAAACTCGAAACTGGAATACTTGCATTCGAGAAAGAGGCAAGGAAAAAGGGGGGCATAACGAATGTCTGATTCAAGTGGGTGTACGCAGACGCAAGAAACTCCACCAAGCGTTATCGAACTGCGTGCGGGCCGGGATGACGACCGAACGAACGAACAAACAAGGGGGGAGACTTCGAGGTTGAACCGAACGGGTGCGGAAGCCTGCATCAGGGCATGGTGGGAAAGGGATCACCGTGACCATCCGTGATCGTTACTTACCGTTCAAATCGTTACCAAGTCTGTGTAAGGAACCCTGGGGTGCAGTGAACAGAAGTTGATCATGTGTTCCTGCCTTGTCTTTTGTTCTTTCTCTTTTCATCATCTTCATCATTCACTCATTTCTTCGTTCTTCCTTCTTTCGTTCTTTCCTTCCTCCGCAAAACGCAAAGCACCGCAAGTCCTGCTTGCAGTCTGGACTAGTCTCCTGCGTGAAACCAACGCTCCTCGGCTACTCCTGCTTCGCCGTACTAACTTGCTCCTGCATCTGCAAGACACTCCTCGACATCATCTGGGGTTCAACCGACTGTGAGGGGAAGGAACTTAAACACGACATTCGCACGAGTGTGCAACCACAACTTGATCTAAATCATAAATCAGAGTCAAATGTCGAAACCATGAAGGTACTACTACTGCAACGTCCAACGAGGGGCTTCTCCATCTTCGTCACCATCATCTTCGTCGTCGTTTTGTGGAGCATCGCCCGACTACGTCGCCATGGCTCCCTACTACCGTCCACCTTCGACAACTGGGGAGGAAGAGGGGAGTGGAAAGGGCAAGGAGAGGGAGGAGGAGGAGGAGGGGGCAACCTGCCGTCAGGAGGAGGGACACCAGCAGACCAAACAACTCTGCAAGCCTCACAACTACCTTACAGGCCCCAGCTCGATCCCGGCCAGTGCCCCAAGGACATCGAGTACCTGCGTCGTCCCGAGCTTGGCCTAACCGACAATATCCTCTACTCGCGCCGCTGCATCAAGCCGGTCTACAAGGCCAACTTCGACCGCAACGCCATCACTAACATCCCCGGGCCTCTCGTCACCAATACCACCGCCCTCGACCTCACCTCATGCTCCCACGACGATGATCCCATCCCCTGCGAACCGCTTTCCCTCGAGGTGCCCATGCCTTACCCTAAGGACGCCCAATACCAGAACTTGATCTTCGGCGTGGCCTCCAAATACGAGCGCATGCACGAAGCCATCCCCGCCTTCGCACACTGGCTAGCTGGCACGGGCGCCCGTCTAGTCGGCACCATCGCCGACGCCGTGCCCCCCGAGCACCAAGACGACGACAGCACCAAGCACTCATTCAACCTGACCTTACTCGAAGAAGAATACCGCGCGGCAGGCATCGTCGCCACCTTCCTGCCTCCCAAGATCTTCAAGCGCCTGAACCTCAAAGACGGCAAGCCTGACCCTCGTCCCGTGCCCATCGAGCACCACCACTTTCTTCTGATCAAGGAACTCCTTTCCGTCATCGACTCTGATGAGAAAACATCCTCGCACTGGCTCGCCATCCTAGACGACGACACCTTCTTCCCCTCTCTCCACCCCCTCTCCACCACCCTCTCCCAACACGACCACACCCGCCCCTTGTGGCTCGGCGCTTTGTCAGACGACTTCATGGCTGTGCAAGCGTGGGGATTCATGGCCTTTGGCGGCGCCGGCTCCTTTTTGTCTTTGCCGCTGGCGAGGCAACTCGCTCCCCATCTGGAGGAATGCATCACCACGGCGTCTATCCAGACCGGCGACGGGATCTTACGGGATTGCGTTTATTCGCATACCAGAACACGGCTGACACTGGTGGAGGGCCTGAATCAACATGATATCAAGGGCGATGCCTCGGGGATTTTTGAGAGCGGAGTTTGGCCCGTGTTGAGCCTGCATCATTGGAAGAGCTGGTATGAGGCTCCCGTGGAGAAGATGGCGAGGGTGGCGAGGGATGTTTGCGGGGATTGTTTTTTGATGCGGGTTCGGTTTGGCACCGAAGAAAAGGACAAAAAGAAGAAGAAGCAGGAGGAAAGTCTGTTGAGTCTGGGGTATTCAACCACTTCCTACCCCGGCTTAGAAAACGGCTTAGATGATGTCGACTTGTCACGAGTGGAGGGGACGTGGAATGAGGCGGAACGCAAGGAGAAGTATGCGTTTAGTTATGGACCGGTTAGGAGGAGGCTGCAAGAGGGGAAGGAGAAGAAGAGTTGGCGGTTGGTCGATGTTGATGTTGATGAGGAGCATTCATCGTCATCATCGTCGTTGTGGTCGTCACCACCAGAGTCGCAGTCAACGGTGACAAGGCAGCAGAGCGAAGGGAAAAAGGAGACCAGCGGATGGACAGCATCAAAGAAGGGTAAAAAGAGGTTCAGACAGATCTACGTGCACAAAGCTGCTGGGCCGGCGGTGGGCGAGAGTATGGATGAGGTTATTGAGTTGGTTTGGGAGATTTGAAGATCATAATGGCCCCCAAGGGACGCGAGGTGCGGTATGGGACATAAGGGAACTCATAGAGAGTTCATCATGATGGATTGTGCAAGCTATCTTTCAATGACCAGTTATGGAAGATGTGGTATGGTATATAGAGGGACTGTACAATTTCTGTTTGGGCTACAGATCAAGGGGGATTTCATTTCATTTGGCTGGGCTGGCTTGGGATCATCAATGGCATCAGGTATGCTGAACAGGCTACATCATATCATGGAAGGGGCGTTCTCAAGGGAATGGAATGAATTGTTTGATTCCAATGTACATATACATACCAGACTTGTTCCAACACATGGTTTGGCAATTTTGAAACGGCATTGAAAAGATACATAATTTAACAGTGTATTTTGCTGCCCCCTTTATAGGTATCCAACGATTTCCACTGATATAATACGTGGACATGATGTGGAGGACGATGCGTGGTATGACATACTGTGTAGTTGCTGTTATTGGACCTTCGTCTCAGGCCCGCAAGCGGTTAGCTCGGACACATATTATCATGAGCTCATTATCATAACCACCGACCTTATAAACATGAACACACGTTCGCCGGATGTACTTACTGGTGGTCCGTAGCTACTCACTCACTGTCGGCGAAAGCTAGACTGACTAGAGGCTTATGTATAAAGAGTACCGTATGAAGGTGAAGTTGGTATTCTCGCATCATACACGCATGCCAGAACAGAAGTTCGAAAAAGCGGTGGATAGTCTGGACATAGTTCAAGATTTTGAACCGAGTGGTGAGTACGATGGATAGACGTAATATAGGTATGGATAGGTATAGATGCAGAACAAGGACGGTGAAGTCCATTCACGGTTTGTATGTATATATATCTCTCTACCATCGGCACTATATATAGTCCAACTACCATAGATCCATCCGTAGTATACATGATCTTGCTTCCATCGATATTCAAGGACAGGCCAAAGATTTTCACACACAAACAAACAGGTTGCAACGAGCCAAGTTAGATCAAGTCATCATCACCACACATCTTATTCTTTTCCACCCAAAATGTGTGTGGCCGATTTGGCAAAATGTTCAAAAAATTATATATACACAATTACTCATACTGAGGAGTTTTTGGGACAACAAAGACGTTCGTTCGTTCGGATCTGCCGAAGCACACGAAGAAGAAGAAAAAAACAAGGGAGCCAGTTCCCCAACAGAAGGTTGTTGATGACAAGCCGGCGCAGCGCTATCCAACCTGGGGGGAAAGAATGAAAACAAAAGTCTTAAGAACAAAAAACGCCGGTGACCGCTGAATGTTTGTTGGTAGCGATGGTGGTGTTGGTGGTGGTGGTTGGTTCTATGTGCGTGTGTCGTAGTTGGGTATGTGTGACATGATTTGTACGTTGTGGTTGTTGTTGGTGACTTTCATGACGTATGTTGCGTGCAGTTGGTGATTTGAGTCGCGCCCTTATTTTCCCCTTTCCTTCCCTTTGTTGTGAAGTTGCCCTTTCAACCGCTGGATACAGAAAATAATATGTAAAACACGAATGTATGTATACCCGCTCTTTTTTTTATGTTTGGTATTATTTTTTTGCTTGGTTCTTCCCTTTTTCTTTAAGCTTGCGCTTTCCCGGCTTCCCTCACGGCGCGCATCCAGCGATCTTCTTCGCCGGTGCTGCGCAGGATGGGCGCTGATCTCAACACGCCATCAGATGAATTATTCATTATGGCCCTGACCTCCTGGATAGTCTTAGTACCCATGAGGGACATGGCCTTCTGCAGCAGGAGAGCAATGCCTGCGCGGACGAGGACGGCGTCGCCCTCGAAAACGTACACGTCCCAGAGTCGAGTAACCTCATCCAGAGCGAGATGGCGAGTGAAGAGGCCGGTGAAGATGTCGCCCAGATAGAGATCGGCATCGTGGTCGGGCAGCTTGACCAGGTGCTCGTGCAGGCTGGGAGACTTGTGCTGGAGGGTTTGGAGTAGCAGGTTGTAGGCCGAAGACATGGCGGTCCTGTCCATGGTATGGAAGCTCATGGGTAAGGAACGGTTGAGGACGTTGGCAAGCGCAATGAAGGCGGCGGTGGCTGTGGGGAGGTTGAGGAGCAGGATAGCTGCAATCGTCTGGTTGGTCTGTTAGTATCTGTCTCATTGAGCACAATCATCAGAAGAGCTTACATTGCAGCCAGGAACATATCCGATATCACTCCGGTACATGCAGTAGGCGCTGAGAACATCGACCAGGCTCTGGTGGAGAGGCCCTCCAGTCTGGAAGATGCGAAGATCCGGGAAGGTATACTCTTCCACGTCCTTCTTAATATCCTCAAACCACGCCGCAGCGTAAGAATCGTCGGTGCTGCCTTGTCCGTCATCGTGCCTTTTTTGAGCGTCATTGGCCCGCTTCAACGCAGCCTTGAATGAAGCATCAGAAAGTGCGAGCCCGTTACCGATTGCCTTGCTCCACACAGCACCTCGACTGCGCGGCGCAATACCACGCCACCACAGCTCTCGTGTCCTGCGCTCACGGATGGCTTCGTCCCAACGAGGAATGATGTTCTCCTCCCAAATGTGCATCAAGTTGTCGGCTCGGGTATCACGGTTCTCGATCCGGGCCTTCTTCGTTTCTTCACGTCTACGCTCAGCCTCGATGCTCTGAGCCATCATCCTCTGGTACTCCTTCAGATGGCGCTTTTCCTCGGCGGGATCCTTGGGCGGGAGCCAGGACGGACGAGTGCGCGACAAAACGGCTTCCTTTTCCTTGGACGGCGGTAGAGGGTCGATCATGACATTGGATTTGCGAAGCGGTGGGAGCTCAGGAAGACCCGATTTCACACGGGGCTTGCCGTCGGAATTTCTGCGGATAGACGGCGCGCTAGATCGCACACCCTTTGCTTCCAATTCTTCCGCATGCTCCTCCAGCTTTTCGGTCAGCTCCTTGGCATCAGAGTTCAGCTCAGCCAATGCAGCAGACCAGCTCTTGGATCGGGCGAGTTCCAATGGGCTGACAATGGTTGCGGCAATGCTAGCCCTAGTAGGCACTGCTGCATCTGACTTCCATGTGGGCGACCTAAGGGATCCCTGTGCTGCTGCGACTGGTGGTGTGCCATTTCCCACGCTTCGTACCCTCTCCTTAGGAGGAGCGCGTTCTGGGGAAGGGGCTTTGGAAGAAGCTCGGCTTCTTGATCGTTCCGTGGGTGGCCTAGGCGAGATTGGCACATTATCAAGTACGAGACCGTCAGGAATATCGTCTCCGTCATCATCATCGCACTCCATCTCCAATTGTCTGGCTGTCTTACGCTCCCGTGTTGACTGCCAGCTACTCCTCCGTGGCTTCATGGGGAAGCCAGTCTGAAGATTGGGGCTAGGGCTGCGTTGCCGTATCGAGGTAGAGGAGGGCGATCGGTTGCCAAGGGAGCGCATGGGAAGAGGGGCAGTGTGAAGCTCGGGGGTGAGCCCCAAGCTCGCCACTCTGCCATTGACGGTTCGTAGGTGACTCTGGATATTCGGGAGGGTCGGTCGGCTTTTGCTCGATGCTGTTGAGGTATCCCTCTTGCGGGTTTTGGACGGACTGCGGGAAGATCGACTGCTCTTGGAGGGTACTCGTAATTCCGAAGTAGGGTTAGAGCTGTACAGCATGGGCGAAGGCTTGAGGTTCTGGGTTAGCCCTCGAGCATCAACGTGGGAGTCATCCTGGAGTCCAATGTCTTCGAAGTGGCTAGCATCAGCAAGTACGCTGTCATCATCCGAGGGTACAGAGTTCAATGATGAGGACTTGGAGGACTTGGAATGTGTCAAGCCTGGTGGAGAGCTGGGGCCAGGGAGATCATGAACGGGTCGCTCGTACATCATCATCTCTGCGACATATACTGGCGAACAGAGACTGACGATCTTGAGAGGATTGGAGGCGGGGTTTGCTTTTTGTTTTGAGGGGAAAGGGTCCTCGGTCCCAAGTGCGTGGTTTGAGATGCTGCAGGATGCGGATTGATCCAAAACGAAAGCGGGGGCGCAAGCGCAAGCGCACGTTTGGAGGCTAAGTCGGTGCGGTTTGCAAGTGTCGTCGCGGAGTTGCAGGGCTGGCTGGAAGTCGTTGGTTGGCTTGCAGACGCGCGCGCACTTGAGGCTGGGCGGCGGTTGGAGAAGAGGCGCTCCTGGGACAGACGTCGAGTGTCTCAAACAGAATGCCGATGGTTTCGCAAAGGGGTAAATAAGCAATTGGGCCAGTTCCTAGGGTGGGACAAAGATAGAGCCTCGGATGGATGGTTGGGTTAGAGATATTGGTGTGGTATATCTCTTTGAGTTGACGATAATTTTGCCTTTATATGGTCATTAACGATGGTGATGGTGATGGGATGGTTGTCGTCGTTGTTGTTAGAAGCGAGGGTAGGGTCGGGTCGGGTGGTGGTGTGATTATTGATGATAAGACAACGACGGTTTTGAAGAACGAGCAAAGCGAATGATGCGTTCGACTTGTTGTTGGGAGATATCCGATATCCCGATCTCGATGATGGATGACGACGGTGGTCGGATGCGGTCAAGAACGAGTGGTTGGGTTGAAAGAAAAAAGAGAGTAACTCTCGGGGAACAACGTGGATTTGCGACAAGGAAGACGCGAATCAACAAGTCCCGATCCCAAGACGATGATGAAAGGTCAGAACGAATGACGGAAGGCGTGAGCGGATAACGAGGGAAAAAGGAAAGGAGATGCACGCTGCAGGATGGCTAGTTGGTCGGCATCGAATCCAAGGAAAGACTTGGACGGCGTGTGGTTGTGATTTGTGAGAATGGAGAAGGAAATAGCACCAGCAATGCGTTGAAATCAAGGCACGGACTCTTTTCTTTCCCTTTTTCCCCTGGGTCTGCTGAGTCCTGCTGGGTCCTGCTGGGTCCTGCTGGGTCAAGGAGGGTCAAGGAGGGTCCCGCCTGCCGCTAACCTTGGGAGGGGCCCGCTTACAGTGTCCGCCAAACCCGCTATTCGAGCACTTCAGCTGCCGTTGCAGGCCTGCCGCCCTGGCAGATGCTTCTGCAGCAGAAAAAAGACTCGCCCAAAGACTCCGTCAAGCTGGACCCAAATTGGACTTTGGGCCCGCGAAATGGAGCTCACCACGTGGATCCACAGCTGTGTGTGTGCTTCGAGACTCGAGCGAACCTTCATTCCAGGGAGAAATGTACCGAAAATAATATCCATAGCAAAGGGGAAGTGAGGAATATCCAAACGAGATTCCCTCAACCCACTCACCCGACTCCCGGATCGCTATCCCGCTGTCCGGCCACTCCGGCGGACTGATGGGATTCTATTGTTTACAACCAGCAATGGATTGGTTGGAGGATTCAACTGCAGGTGATAACGTTGGAAGATAACGACAATTCCTACATATGTAGTATACACAGATTAAAGCAGGGCTGGAGCTGCACTCCTGTCCCGGATGTCTGATCTTAACAACGTTCGATATATGGTTCCGAAATCAAGGATCATGACGGTTGCAAGCAGGATTTCCGTCTCCGTCTCGCAGTCGCTGGCGGAGGGAACCTGAGTCGTGCTAGAGCAGAGCGCCAACTTGAAGGTTGTAGGATGATGGAGGAACGGAAGGAACTCCATCGCTGCAACCCCCCATCCATCTCACGCATCTCTCCAGCTCCCCGAGGCCAGGCATGTGAGAAGTGGAAGAGACGGGGAAAGTGCTGTCCTATCCCTGTCTGGCTAGCTGAGGAGCTGTCGGATCTAAAACCCAAAAAGATAATGCAACGACTTCCTCAGCAGGTGAAGAAGAAAAGTAAGAGAGTTGCTTGCGTCGATATCGTCGTGCATGTACATACACGAGGCGAGTGTCACTGCAATAGACTACTGCACCAATCATGAACTTCCCTTCTCTTCTTGTATCACCCGTTACCATAACCATCACATTCCTCACGAACGAACCTGAACACATGTCCATCGGATTCTTATTCACATCACTGTCAGAACTCTATTTCTTAAAGAGTCCATCGCACCAAACCTTACACCGCAGCTAATGAAGGCATCAAGTATCATTCCATGTGGACGCCCAGAAAAGATGGTGAAGCACATCGGCCAAATCCTTTTCTTTAAACAAGCTCACAAGGTCAGACCAAAGACCGACCAATCAGAAGCCGGCTCCCTAATGTTCATGCTAGCGACGGGAAATGAGGTGGGGGCAACGGTTAATTTCAAGTGCGGAGAACTCCTGTTTTAGATTTGCATCGATACACGGAGTTTGCCGGTCATCATCGCTTCGTCCCAGGATCGCCGCCGACGGGAGATTCACGGAAGCAACAACCCTGGCCTTGGATTCCTGGATTGCTTCGAAAGAGCACTGGGAAATGGGAAAAAGAAGGCCCAAGGGTCCTTCGAGAAGCACCAGAATCTGGAAGCTTCACCATTGGAATGACCATGGATGGGATGGGATTAGGGGACCTACCTAGCAACGGTTAGGGAAAAGAAAGCCAAGACTGGGCCAAGGCAAGCCAATATCAGACAAGCGTATTAGTCCAGGGGCACCACAACATTGGATCGACTTTGTTCTAACCTCCTAGAACTTCAAATCCCTCCATAGCACATGCTATGATGCCTGACCATCTCCGGCCACGGGTCTGCCACGAGGAGGCCCGGCTCGGTTACGGACGTGGACACACGTTCGGGACGGTTCACCGGTAGCGGCGCGGGCCTGGTAGGGTCATCTTGGGCAGGTCGTTTGTCGATCGATAAACCAGGCACTCAGTCCTCCTGTCGGTCTTCCGTCCTCCTCGATCCCCTTCTCGCAGGCGGCCTCCTTTTGATTCTTCTTTACTCAAACGAGGTATCCAACGGGTTACCAACCGGTAGTAAACCGGTACTCAAGATGGGATCTTCGAAATCCCCCAATATTGCTACAAGACTCCGATCGACTTGGCACATCACTCACAAGTAATATCGGGACGAAATGGCTTCTCCAACTTCCAACGACTGCCATTCTGTTTGAAACTTTTAAGGCCGATAAAGAATGATGTTTGCCTCTTTCCTTCCGTCAACAATGTTTTGGCCTTTCCCCTTCCCGTTCGAATGAACAGAATGCTGAACGGATAGAACAGCGAGCATTCCATCTATGAGACACTCAGATCCCGCGACCGCAACCCCGCGTCAGTGTGATTTAGCCTGTTACTGTCGGTCTTCCAGAGATAGTATCGGGGAAGAAAGACTATATATATGGTGGCGATCTCAAGTATGAAATATGTAGTCGGTGGTAGTCAAGAAGAAGGCAACGACCTCGTCACTCCTCAGACTCGAATCGCGGATCGGATGTCTTCCCGGTGTCCATCTCATCAAGACGTCAACTTTTGTTTCGGAGTCGCCTCATACTATAGTCTCAGTCTCACTCGACCCTCTGGCCTCCGTCGCGTGTAGCTCAGCTTTTCCCCAGGTTTCTCAGATCGTGGGGGATATCTCCTGTTGGACAGGTACAGTTCTTTTTTATCTTTTCTTCCTCTGTTGTTGGGGTTTTGTTACTCAAAAGGAAACACACACATCACGCTGTTATTTTTCTTCGTTGAGACAACCCCCGAGTCAAGGTTCCCCTCAGACGGGACACACAAAGAAGACAAATGTCGCGATGACGTTGCCCTATCCAGGGCAGAAGGGTCATACAGACTGACGGGTAGTCTACCGTGGACTGTAAGGTACCGTACTTGTGCTCGTCTGCGTCTGCAGCACAGACAGGTCAGGACGCGATGTCTACCGGTCTCAGTTCTATTTCGAGACGTTTCCTTGTGAAATACTACAATACTACGAAGGCCAAGACGGATGATCAGAAACCGCAGTCGTTTGAAGATTCTTGGGGGATTGGGAGATTGTACATTGACTGACGTCGATAGCTAAAAGTAGTCTCATAATCCGCCTGGCCTGGCAAAAGCAAACGAAGGGCGCGCCTTCCTGTTTCGAATGCTAATAGTGCAACCGAGGGACTGCCAGTCTATCAAGGTTCTCATAATTTTTCGCAAGGACAGATATACGGGTAGGCAGCGACGAGTGCGACTCGCACCTTCTTTCCATCCAAAGGAGAAGTTAGGGCTCATATCTCCACCGTCAAGAGTTGCCTAGTCACAGACAATTTCCAGTTCATACACATCACGATATCTTCACGCAAACCCATTCCCCCCAAAGATTTCGCCCAACTCGTCAACATCTGCTCGCACATAATACTCGAGAACAACCCCACCAGACGAGACAAGCCAAATAGCAGCCAGATAAACAGACGAACCGACAACAATGAAGCTCCTCATCATCTCCATCCTCGCCTCCCTCACCCCCGCCCCCGCAGCCGCCCTCCCCGCCGTCCATTCTGTCCCCACCGCCTTAGTCCCGAACGACAGCAAAATAGTCGGCAACTTCTCGCACTCCTGCGACCAAATCACGCTGATGAACAACTACTTCCTCGCCGCTTCCTGCAATGGTATCCAAAATCCTGACGCTCCCAGTCCCAGCTCTGGTCCAGACAAAAACGGTGGTCATGTCCCAGTCCGAGCCCCAGAGTTCAACCAGCTAAGACCTCAACCTGTGCATCGGCTTCAACCAAGGAAACGGTGGTCCGGAGGTTTGGGGGAAGTTGATTTGGCAGCCTATGTGAGTTTTGTTGTTGTTCCCTCCCCTTGCATGAAATGAAGGCTGTTTCCGAGGGAAGATGGGGGAAGAGGAAATGACGGAGTTGACAAATCTGACTGTGGAAAACAAAAAAAAACAAAAACAGAGGCAAATTCGCAAATTACTGCTCCGATTGCTTCCTCATCGGCCCGGGTCTTAAAGAACTCAAGTGTAATTGTGCGCCGATGGTCGGTCCGGGTGCTACGGAGACGGTTATTGATCTTGGTATGTTTCCTTTTTCTTCCTCTCTTACTGGCAGTTCAGTTCAGTTCACTTGGATTTGAACAACAAAGAAAAAAGAAAAAAAAGAGAACAAAGAGAAGAAGGCTAACGATAATGACGTCTTGATACGTGAACAGACGAAGGCGTGGAAAACAGAAATGGTACGCTTATTTGTCGTGGAGGAATGGGGTCGGGAATTGGACCTGGTCCTTTGCCTCATAGCAGGTAGTCATATTGATGATTTAGTGGTGAAGACTGAAGAGTGGAAAGATGGGGAGAGCTAATTGAAGATTGGATTGGACTAGTGACACTAGTCGAAAAATGATACGAAGAGGAGGTCTTCATGTTACTCGGTTGGCTGATTGCGACACCGGTTCTTTTTCCCATTGTTCATTAACCAGTGTCAGAGCATATATTGATGGTGGTGAGCGACAATGAGGGGAAATTTCATGTCATCTGAACACTGATTTCGAAGTGACAGAAAGTAGAAAGGCTTCCCACCCAGGAAAGGCAGAAGATATGGCAGGCTGAAACTCCAGATCTATGAACCAACGGAATATACTGCATTCTACATATTTTGATCTGCTGAATGCCCAGTTTCAGGCGTATGCTACGGATACATGGTCTACCGAAGTCCTGGTATCTGCCAAGGACTATACATTATATCTATCTAACTTCCAGATATCAGACTATCGTCAACCACGCGATCAGAGGCGTTTGCTCATTCACGAATGATTACCTTACCTAGAAGACCATCATGCAACATATTCAACACTAGATTAGATTCTGTTACAATCACAATAACAAACCTAGGACAGACAGCCCTCCCGCTACATAGTATACACCATTACGCGGCCAGCTAGTCGGGCGGGTTCTCCCGTGCGCTTGAAAGATAAAAGGACAACTTGATCCGATCCGGCTAACATGTAGGTACTGTACTTGGGTACCGTACTTGTGTACTTGTATCCCCAAGCCTTGCCCTGACGAGTATGTCCCTAGTTCGTAGATGTATCTACCTACTTTCTACAGGGCAGCGACGGTGGTAACATTGGTTACATGTAACCTGCCTATGTTACATACTTACATTCTCCCGAAAGGGGGCAGTGTTTCATTGTTCTGTGTTTTTAAGGACTTTGGATAGGTTTTGTTTGGACGGAGCCAAGTCCGACCGGGAATGTTTTCGGTGTACCATTCAAAGGCGTTGAGTGAGTGACGAGCTTGTGTAGATAGAGGTACCTAGTCGTAGACATAACTCATTACCTCTCCGGCTTCATGTCTCTATATCTGTCTTTAGTTTGTTTGGACCTCTCTTCTTACGTGTTCTAGGTACGATGTACGGTGGATGTCGTGTGTAATATGAGTGCTGTGCTGGCCGGCTGGAGTATCTAAACTTGATGATCGTTTATCGTCGTCCTCGTCGTCGAGAGCCCCGAGGGAAGGAACGAACGTATATCGTATATGATATCTGGATATCAGAAGACGTGAGGCTCAGCTTTACCACCTGTTCAACTCATACCTTCCTTCCTTCCTTCCTTCCTTCCTTCCTTCATTCATCAGGTTAAAAGAAAAAAGAGAGAGAGAAAAATAAACTAGAAAAACAAAACAAAAAAAAATAAACACTTGCTAATGGATCTTGACAAATTTTACAGTTCGGCTTTAGTCAAACATACGTACATATATATGTCAGCGATATTCGACAGTAAACGCAGTCCAAGTTTGACGCTAATCTGAGCCCAGCTCAATCCAGCTCAGCACGGCACAGCACAGCACGAAAGATGAGATCAGCTTATCATAGTGCATCGTCGGTTTTGTGTGTGAGTCTCTCCCTCTCGAGGTAGTGTAGCGCTTGTGAGTCTGTGTAGTGTCCGTGCCCTCCTCACCCCAAAATTCATGATGAATGGCTTTGACAGTTTTGACAGCTACTCGTCAGTCAGATGGTCGGTTTTGTAGACCTGACGAGTATGTAGGTGAAGCACGGTAGAGCCTAGAGGTAGGACGACATCACGCACGCTACCCCGCACTGAACTCACTCACTTACTTCCTCTTTTTGGTTGACAATGGTTGTGAATGTGATAACAATGAAGTGCGAGCATTCATCCATCGAGAGAAGAGCCAAGGAATGTTGTGATAGTAATTTTGTATCGGAATTGGTTCGGCTGGTTCGTCAGGTTCCATGGCGAGGACTGAAGACTGAGTTTGGCGAATGCGTGAGATGGGTTCCATGACCAGGGATGAGGGATGAACCAAGCGAGCATCCTCCAATCGGATCGCGTGGACTTTACCTCCACCACACCTCTCTACCATACATTCACATACTTGTACCTGTACTAGAAATATTGGGCCTGGTTGACTGACCAGATGCTCGGTTCAACATGTTTGGCTGTGCCGTCGTGGTCGTGGTCAAGTGATGATGACAACGACTAGGCCAAGAAGGTGGGAAGGCAATGAAAGATGAAAGATGTAATACGATAATTTGTGCTCGCTGCCTTTCCAAAACGAACTTCGCTTTTGACTAAAACCATGCTCCCATCCATACCAGAACACACCAGCGATGTTGGTTGATATCCTAAATTCCCGTCTAATGAATATTCTTGTCTTGTTCGCTTTATCGCCCCAACGATGCCATACTCTGCCATACTCGAAAATCAAAATCAAACAGAACAATCCCCGATTTGATGCAAACAACAGCCCCTCGTCGTTAAGTATTTGATAATTCTTCTTGTTCTTGTTTTTCTCTCCAGTGTCATTCTAACCCTGTCTATGCACACACTCCCTCCCTATATACAGGCGAAATGATGTCTTGTGAGAAAAATTGCAGCCTCCCCGTCTTTTATGGTATCTTTTTCCCAATCAATTCGATTCAATAACTTTCGCTTTCCCCTTCCCATTTCCCAATTCCCATATATCGATATGACAAGAGACCCGAACCGCCCATCTTTGTTGACTTTCCTGGAAACATATAGATATGATACTTTTCCAGATTCTTCTATAGCAAGCCCTGTATGTCCCTCTATGGGGACGTAGTGCTGAGCGTGGCTAGGCTATGCCAAACCGATCGAATCTTTTCGTCGCCTCGGGCAGCGTGAAGAGCCTTTACGCATCTCTACGACCCGGATGATGATGGGCAATGGGATGACTTTTGACTTTTGTTATCTGTCGTGGTTTTATCGAAATACTTAGTTGGTCTTGGGGAGCTTGGCAGGCTTGACGCCAAGGTTGTTCTGGTTGCGGTAGAACAAGACGCCCTTGCCCTTACCCTCAGCACCCTCGGTGGGCTCAACCCACTGGCACCAACGAGCAGCCTTCCACATGGACTTGATGAAGCCGATGGGGCCATCCTGGACGTCGGAGCGGTAGTGCTTGCCCATGACCTTCTTGATGGCCTCGGAGGCCTCGTCGGCGTTGTAGAAGGGGATGGTGCTGACGTAGTGGTGGAGGACGTGGGTCTCGATAATGCCGTGGAGGAGGTGACGGCCGATGAAACCGAACTCGCGATCAATAGTCGCGGCGGCACCACGGACGAAGTTCCACTCCTCAGCGGTGTAGTGGGGGAGCGAGGGATCGGTGTGCTGGAGGTAGGTGATGGCAACGAGCCAGTGGTTGACCCAGAGGTAGGGGAGGAAGTACCAGACGAACATGTTCGACCAGCCGAAGGTGTTGCCGAGGTAGACGAGGGCGGTGGCGGTGATGGCGATGCCGACGTCGGAGACGATAATCCAGGGGGCCTCACGCTCGTCATAGAGGGGAGAGCTGGGGTTGAAGTGGTTGACGCCAGTGAACCAGCCGTTCACCTTGCCCTTGCCACGGCCCTCACGCTGCTTCTCGTGGTTGTTGTGGCCGGTGACGTTGGTCATGAGGTAGTTGGGCCAGCCGATAAGCTGCTGACCGAGAAGGTGGATCAAGGTGTAAATGGGGGTCTCCTCGGTCAGCTCGGAAAGCTCGTGGGCGAAACGGCCGATGCGGGAAGCCTGCTGCTCGCGGGTGCGAGGAACGAAGACCATGTCGCGCTCGATGTTGCCGGTGGCCTTGTGGTGCTTGCTGTGGGAGAACTTCCACGAGAAGTAGGGGACGAGAAGGGCGGAGTGGAGAACCCAGCCGACGGTGTCGTTGATCAACTTGGAGGGGGAGAAAGCCTGGTGACCGCACTCGTGGGCAAGAACCCAGAGACCGGTGCCGAAAAGACCCTGCATGAAGGTGTACAGGCCCCAGAGAACGACACGGGCAGCCTTGAGGGGGATGTACTCGGGAGTGACATATTTGTTCCAGACGTAGAAGGTGACGGCGAGGTAGATCATGTCGCGGACGACATACGACAAGCTGCGAAGAGCCGAACGCTCGTAGCAGTGCTTGGGGATGGCATCACGGATGTCCTTGATGGTGAAGTCGGGGACCTCGAACTCGTTGCCGTAGGTGTCAATCAGCTTGCCGAACTCGGCCTTGTCGACCTTGACGTTATCGGAGGCCAAGGAGGAGAGCGAGGTGTTGGAGGCCGAGCGCTCAAGGGGAGAGTCGAAGGGAGAGGCATCGGCGGTAGCGGGGTACGAGTCGGTAGTGGCCTCGGTTTGGGTCCTGCGCAGGGCAGGCTTGTTGCCAATGGGCAGGGCGGAGGAGACAGACGCCATCTTGGAGGAGGTCGAAATTAATCGGTGGGGAGGAGGAGGAGGGCTGAATTGGAAGTCGAGACGGATCCAAACAACCTTTTATCTGCCTGATGTCACGAAACGGACTGGATCAGAAGCGTCAGCAAAGAGGGCTCATGGGCTTGTTGGTTGGTAATGGCCGAGGTTGGGTATGGGTTGGGGGCGACTTTACAGTCGTAGTGTTGGTCGACTCTTTCAAGGAAAGAGGTGGGCGAAGTGCATGGGAAAAACCCCGGAAGGGATGATAGAGAGGGAAGTGCTTACCGTCAAGGACTTTGTTGGAGACACAACCGAAACAAACAGAAGTGTACACACACAGGGAAGAGGAAGGTTGGTGGAAAAGCCAATCTCTAAATCCAAGTGGGAAAGCCTGGGAGAGGATGCGTGAAAAGAAAAAACAATCAAAGTCTTTGCTGTCTGTCTCGCAGGGACCCCGGAAAAATTGTGGTGCTAGGCGTGGGTCGATTGTTTTTGCCCGGTGGATGATTTGTTGGGATTCCCGATGTTACGGGGCTTGGTCCGGGATGGGGGGATGTAACCTGGGGTCTGGAGAAACAACCACTTTGAAAGAGGACAAAAGTCCAAATGTTGCTGGTTTTATATATACCAACCCAGGTGATGTAAACCGTGCTTTCAAATGAATAAATAAAAAGTGTGTGCCCTTGACATTGGACATGGCGAATATCTGTTATGGAGGAGGCTCATTTCAAGGCGTGGACGCTACCAGTTACGGCGCTCCCGCCTCTACCGCCTTGTCCGCGGCGATCAATAGGTAGGTACCTCCAGGCCTGGCTTCCATTCAGTCAAAACAAACCCAGACTGCGGATACAGGAGGCAATATCGAGACTCGTCCATAGGGACTGGACCACCTCTTTTGGCCACTGTTAGGAAGCATTTTCCAGAAGTTTGAGAATGAGACTCTGATTGTCCACATGCACTGAACAGAGTTGGGCACCTCCCGTCGCCCGCTTTTTCGATAATCCCTCTGGCTGCTATGTATGCTCGAGTCTGGTCCCTCTCAGCAGCCATCAGTGCAAGTTTGCACATATGCCAATCGTGCATCGTCTCTTGTACGTGGCTACTTTTATTTAGTCACTGCACGGCAATCCCTCTTTTCACCGCTTTTAGAACGATATTGAACTGAGATGCATGGAGGTCCAATGTTGGATGGCAATCTGAAGGTTAGGAAATTGTGGAGTGAGGATGGTCGTAAGTACCTCCAAGTACATCCTAACATTCACATGCCAGTCTGTGTCGGCTTGTGAGCTGAAACAAGGGTTGGAGGGTTGGAGGGCGGAGGTGACATGCAGCTGGAAAAGGGTTGAGCGAAATCGCCCAAACTGGCCAACGACAGTTAGGTACAACATGGGATTGGCGAGATAAAAAGAGAGACAGGCAGATGCTCGACCCTTCATATGTCTTGCCGAGGCTCCGCAACAAGCAACTGGTTGGGCTTGGAGAGCATCTGCTGTTGTTGTCGAAGGCATTCCGAATTTGGAGGGGGGCAAAAATGAGGAGCTGAAGACATGGGCAAACTGCGCAGACTTAACCACTCCTGGTTGCCATCGACAAGAGATCGTCCATCTGTTTTTCCTTGTGGTCAAATCATTGGTTGCTGCACACTGCGTTCCAGTTCACACATATCCTGCAGGGATTTCGCGCTGAATTTTTCGTTGCAGCGTCCGTATCTTTCTCCGGTCAAAGTCCCCAGAACCTCGTTTTCGAATCTTTGACGGGAGGTCTCCAAAATTTTTGATAAGGTACGAGGTCAGCCCCAGCCTGGGAGCATGTCATTTCGGGTCGCGTTTCGAGATGATGACGACTCATGTTGCTCATGAGATTCCATCCTTCGATTCAGTTCTCGGACGAAACCGTTTCAAACGTCCCGTCTTCAACCCGCCGTCCGAGTTGCAAGTTTTATCGATTAGGAACTCACAGCCTTTGAGGCTAAGATAAGGTGGTACAAGGATGGGTGGAGATCCCAGTCCGCACAGCGTAGCATTGCGCGGGGTAGACAGGTACTTGAGAGGACTTTGTTGTCTTTGTGGCTCTTTCCCTAGCAGCTTCGACTCTTCGACTCTTGCTTCGACAGCGCTGTTTCATCGTACCCGGACGTGCGCCTCAATCCATGGCCCCTGCCAGAAGTTCACTTCAAATCTGAGAGTCTGGCTCTGCTCTTTGCCATCATCAACCCCTGAAGACGTCCTCGACATCGTCTTCACATGTGGTGTTGTTTTCATCCCACACCATGCCACCAGGGTCCTCCCAAGCCACCCGCTCCCAGGTTCAATTGGGTGCAAGGGCCCTCCTCGGTGCAGATTCACACATCGAGGTTTCATGCAGGTCGTCGGCTGTGTGGAAGACACACGGAGTGGGGGTTGCATTTTGGTTCATGCCCTGATGCCATGGCCAAATGGCATTGGACAGATTGGGTTGGTGCTTGCTCGCGCGCGACGAGACACTCAGTTCGCCCACAGTTCGGAGTCGGCTGCTGCGAATTTCTGTTGGGAAATCTCGGAACAGGGCGATAATTCAGTTTTTTTTTGTTGGGTAAACAAGACAGTTCCCGAACTTGGTACGTTATCACTGTGTACATGCCTTTTCGGTTTTCAATAACTATCTCCACATAAGAGGCAAAACAAGACGGGGTTGCAACGGGATTCGTCCACGTCTGCTTTGCCCAGGCTTGCGAAAACCTTCACCCACTTTGGTCCTGGATCCCGGCGGGCGCGGCGGCGGTCCCGGCCCACTCTTGACCACTTCCGTCCACGCCGTCCGGCCTGCCTGCCACCAATCCCCACCGCTTCCCCCCACAAGAACCCCGAACGAGCTCCGGTCTCCAGTCCGGACATACGGCTCGCCGCCGGGACTTGTTTGTCTCCGAGATAACGCTGAACGGCAACAGAATCACACGATCGAACCACTTTGAGCGGGCCTGGCATCTCCAAGTCCCAGTTCTGTTTTGGAGATTCTGCTCAGTTCTACTTGGGGGTTGTGGTGCGGTTACCACAACGCCCAAGTATCCGTGGCTCCGTTGCCGTGGGCTCACTCCCTCCAGTACATACCGCCAAAGAAGGTCATGGATACGCTGCCCTCATCATCGCTTCTTAAACCTACTCTAGCAGTCTAGCTTCAAGCCACTCCATCAGTCGACCACTACACGGGGAGTCCACCGCACATTACAAGCCATGAGATGTTGATGTTTTCTGTGAGCTTCATATTCACAATGTCACCAACGAACGACCACGCAAATCCATACTCTTAGATCCGGACCTCAGTCTTGATTCTACAACGAGGCAGGCCCTCATCAGACCGAAACATGGAAGCGGTACTCTTTGACTTCCTTCCATATATGAAGGGCATTATGACATCCCAGAACTCCCTGCTAGTGGCTATTGTCTCGACCCGTAGATGTCGAACGAGACGCTGTTAGACTGCTATCTCTACCTAAGCCCTGTAATGTCCATCCATCCATACATACCAAATCCCCCTTCGCTCTCCTCCTTCGTCATGACACAAATAGTACCTGCTTTTCTTTATATATCTTCTGCAATTGCAAGTATGTACAGCTGTAGAACAGAATGTGATGTAATGGATCCTTGGTCACAGAAGAGTGGATTCCCCCGGCGCACCTCCAGACACCACATTACGTCTCATGCCCTACGGGAGGCGGAAGTAGACGTTAAAAATAACAACAACCTCCAGACACCACAAGCAAAGAAGCTATGCGCAGCCCTCGACACTAGGTACCAGGCCGCCCTTCAAATTCAGAGACACTGGATCGAGACAAAGAAAAGAAGGATGATAGATTCGCATCTTCATCGTTCGCCGTTGATCTCAGTGAAATCACATACCCCGACGGGGTGGAGTCGAACACAGATATCATGCCTTCCTCTAACTTTGACATCGGTACTTACTGCAGACAGACACTTGCATTGTTCTATCTCTTCCGCCGCTCAAAATTTCCGGAAGCTAAATGATGTAATCTAGACATAAAGAACCGCATAACATGGAAAACTGTACATTTCTAGGAAGTTCATTCACCTCTTATATCCGTAGCATTCCTTTGGGCAAGTAGTACTTTTAAGTGAGAGCGCATATGTAGAATGGTTCCATTGAGTGGAGATGAGTGTAAGTACCATAGGCGGTAGGTAAATCTAGGTTGCTCAAGCTGAAATTCCACGAGTGACAATCATCAGAACGGTACTGAGAATGAGAACCACTCAAGGGCACGTCTGTGAAGTATGCATCATCCATCGTCGCTTCCTCGCCGAACTAGTTGTATTCACGTGGTACCCAACGTCATGTTCGAATCCACTCCTAAGTCCCGGAGCCAGGGGCAATTGCGCTTGCCGGACCGTGCGTGTAGAGATACCTTCCCTATCTGCCGCGCCTTCCACTCTATACAAAGTCCTTCATCCGGCCTCAGACTAAAAATCCATTTAAAGGCCAGGGGCATATAAGAGGGACTTTAGTAGTTCGCCCCTTCAACCACAGCAACCGTATTGTTTCAGATAGCACACAGTGGTCTAGTTCGAATCCTCAAAACTCACTCAAAACTTCAGCTATTCTCCTTGGTTTACAGAAGATAATCGAACTCGGCAAGATGGAATGCAGCCTGAGGTGTCAGTATCAGTGGTTCGTTGTCAGACTAGCGTTTCTGTTAAACATAACAATTTCAATGCAAAATCATATATCCATGGGTTCGACCCAATGGTCATCTTGGTAATCATGGCCCAGATGTGTGAGCTTTTCAACAAGCAAAGGAAACCTTAATGAAGTCTCGCTATGCCCGATCGCTCATCACGATCTTGTAATCCAAATCCTGAAACTTTTTTCTTGTGTTCGAAAGGTAACTAACTACTCCTGCATCGCGTAGCATCCAATATCCCCAAGAAAAATCATTTGTTCGACTGTTTGTCTCTCTACATGGTGTTGCTCTCTCGTTGCGAGTCCCATAGATGATATCTCGGCTGCCTCTGCCCGGCTTTTGCGAACAAAAATCTTTGACAATAAGATCAATCGTCAAGGAAACGAAGCTTTCTCTGTCATGTTTACTTTCCCGATTCAATGACACTTCCTAGATACCCTTTTATGTATGGAAAAGTTGGGTTGGATATGTAGAACAATGCGAGTGTCTAACCGTCGACCGGTACTCCAACATAAGTGTTAGGTCTCCAGATATCGCACCTTCAGTTAAACGGAATATTCAGGTCATTAGAAGAGAGCTTTGACCCCCGATTTGGGAAGACCAGAACGATAACAACAAAGCCAACGACACAGCTCTTTTAAATCCACCGACCGACTAGTCTACGCATGCACCGCCGCTTTTATAACAAACAAAACAGGTACAACGTAGAGAGAGAACTAGAGAGAGAAACAAAAGGCCCAGAGATATGAAAGAACCCGGTTCATTTTATTCACTGTAACCCTCAGATGACCTTTTTGAAAACGGGAAGAAAACGGTACGCCATGTAACTTCACAACATATCAAACTACTACCGCCGCCGCCTGTTCGCGCATTTACTGAACGATCTCCTCGGTCTCCTCCAACACCTCCTCCATGATCTCCTCGATGACCTGCTCCTCTCCGTCGGTGGAGAGCTCCGAGGTCTTGGCCTTGATGAGCTCGGCAGCAGGGTCCGCGGGAAGACCGTAGATCTCGCGCTCCTCGGCAACCTCCTGCACGATAGACTCGCGCCAAGCGAACCACTCCTCGAGGAGATGACGGCGGGCCTCGACAACGGCAACGTCGGCGCTGCTGATGCGCTCGGCGTCTTCCTGCTCGAAGATCCTCGAGTACTCGCGGAGGTTGCGGCGGATGGCCTTCTGCTCCTCCTTGCTAAGGAGGGTAGCGGGGCGCGGCCTCCACTGGAACTGCTTGAACTTCTCGATAGCCTCCTCGCGCAGCTGCTCACCCTTGAAGTCATACAGATGATATCCATTCTCCATCTGTTTTTGTCTCGTGTTAGTGATTTCTGCTACTACATATCATCTTCCTCCAGTATCAATGGTACTTACAGAGTGCTTCCACGCGGAAGCCCAGGTGGCAACGAAGCGACCCGAGGGGTCCCACTCGACGTCAGTGACACCGTAGTGGTCAGCGGTGTTCATAAGCTGAAGGTTGGCGGTGAGATCCTTGTCGGATTCGGGCTTCTCACCCTCGAAGTCGAGGTCGTAGAAGTCGAGATCGGAGCTCTGAGTGTTGGCAACAGTGGCAACGACCACGAAGCGACCCTTAGGCGACCAGTAGATGGCGTTGCTGTTCTTCTTCTCGAGAGTGCGGAGATGCTTGAAGTTTCCAACAGCATTGCCCTTGGCCTTCTCAGGGCAGAAGAAAGCGACCGACGTCTTGGGGGGGACGGCGGTGGCACCGACAGGCTCGGTGGTGCTGATGATAACGAACCTGTCGCCCTTGGGCTCCCAGGCAAAGTTTATTACGGTATCCTTGATGGTGTCGACAACTTCCACGGGAACACCCTTCTCCTTGACACGGAAAATCTCAAGAGTGGTGGCCTGAGACTTCTTGGACTTGGAGTGACGGTCAACCTTGACGCAGATGTAAGCACCCTCGGACTGCCAGTGAAGCTTGGCATCCGAGACGCTGAAGAGGTTCAGTGACCTGACAACCTGCTTGGAGGGGATGCTCATCAAACCGACTCTGGCGGGGTTGCTGCCAATCTCGGGGGTCCAGAAGCAGAAAAGCTGCTCGTAGGTCTTGACACCATCGCGCTGCACGGTGGCGGGGGCCCAGTCGAAGTCCACAACGCCCTCGATCTTGATGGCGGTCTTGTCCAACAGGTTCATCCTCGGGAGCTCGTAGACGGAAATGGACTGGCCGGGGTTGAGCCTGGCGACGTACTTGTCATCGGCAGACCACTTGAACGCGGGCCAGGGGAACTTGGGGGCCTTCTTGGGAGCATCGCCCTCGGCGGTGGCGGCGGCGGGGGTGTCGAGCTGGGCGAAAGAACGGAGGGCTTGGAGGTCTCGATATCCCAGATAACGTAGTTCTTGCCGTCGTCTTCTACCGAAAGAGCAGGGTGACCCTCCTCGGGGATCGAAATCGGCCTGTTGGACCAGGTGACAAGGTACTTTTCGTTGGGAGAGAAGGCGACAAGGTTGACGAAAGGATGGGCGAAACGCCTCTGCCTGGTCCACGAGGGACCACCCCAAAGCTGAACACCCTGGGCGTGAACGGAGGTGAGGTAGGTACCGAGGGGCGACCACTGCACGAAGGTCTCGGTCCAGTGTTGACGGTCGACAATGTTCTCGGGGGTATCCTTCTCGTTGTTCCCAGAAAAGCCAACAGTCTCTCCCCTGAACATAACGAACTGATCTCTGCCGCGGCCGCTGGGGTCGGCCATGAAGGAGCGGAGGTGCTCCTTCTCCTGGAACTCCTCGATCTGGGGAGGAGTGTACTCGTCATCGATACGGCCCTCGCGACCATAACGGTCGACATCGGTAAGCTTGTTGACGCGAAGGGTGTGCTTCTTGTCGAGGGGGACGAGGTCGAGCTGTCTGCAGGCGGCAGCAGCCTCGGCGGGTGACGAATACTCGACGAAGGCGAATCTACAGAATTCATGTCAGTGCCCTGGTCGGGGAGCCAACATCCACAGCATAGGGGGACACATCTCGGTCGGGCGCAGCGATGGATAGCCGGTCTGTTGTGGATGCGCATCATTTAAGACGGCAGTGTTGCATACCTCATGGACTTTCCATCCTCGCCCATGGGCATGAAGATGAGGTCCTCCCGGGTCTTGCCAACAGTGTTGAGCTTCTTCAACAAGAACTTGACGAGCTTGGGTTTTTGCTCCTCGGTGACCTCGGGGAGGCCGTCGACAACGACGAAGGCATCGTAGCCCTGCTCAAGCTGAACTTCGTACTTCTCGCGAATATCGGAAATGTCGACCTCATCAACATCGAAATCATCCTCATCAAGGTCCTCGTCGCGGAGGTGGTCGAAAGACGGCGCCATGCTGGGCAATTAATGTAAATGTGCTACTTTTGGTCGGTGCCGGGAATCAGTAGCTGGCGATGTAGGGGTCGGGGAAGGCGCCTCTGGTGGTGGTGGTTGGACTTGGTGGATGACGGGATCTGGGCTGGCCGCTTCGGATTTTTTCTTCGATGCCGCGGGCGGAACAACGTGCTGGCTATGCGGTCGTCAGGATTATTGTGAGAATTTGTGCGCAGCGCGCAGATTGTGGTGGGGTTCAGTAAGAACGGCCAGAGGACCAGGGAAGACCGCGAAGGAAATGCTCCACTTTAAGAGGCAACACTGCAAGGTGATTGGGTACCCTACCAGATCCCCTCTCTCTGGAATCGCTGAAATGGGACTTTTATGCCAGTAAATGCAATGATGTGGTGGATATAGTTTGAAGTCCAAGGAGCCTCAGATATCATGGATATTGTACATGTACTTCCAGTGGACTTGACCTGGTAAATTCGAGTGCTCGATGCTATCCGTGGGTTTCTTCAACTTTGCAAGTGCCTTCCTCTTTTCTTTCAATCTTACAAGTTGATGGCGGCAGGCAGTGAGCTAGGTATTGCTCGTTTTGTGCACGGAACAAATGTTGACCACCAAAGCAGTGTCTGTCCGCTTTCAGCAACGGTGGTTCACAAGTTTCAAGTTGCCATCACCTTTAAGTCAGGAACTGAACTTTCACTTTACTCCAGTTGCAGTGTGGTTCGTTGAATGGGCAGGCAGATCCATTTGGCTTTCCACTTGAGCCTCATGGCCACTTCCCGCCCGTGCCTGCCAGAAACTGAACACTCGACGGTAGTCCCCTGTGCTCCTTCTCCAAAGTGCTGCGCTGTCCACCCGCGCTGTCCACCGCTGTCCAGCCCAAAGCTCCCCTCCCCCCTTTCTTCCTTCCCCACGCCAGACGTCCAAGTGGGGTCCACTCCTTCCCACCTCAGTGGACATTTGTCTGTCAAAGGAGGGGCAAACGGCCTGGCATTCGAGTGACAAGCATTTTATGCCACCTGTCGTAGGCGGTGAAGGTAAAGGAGGACAGGAGCTCTGGAATTTTGCCGTGGCCTGCCGTCCAAAAAGTGCCTAGAATTCAGAAGAGCATCATCCCGCTGGCAGACTGTAGAAAGGAGTTCACGTTCAGGGTATCCATACACGTCCACCACCCAAAATATACCACCAAGCTTGCTTCTTCTCTTCCAACCTCAACCCCCCCCCTTCTGTGCCACCTCGTAAACCCGACCTTTTTGTCTAATATCTAAGCTTCTTCAACATCATGGCAAGTTGATTTGTACACCACCTTGGGAACCTTTCCAAGCTCACCGTCACTAACCAAACGCCTAACCATCTCCAGGCCTCGTTTAGCCCCACCCAGATCTTCGAGGAGGGCACTACAGAAGAGAAGGGAGAGAATGCCCGTCTCAGTGCCTTCGTTGGCGCCATTGCTGTTGGTGACCTCGTCAAGAGCACTCTTGGTCCCAAGGGCATGGACAAGATCCTTCAGTCTGCGTATGCTTGTTCTCCCAAAGCCCCCGCCCCCTGCCTACAGGCTTGATGCGCCGCCGTCATGTGCTGACCGCATCATCACAATTTCTAGCTCGACCGGCGAGATTCTAGTAACGAACGACGGTGCTACTATCCTCAAGTCTATTGCCCTCGACAACGCCGCCGCCAAGGTCCTCGTAAACATCTCCAAGGTCCAGGACGACGAAGTCGGTGATGGCACCACCTCTGTTGCTGTCCTTGCCGCTGAGCTCTTGCGCGAGGCCGAGAAGCTTGTCGACAAGAAGATCCACCCTCAGACTATCATTGAGGGTTACCGGATAGCTTCCCAGGCTGCGCTCAAGGCCCTCGAGGCTTCCGCCGTTGATCACAGCAGCAACGCCGAGGCGTTCAGGAAAGACCTTGTCGCCATCGCGCGCACAACACTCAGCTCCAAGATTCTTGCGCAAGACAGAGACCACTTTGCCGAACTCGCGACCGAGGCTATTTTGCGCCTGAAGGGTTCCGCCGACCTCAGCCACATTCAGATCATCAAGAAGTCCGGCGGCAAGCTCAGCGAATCATACCTCGACGATGGCTTCATCCTCGACAAGAAGATCGGTGTCAACCAGCCCAAGCGCCTCGAGAAGGCCAAGATCCTCGTCGCCAACACATCGATGGATACCGACAAGGTCAAGATCTTTGGTGCGCGCGTCAAGGTTAGCTCTACCAGCAAGCTTGCTGAGCTCGAGAAGGCCGAGAAGGATAAGATGAAGGCCAAGGTGGAGAAGATCAAGGCGCATGGCATCAACTGCTTCATCAACAGGCAGCTGATCTACAACTGGCCCGAGCAACTGTTCACCGATGCCGGCATCATGTCGATTGAGCACGCCGATTTCGACGGCATTGAGCGTCTTGCCCTTGTCACCGGTGGTGAGATCGCTTCTACCTTCGACCACCCGGAGCAAGTCAAGCTTGGATACTGCGACGTCATCGAGGAGGTTATTATTGGCGAGGATACCCTTATCAGATTCTCCGGCACCGCTGCCGGCCAGGCCTGCACTGTCGTTCTCCGTGGTGCTACCGATCAGTTGCTCGACGAAGCCGAGAGGTCTCTGCACGACGCTCTCGCCGTTCTTTCACAGACCGTTAAGGAGCCCAGGACAACATTGGGTGGTGGGTGCGCTGAGATGGTCATGGCCAAGGCTGTTGAGGGTGCTGCTACTCGGGTCGAGGGCAAGAAGCAGACTGCCGTGTCTGCTTTCGCCACCGCGCTCAGGCAACTGCCTACCATCCTGGCGGACAACGCTGGTCTCGACTCTGGCGACCTTGTTGCCCGTTTGCGCAAGGCTATCTATGACGGTCTGAACACCTATGGTTTGGATCTCATGACACCAGGAGGCGGTATTGCCGATATGAGAGACTTGGGTGTCATCGAAAGCTACAAGCTCAAGAAGGCTGTTGTTTCTTCGGCTAGTGAAGCCGCTGAGGTATGTAGCCCTTTTCTGATCGATACGAATACAAAATGCTAACTGTTGCGAATAGCTGCTTCTCCGTGTGGACGACATAATAAGAGCTGCCCCCAGGAGGCGCGAGAGGCACTAAACTCGTGCGATATGATGCGCGAGCGGAGTTGTTGGAGAGCAGACCATGTAAATGACCTTGAGCATAGCAGAGCTGAATGCTTGATGGTGTATGGTCTCGCCGTCTCAATACCAGCCCAACGTTTGTTTCTTGTTGATGTTGAACCAAGATATCATGCCGTGCGCCAAATGTTGCCACCACTGATATAAAAGAGACTTTTAACTAATAGAAATGCCATCTCACGTTCACCTCCTGTTTTTGCTAACAAGTCCCTTGCCCTATGTATGTGACCAGCTTGTGCTGATGATGTACATTTGCTAGCCAGTCTTTCAGGTGCATGAACAACCTCATTCAAAGGCTGCTTTGGAGTGTACGCAAGGGAAGGAGTGTTATTTGTTTGCATGTCTGTCATCAATAGGAACAAAACCTCCTCAACGTCGCATACGAAAACATGCTCCCAACTCCCGTTCGACAACACATCGTCATCCGAACCCGGCAGAATCTAGTCATCTTACCCCTCATAAACTCTACACTAACCCCGTTCTTACCCTTCCCATCATCTCCAGCAAAGCTAGCTACTAGGTAAGTAGGTAAGTACCCAGCCCAAATCGCCCCAAGCCACCGCCTGAGCCAAGTCAACCATCATTCATTCGAACCTCAACTCAAGCCTCAAGCCTTACGAGCGTGCGCGTCAAGCTCAAGCTCAAGCTCAAGCCAAAACCTCCCCCAACCTCTCCTTGAGCAACCTTCCAATCACCACCGGATCCGGCCCCTCCGCCCCCGCGGCGACCATATCTTCCCGCGTGAGTCGGACGAACTTGATGTCCGCGTTCTTGGCCAGAACCGCCTCCTTCACCTGCTCGGCGTCCGAGGGCGACACGCCGCCGCCGAAGATGATGGCCTTGGGCACCTTGCGGTCGGCTGGGGTAGAGGCGCTGGCGTTGTCGTTGTTGTTGGCGTTGCAGAGGGAGGGAAGTTCGGAGAGGGAGGTGGAGAGGTCGAGGGTTGTGTGGACGACTGTTTTTTGGTGGAAGAGGAAGGGGGTCAGTAAGTGTGAGTGGGTGGGCGGGTGAGGGAGTGAATCGGTGAGGGAGTGTGAGGAAGTGGTTGCAAGGAGAAGTAGGGATAGAGGTACATAGAGGCGGAGGTATTAAGGGGGGGAGAGTATAAGTTAGGTAGGTTAATCTGGCCGTGGTGGAATAGGAAGAAGGTAGGGAGAGGAAAAAATCAGGTGAAACGAACCGTCATATTCTGGAAGAAGCTTATCACGAATGGCCTGGGCGACCTTGGGGTTGTTGCCGAAGGAAGCGATGGGGATGGCGGTGGTGGACATGTTGATAAGTTGGATGTGCTTGTGTGGGTGTTATGAACGAGTGGGTGGAAGCTTGGAGCTGTTGACTTCTTCAAGCTTGTATGTAGCTTCAGGTTTGGGTTTGGGTTGCTTTCTTTCTGGAATATTGTAGTTTGCGTTGTGAGAAGATGGCATTCGAAGGCTTCATGAGTTGGGATCCCCATGGGCTTTATATATCTGAGCTGCTTTAGTACCCGAGCGTCCATTCTGGCGACCCGACCGGGGCTCCTTCCAATTGTGAGTGAGGTATGTAGTAGGTGTTTTGAAAGCTGTCGTTCGTTTTTGTTGCACACGTCGGATAATCCGTAACGGAATGTCACCGGTGACCGGAGTCCCGGACCAAGGAAACAACTGCAACTCCAAGTCTGTCTTAGACAGAAAATGCTACAGATACCGCAAATTGCTTGGCTACTACCTCGGTATTTTGGGAAGGTTCGAGACGTTGAATTACGCGGAGAAGCGGGAGCGGGACGTGATTGAAGACCGAATCGGGAGACGGGATCGCTCCCGGGGACCGGCATGGAGGAGGCTCAGCCGGAGCTTCAGCAAGACCTTCGTCACCGAACGCAGAGCATATTTGCTGTGCCGTATTGGTAGGTAGTCGCAAAAATGAATACCACTTGTTCTCTGCCACTCTACGCCTCCTCGTCTTGGGTAGTGCCGTGGGGTAATCCGCTGTGTATTCAGGAGCTCGAAAACACGGCCTTCTTAGTTGTTTGAAGCCGCGTAATCATGAACTATCTGTTCCTCTGCCATATGGCTGCATAAAAGCCATGAAGTCGACTGGTCAATGGAATGTCCTTGACACCAAGGCAGCTGTATGTGAAACATGTAACAGGTTGTGCAAATTCTCACCGCAAAATACCTTTTGGGTATTATTAGAGTTTTGTGAGCGAGGAAATCACGGGGGATGGCAATTGCGCTGGTTTGACGCCAATCCGGAATTTCGGGTGAGGCAGATGTGAACATGTTCTGCAAGTACCTAGAGAGTGCCTTCTTTCCTTTTCTTTCCTCGGGTTCGTTGAACATCTTATTGGCGATTCGGTTCGGACCCGAGATGGTGGGCTATTTGCGGCCATTCGCGTAGTAAGTAGGACATGAGGCTCGTGCCGCATTAAGCGAGAAAAGACTGGCTGAAAGTCCTCAAGTAGTACATACTATGTAAAAAGCGTTTCCCATCTGAGTGGGATGATGAACTTATCTGGTAATGGCCCTCTTCTTACGTCTCAACGATAGTATCGCATTTCTTTAACAACAACCCAAGAACACGACGAGAATCGAGCTCAAGTCATAAGAGTGCCGTCTTGAACGTCAATTTGGCAATTTGCACTCGAAAGAGTCTTGCTCTGTGTTTGCAGCCTTGCTGACAGGTACACGGATATATCACTCCATCTCCTTTCCATGCTATCTGAAGGTTTCTAGGAGAGCTTTCTCTTGCCTCCCCCTTTTCTCTCCCAGACAAACTCTGAAACATCTTACGCCGCTTCAAAGATCGTGGTCACTCATTCTTTCAATTCTTCAATGTCATGAACACACCTATCAAGCCGGTGATGTTCAAGCATATCGCACGCGTTCGCCTCGGCATCAGAGTTCTGGATCAACAAGTGTCCTTAAATCTGGACTTGCAGGTATAGCATCCTAATCCGCCTTGTGCTGTCTAGCCTTTTGCAAACGCCGGGACACTTGACAAAGGAGCGAGAGGTACTTGGCCGAAGCTGATGATGTCGTCGCCTAGCAACGGAGACTCGACGAGACTTTTTACTAAAGAAACAGATTGACCGTGGAAATTACGTTCGTCAGTGGTGGTGAGCCCGGCGTTGTCGGCGTCGATGGTGAGCGCTTCAAGTAAACCCTGTGGATTTTTTTTTCTGTTCGGTAAAACTAGGTGGTGCTGACTGCTCGGCACTGAAATTCTGAAAGAGGGGGGTTCAGAGGGTGAAGAGCAGTTGTTGAACGTCAACTGAACCAAGAATGCGGGTGGCATCGCTATTTATCCCAAGCAAGTGGAGGGATTACCAGTATGGAAACAGCCATGGATAATGGAGGTCCAAAGGCTAGACCAAGTTGCATCCGAGAGGGGTTCCATTGCATCTCCGCGTTACTATCGGCAGACTGCCATCGTTACGTGGAGAGAGTGATGTTTCTCCTGTTGATAGAATCATGCCCAACTCAACTCGCTCTCCATGGTGTAAGTTGACGAAATAAGAAAGTCTTGAAGTTTAGTAGTTCTCGGTCGGCCAAGGGTCCGCGGGCATTGACACTAGCATCCGCATCACGTGGCCGCCCGCATTCCGGCAACCGGCTACCGGCGTGGATGTTTGCGGTAGAGCGCAATTCGGCATACTGATTGGCAGGACTTGGGATCGCCGCTCTCTGAGCACCACCCCACTTTCCTTCCATCTCAGACGAGCCGGGACGGCAGACGGGACCGAAAGTGGGACCCATGGGACTCAATGGGTCCAATCACAGACTCAAACCAGCCACAAAGAAGCCTCACTTCTTCCGGTTTTGGCGGACGGTTGGCGGACCGTGAACTACCTGCACCAACACCGCGACCGACCTCACTGGACTGAGACTCCCGGACGCCGCAAGACACTGACTGACTGCAACTGAGGACCGCGAACCGTAAATCGCATCTCTAGAACTCCACTCCAGGACTTGATCAGGTACCTGAGGTCATCTTGCGCTTGGGCTGGCCATCTGCATCACAAACCGCTGAATTTGCATTCGTCGCTTTGCCGTGCGCTTACTACACGTCTTTTACGGCTCAACACACATTCTCTCCACCGTACGCGATCGCATCACAGGCAACCGCTTCGCATCGCAGCATCCTTATATCCATCCCATCAGGACGCCCGGCATAACCGACACAGATATTCAGTCTGCAGCGCATTGTGGCCCTTTTTCTTCCAACACTACAAATTTCAACCCTTTCCAGGTTGTTCGGGACTACCATATTCCATCACCTTTCACTGATCGGTCAGCCATCCTTTTTCGCGACCATTGGATCTCGTAGCGCATCGTCATCTTCACCGGCATTTGCTCCAAGCGCCCCTGCTTTTAGCGACAACTCTACCTACTTTTTGGGCGTTTCGTCCAGTATCTTGAGCTTCCCAGTTCCCCAGCTATTGCTGCTTGCGAGCATTTTCACCCCAACTCGGCCCATACGCATACGGTCTTTCAAGTCCATTTTTGGACAGCAAAGAACGGCCATTTAGTTGTCGCGTTGAACAAGGTGCAGCTGTCGCGCCCGCAAATTTCCTGGCTTTGTTCAAGCAGTCCGCAGTCGGCCATCTGTCTGTTTACCGCAGCTGTTTACTTTCATCCCTCTGGATATCATCCCAACCTGAACTCGTCGTCAGGTCGGAGGCTACCTATTGCAGACGCTGAAGCTACCGGCCCTTACATCATTTGCCAGGCCAGCTTCTAGCATATCGCAGAGCACCTAGGAAACACCACACACTACATCCCCAATCTTTCCCGCCAGTGGGTGTTTCGTACTACACCGGCAACATGTCCGCGCAATGTAGGAATATTTGCCTAGCCTGTCTTCCCCTTCAGAATGGAGCTATGCTAACTCGGTCTAGTTACTCCCGAGGAAGAGGCGACCTACGCCCGCGTCATCGATGAGATCCTGGAAACTGCCGACCTGGACACAATTTCTCGCAAGGCCATTCGGCAGAAAATGGAAGCAGCCATCAACAAGGATCTAAGTGACCAGAAGGTCAGTGTTCCCTCATCAGAGCTCGCCCCGTCTGTGTATTGGCATGCTGCCTCTAACAGAAACCCCAATGCTTTCCCAGCAACCTCTCCTGTTTCGGTTCAGCTGCTGACAGTTCCCTGATTCGTATAGCATGCCATCAAGGGCTTGATTGAAGCCCGATTCGACGCCGCTCAAGCACGCAAGGCTGCTCAAGAACCAACACCCGAAGAGGCCACCCCCGAGGCCACGCCTGAGGCCGAGGAAGACGATGCTGCTACCGACGGCGAGATCGAAGTCCGCCCGAAGAAACAACAGAAGCGTGAAAGCTCAGAGGACGCTGACGCCCGCCTGGCCGCCGAGCTCCAAGCGCAGGAGAACAAGCTCTCTCGCGGGCCACGAACAAGAGGTGGCGGCGCCGCAAAGGTGACCAAGAAGGCCAAACCCAAGGCCAAGACACCAAAGAAGAAGAGCGCGACACGCGTGAAGTCGGACGATGATAGCGACATGGAGCCCGAAGTTGTGGAAGGAACAAAGAAGCGCAAGGCTGGTGGCGGTTTCCAGAAGCCCTTCAACCTAAGTTACCCTCTTCAGGAGGTTTGCGGAGAAGCCCAGGTTTGTACACGCTCTGCTAAAGGCCTTGAATGGAGAACTAACAGGATAACAGCTCTCCCGCCCACAGGTTGTCAAGAAGCTCTGGGAGCACATCAAGGCGAACGAGCTCCAGGATCCTAGCGACAAGAGACAGATCCTCTGCGACGATAAGCTTCAAGCCGTATTCAAGCAGAGTTCGATTAACATGTTTCAAATGAACAAGCTCCTTGGCAACCAGCTTTATCCGATCGAAGCCGAAGAGTAAGAAGTCTGATCTGAGATGGACGGTTTCCCGTTGGTATTGGGTCATTGGGGGCAAGCTAGGTAGCAGGCTGGCGTGCATGGCGTCATTGGAAAAAATCTCGGGGCTTCGGAACTACTACTAGTATACCACAGTACGTCTCTGTTTTCATGGGTTGAGGGCTGGTGGAAAGGAGGTCTGGATGTGAAAGGAGGGCAGCGCATTTTCTCGGGTTTCACTATTTGCTGGGTTTGTCTTTGGGTCTTCCTCAGCGGCGCAAGGAGGGGTTTCTCTTACCCCAGTCATACCATTTTGGAGGAAGATACAGGTTATGAAGAGGATGAAGGGCTAGGGATAGGATGGGCAGTGGTCGGGTTGGGGTCGTTCACATTACTAGTGAACGATGGCTAGGTTGGACTGCTTTTGGTGGTCAACCTTCTTTCTGGTCTCGGGGGAATGGAGGTTCATATCCTCATCAACTCATCTCTTACCATTCCATTAGTGGTGTTCAGTATCATGACGACCGAGGGCATGGGAGAACAGACATGACGATATGCCAGCGACATTTCTCCTTTATACCTGGACCAGAGAAAAAAAAAAGCAATCCTTCTCACATGCGCTTCCAAGATTCCGATAAGGCTGAACATTTTAAAGGGGTTCGTTCTGACAGGGGATGTTATGTGACTGCTTCTATACGATAATCGCCAGCGTCAAGCACCGAAAAAGACTCGCCGTATCCGTCAAAAGTCAATGGTCAGCACCGCCTGGATATTTACGAAGTTTATGAGGATGAATCGGTCAATTTCCACGCGAGAGAGAGGCCAAGTGAAAATTCGGGGAATGACTCCTCGACGCTCCCGTTACCGAGTAGTCTCGATAAATTCGGCCAATGCCATCAAAGCTGAGCCACTGCACTCCATCATGGACCTGGAGATCACTCCAAACAGAATTTCTGGACGCTAAACTACCTTACCCCTGCCCAGCCACTGTCACTGTTCTGGGTTCAATTTCTGTAGGAATTGCTTGGTATCCGGTACGAACCGAGTTATCGTGGAGGCAACGCGACGTGAGGGCATGGATGTTGGGTTTTGGGGTACAATGTACCTGTGATGACGAACGAGTCGCAGTTTTTGGGTTGGGGTGCACTTCCATTTTAAGTGGGAGTGAGGCGCCAACAAAAAATTGTTGCGAACCACGGCGGCCGGTTACTGCTGCTGCTAGGTAATCGGGCGAATAAATGCTAGAACCGGACCCCACCATCAACGTCAACACCCCCAATTCAATCATTTCCGTCTGTCCTCTCTCTTTGCAACCGACTTTACCTAAGTAGGCCCATCTGCCTCCCAAGCGTCCACATCAATCCTATTTCAAGAACGTTTTTTCTGGAAGTTTTTGTCCTCCTTCCGCAGTATCTTCGTACACCTTTTCCTTCCACAAAGACTGCACGGCGAATAGCCAGAGCCAACGCCCTCAATACCTTACCCACGAGCCTCCGAGAGCGAGCCATTTCTAAACACACGACCACCACAACAGGACAGCAGTGACACTTTCCTTCAGCCGGTCCAAACCATTCGAAATCATGTCTTCAGCGGAGCAACCAACACCTCAGGGGCCTAGAGGCGACGGCAACCGGGGCAAAGGCAGAGGACGCGGAGGACCTCGAGGAGGCAACCGTAGTCGGGGTGGTGACGGTGCCGGTCGCGGTGGCGCTGGTGGTGGCCGTGGCAAGGGCAGAGCCGGAGGTGGAGGACAGCAGCAGCAGCAGCAGCAGCAGGACACACCGAAACCCTCGCAGGACGTCTCTTCCGGCGACAGCAACTGGAAGACACAACAGCCGGAAGCACAAGACGACGACGCCGAGGTCTGCTTTATTTGTGCGAATCCCATCACACACCACTCTGTTGCGCCTTGCGGCCATTCGACATGCCACATCTGTGCCCTACGACTAAGGGCGCTGTATAAGAACAAGGATTGCCCGCATTGCCGAGTGAGTATAGCCGTTCCAGAAACATGAGGTCCCGTTTGCTTTGGTAGTTTGCTGACATGCGTAAAACGTCTAGACGGCCGCTCCCTTCGTTATCTTTACCGACGACCAAAACAAGAAATTCGAAGAGTACACGAGCAAGGAGATTACAAGTACGGATGACAACATTGGAATCAAGTACGCGGGCGAGCACATTGTTGGAGACACTGTCCTCCTCCTGCGGTACAACTGCCCCGGCGGAGAGTGTGACTTTGCCGGTCTTGGTTGGCCTGATCTGCATCGCCATGTGCGCTCTGTTCACCACAAGAAGCTTTGCGATCTGTGTACTAGGAACAAGAAGGTCTTCACGCACGAGCACGAAATGTTTACGGACAAGGAGCTACGCGACCATATGAGCCGCGGCGACGACAAGCCCGGCGCCGTTGACCAGACCGGCTTTAAGGGACATCCCCTATGCGGCTTCTGCGGCGAAAGATTCTATGATAACGATAAGCTTTACGAGCATTGCCGCAGCAAGCACGAGAGATGCTTTATTTGCGACCGTCGCGACTCCCGGCAACCGCATTACTATCGCAACTACGAAGCTTTGGAGGACCATTTCAAGCAGGACCATTTCATTTGCCAGGAACGGGAATGCCTGGAAAAGAAGTTTGTCGTTTTCGACAGCGAGCTGGATCTCAAGGCTCACCAGCTTAGCGAGCACGGAAACTCGTTGTCGAAGGATGTTAGGAGAGACGCTCGCGTGGTTGATATTTCTGGCTTCGACTTCAGGTCCTCGTACCAAGAGGAGCGCGGCGGCAGCAGCAGTGGCGGCAGAGGCCGAGGAGGAAGAGACGGGCGAGGCGCACGCGGTCGGGATCCCAATGCCGAGGCGTTGCCCGCCAGTACTGCTCAGCCTTTACGAAGAGACGAGCTTGCCTTCCAGCGGCAGATGGCCATTACCCAGTCATCGTCTGCTGCTCGTCCGAGCGCGGGTCCTTCTACCGGCACTCGTCCATCCGGCCAGACCTCTGTGGTTCAGTCACGACCAACCCGGCCTCAGCAACAACAGCAGCAGCAACAACAGCAGCAGTCCATCATTGATGCCATGCAAAACCTCAGCGTCTCTGAACTCTCGTCTCTTACCCCTGAGCAGCGTGCTAGTGTTACACGGCACGGCGCGGTGATCGAGCGTGCGTCAAACCTCCTCGGCAACAATGACACGAAGATCAGCCAGTTCCGATCTTATGTCTCGAACTTTAACAGGGGTTCGATGACTGCGGACCAGCTCATCGATGCTTTCTTCGCCCTCTTCTCCGAGACCTCGTCCAACGCGCTAGGTACCCTGGTACGAGAGGTTGCTGATCTCTTCGATGACAAGAACAAGGGCGCAGCTCTCAATAGGGCATGGCAAAACCACCGCGCCATCAATGAGGATTACCCTAGTCTTCCAGGCCTCGGCGGTATGCATGGAGCTACAACAGCAAGCAGCGGCTGGGCAGCTGCCGCATCGGCGACCCCAGTTACCCTACACCCCAACGGAGGTCTCGCGAACGCCCAGTCACGCCATTCCAACCACGTGTTGAAGCTTAAGAACAGCACCAGGATAGGCGGCGCTAGCGAGCGTGGCCTGGAGCGAACAGTCGCCTCTCTCCAGGCCGGCGGATCAAGCAGCAGCAGCTCGGGCAGACTCGTGCCCGGCACCAACGCCTACGCCTCCCAGGCTCGTTCCACAGTCAGCAACTCTGCTGCATTCCCTGCGCTCCCCGGAGCGAAGAAGCCCGCCACCACATCAGGCTTGTCAGGCTTTACTGCGGCCGCCGCCTCTGGATCGTCGTCTTCTTCTTCCCGCCCCGCCGCTGTCACCACTGCCCCTCGAAGCACCGGCAGCACGGCCACTACCATCGCCAGGAAGGTTGCCGGCGGAAGCGGCAGTATGCAAAAGGCCGGAGAGGACGCCTTCCCGGCACTTCCTGCGGCGCCTAAACCTACTACTACTTTGTTTGGCTACGGCAGGGGTGCGGTACGGAGAGATTTCGGTCAGCCCAAGGAGACAGGATTCAACTGGAACGGTGGAAGCGGAAGCGGGGCTGCGTCGAGCTCGTCTTCGGCACAGCAGCAGGCTGGTGGTGATGGTGACGAGGGCGCTAGCAGTGGGAAGGGTAAGAAGAAGCAGAAGAAACAGGTTTTGGTTCAGTGGGGTTAGCATACCTTCTCTGGATGAATTCGTAGCTGCGGCATGGGGAGGATGTTTGAAGGTTGGAGCGTACTTGAGGAGTCCAGATAGCATTAGATCTTTGTTCATTCCTCGAGATTGATCGATCAGAGATATTGCAATGAAGCCGACTGGCTGGTGGTGAACTAGTGTATACTTCTGGAATGAGACACATAGCGTATGTATTCAGACCTTACCCAGCAATGAAACAAAAGACTATAGCGGATGGTTTTCAACATACATGCCTCCATATTGTCTTTGGTGGAGATGTAATTCTGTGAGTGATCTACGATGACACAATGCAGGAACGAAATCGAGTGATACACGCATCCCGTTTTAAGAAATCCCTAATCGACTAGTATCATGTCTGCCTGCCCCATGTAATATGTAGCCCGAGAAGTTGGCAGCTGTCACTAACCATACTCGTGATACCTACCTACACTGCCAGAACTGCTCACCAACGGGCACCTTTTTACAATTATATAAGTCACATAACAGCAACAGCAACAGCAACAAGAAACAGAGGAAACCTGTCATCATCAACATGATATGTCCCAAAACAGAGTCAGTCTTTATGTCAGGCCTGTTTGCCTTGATGCTGTTGTCCTGTTCCGTTTCAATAAAACCGGAAAAACGCTCAACCTATAGAGGTAGGTATCGATACCCTCTGTATTTCAAGATCCTCGGGACTTTAGCTACCACCTGCAAGTCAAATATTGTTGGAAATATTGGAAGTTTTTTTCTTCTTTCCTTTCAACGGGATTATGTAACCATGGTCGGGGTTTTCGTTTCGGAAGTCGGAACGGAACCACAATGGAAAGGGGAATTGCCCTGGTAAGTTGGTCACTGGTAAGGTAGGTTGGTTATTTATTTGATTGGTGGTTGTATGTATCTAGGCTAGCAAGGTATGTATCTATTAAGAGAATGTGTGGTAAATGTCAGGCTATGCTGCATCTAGGCGTCTTTACCGTATCCAGAGCCGTAACGGGAGTGGTGTGGTGTGGTGGTGTGGTGTGGTGTGGTGGGCTGAGGATTTTGTGGACTGGTTGACTGGTTGACTAGTTGACTGGTGGTCTTGGTGGTCCTGATGGTGTGTGTGGTCGGAACGATATCAGATGGAAGAAGGGAAGAAATGTGCCCATTTAGGGAAACGGGAAACGTGGGTTGTCACGGGCATGCAAGCAAGCAGGAAAGGTTTTGTGAGATGGAATACCTATCGCAGAAACTCAGGCCCTTCGTTTTTAACTTCCAAGGCCTAAATCACAGAAAATATGTATTAGGTGCCTTGGTGTTTGGGTTTAAGGAGAGAATTCAAGCATATGCATCCCTGGAGGTACTTTTCGTGTACTGATCATTCCTGATCTTGGAAGTTGGAAACGAAAAGCCCGAGTTTCTGTCGTACCTACTTAGGTAGATGAAAAGAAAAAAGTTGGGATGAATGCAATACCTATGTACTGTGTCTCCAGTATGTAGGTACAGTACATCTACTGGTAGCATATATGCTTTATGCTTGTGACTGCTGCTGCTCATGCTTTTGCTGTGATGCAATGCTTGTGATGGAAGGGCGGTCTCGGGGGGTGAAGGGACAAGTTAGGATGCAGAGAGATTTTTCCTCTTGGGAAAGGCAAAGTCACGTCATTAGGACTGCATTGGTTCACCGTCATGCTTATTCCTTTTTTGAGGCAGTTGGTTGGTTGGCTGGTTGTCTTGCATCTCAACAATTTTTCTAGTCCTTCGCCGGTTGAAGGTTGAAGCCCGGAAAAAAAAGGTGACCCAAAAAGGAGGTGTAGGTAAGTACCTTATGTGCATGAGGCATGAGGCATGAGGCATGAGGCATGATCCTCTTTTTTCTTTGATGATGTCCGGTGCTAAGAAAATCCTGCAGACGCCGCCGAATGCCGGTATGCGTGTTCAATAGAGACTGGACGGATAATAACTGGAGCAAAGCCCGGAAGCATTTTCGAAAGGATACATTATGTACCAAAGCGGTGCTATGTAGCTGGCAACAAGAGTTGCAGGGGAGTAAGCAATGGTAGGTTTCATTTAGTTGCTGGTGTGAGAAGGCTTGTTGGATTGAGAAGTCTTGTTGAACCCACCCCTAAGAACCAAAAAAGGGGCCCTGCAATTGCAGGCTTTCTAGGCCACTTAGGCTTTCTTTCTTAAGCTTCTTTACCTTCCTCATTATTAAATCTTTTGTTTGATATTGGAATTTGGAAACGAAAAGTCAAAGAGCAAATATTACAACGAGGAATCGAATGGAGAGTCACAGTCACGATGGGAGTCAAAAGAAAAGGTCTACGCGAGAAACTACTTAGCTATTGGGCCAAAGGTTTGAGAAAAAGGAAGTTCCTTCCTTTGATATACCCGGAAAGTGGTCTTGAGGAAGGGGCAGGGAGGAAATTGAACTTGGCGAATTCAAAGGGCAACTCCCAAGTCCAAGTCCCAGCTCTAAGTCCTATCTCCATAGGATAGCGGCCACAGGGCATTGCATCTAGGGCAGTGTAGTAAGTCCATAATATTTCGCTTTGGGGAAAGGTTTTCGTTGACTAGGGTTAGGGGTATAGGTAGAAGTCAACAAGACTTCCCAGGCTTGGCAAGTCTGGCAAGGCTTGTGCTCTCCTGCATTTTCCCACTACGGTACGGTATGTACTTTACGTAGATACCAAGAGGTAGGCATGATGCATGGCAGCTCAATCACTCTCAACACAAAAACAAGCTCGGTGAATAGTGAATGGTTATGGTGAAAGATCAACGGCTCACCTAGACTGCCAGATTAAAGAACTGTCACTACGTAGGAGTCACGGTCTCAGCCGTTGTTGTTCGCCAGAGCAAGGGCAAGGGCTTGAGGTTTCGTTTTGACAACCGTTCGGCCCCTTGTCTCTTCGGCTGCCCATCTCTTCGATTTGGGAGCCTCTTTTTGACATTCTGACCTCCAATTCCAACCCCCCAAAGTACCACATGGCGTGGATGGGAAGTGGAAGGAAAAAAGGAGGAACATGATTCGTTGGAATAGGCCGGTCTTTGCCCTAGCCTAGTCTAGTGGCTGTTGTCAGGAGTGGTGAGTGATGACCGGTGACCCCTCGCTCTCAGACCCTTTCAACCTTTTTTGTGTTTTGGACGGTTCGAGGGGCGACGACCCCGGATCTCGTTTTTAGGGAACCTCGGTGTGGAGCCGTTTCCCGTTCCCTGTCTTCCCCAGCCGTCCGTTTCCCGCTCCCGCTCCCGCCGAGCTCGGACGGAGCCCGAGTTAGTTGTGTGTTGCTTACCCGCTGCGTCGGGAGCATGCTTGGGTAGATATGGACATGGATAATCGGATGAAAAACGAGCAAGAGGAATTCCAGAACGGGATGGATGGAGGCTGATAACGATGGGGAGCGAAAGACTCCGTCATGTTGTGTGCCGCCTTTTGAATTCGATACTTTTTTTTGTGGGATCGAAGGCGGGAAAGGTGCCGAGTGGCTTACACGAAAACGGAGGACCGGCGGCTGGGTAGGGGGGTTCGGGTGGTCAGCGTGTCAGCTCAGGTTCCTCCTTTTGCTAGCTGTGGTCCAGGCCTGCACCGGAACAAGTCCGTCAAGGGCAAGGGCGGTGACGTTTCATCCCACCATCCCTCTTTGACAAGAGAAGCTCGACGGCATCAAGCAAGGGTTCGCAGAAATTCACTTGCTGATTTTCATCTTTCTGTGTTGTAAGGAACAATGTTCACGAGTGTTGCGTAGTGCTCACAATGCCGCTAATACCATGCTATGGAGCCAATACGTAGTTGCTGACGCGGTACTCAGAGTCCAGACGAATGAACTCATTGTCGTGATCATCAACTGTTATTGTTTCGATAGCTGGGGTCGACCCGAGATGGAGTCTCAATCGTGGGCTGGATGGAGATCCGAAGGGGTCCCCCTGGTGGAGGAAGGCAGCGAGGGATCCACGGATTGCCCGGATACATGGCTTGCTATCAAGGACTCCCTTACGTCGTTGCGCTGCGTAATCAGGGCACAGGCAGCACAAGATGCGAACTTTGAAGGCTGTCGGGACTTGAGGTGGATTGGTGGTTGAATTGTCGCTGTTTTTTTTATCTGAGCCATCATCCATTCCATCCGTTCCGTTAAATGTATAAACCTGGGAGTCGAGGTGCTGTGGGTGCAGTGCAGTGGTGAGTGTGTCCAGTGGTGGCTGCCAATTTATTACGGTAACGGTCAGCTATTCAGCCACCCCCTCTCCCATTCACCCCGTCGCTGCACGTCACGGCCAAGAAGTATTTCGCTAGCATAAAACACGCCACAAGGTACATATATTATATTGTACTGCATCCCCGTCCAGCCCATCCCTTCCACCCCGATCTTTAACAAGTCACACACACCTGCCTCGCACACAAACAAAGGGGCCGGAATCCAACTGCTTCCATACAAATCCATCTGCCGCCCTTTGGTTCTCATCTTCTCTCTTTCTCACCAAACTTTATCTCCAACAATCCTTCCCCACCGCCAAACCTAAAAATCACCAACATCCGCTTGAGCTCTGGGCCGCGCCAAGACCGCACAACCAACTCGACTCCGCCAAACCAACATCCACAAGCGATACATAGGTAGCTCTACCCAGTATTTATCTAGTAGACTCTACCCACCAACACACAGCCAGCAGACGCACACTTACTCCACGGCAACCACTCGACACCGCCTGCCTCTACACCACACATCTTTACCGTACAATCCTCTTTAACACCAATAACACGACCGACCGGCTGCACACACACATCGAAACACGCCGCGACTTGCATATCCTTACGCGCACGCACGCACGCACGCACGCACCAGAAACCAGAAACCGACAGACACCATTGGCGTTCCTTGCCTTGGATGTGCTCCTAGGGCTGCTTCGGCCTTCCCAGTATCAGCATCCGCATTGTTGTCCCCAAAATGTTGCGACGGCCGTCCGGCCACGTCGCTTGCCGGCCCGAGGTCCTCCTGGCTTTCGCTTTCCTCCTAGTTAACTTGCAATGGCTCCAACTCGTTGATGCTCAGCCGCAGCGTCACGCGAGGTCTCCCCGAGAGGACGACGACCATGCCGTGCCCAACATTGCTACACTGTCCACCCTGACAGGAGGCCACCCACAAGCCGTCATCGAGACGCCCCGAACTCACGGCCGTGGCAAGCGGACCGTAGTCGAAATCGCCGACGGGCCCAAAACCGAATCTATCCGATTGAGCTATCACGCCCAATCCGACAACAATAATATCAACCATGCCGACTTGATTTCTAACAATGCGCGCGCCAACGCTCTTGCTCCGGACTCGTCCGTTCGAGCACCTCCGACCCAATACAACAAGGTCGGCTCCTTGGGGGCCGAGCTCTCGCAGCACCAGATTGCGCGGAGCTTGGAGGACTGGGAAGTGGAAGACTTTGTGCTTCTGGCGACCATTGACGGAGATCTGTATGCCACCGACCGCGTTCGTGGCGAGGTGCGGTGGCACTTCAAGGCCGACCACCCCATGGTCGAAACTCGGCACTTCCGAACCTCCCGCTCCCCCGTCGATGAGGACTACCACGAGATGGACCATTGGATCTGGATTGTGGAACCCACAAGGGACGGCGAGATATACATCTGGAGACCGAGCGACTCGGGTCCCCAGTTGACCAAGATGGCCATGACCATGAAACAGCTGGTCGAAAACTACAGCGGCCTTCATATGAACGGCATCGTCTACACGGGCGAGAAGAGGACCAACATGGTGACCCTAAACGCCGCGACCGGCGCCATGATCAAGAACTTGGGCCCCAGAGGTGTCAATATCAACAAGGTTGAGTCCGAGCGATGCCTCAGAGAGTATGCCCTCGGCAACAGCATCACCAGCGAGTGCAGCAACAGAGAAACCATCACCCTCGGCCGTACAGAATACATTGTCGGTGTGTACCGCACCGATGGCAGTCCCATTGCATCCCTCAAGTATTCCGAGTGGGCACCCAACGTGTTGGACGGTGACTTGGGCCAGCAACATTCAGCTACACCTGATAAGCGCTATATCACTGGTAAACCTGATGGCACCTTCTTTGGCTTTGGCCTTGATCGGGAGAGCGGTGATCGGCCTCTTTTCACCCAGCAGCTCACTTCCCCTGTTGCTCGCGTCTTTGATGTCCTTCGTCGTCAGTGGAATCCGACCGGGACCAGCGACACGGACTTGATTATCCTTCCCCAACCTCTGATTCCCGTCAATCACCTGATTTCTCGTTATCGCAGCGGAAAGGTTTTCGTCAATCATACTGAAGAGGGTAGCTGGTATGCTCTTTCGGGAACTCAGTATCCCCTCATTCTTCATTCTTCGCCTGCCCCTGTCCACAAGTATCGGCCGTTGGAAGGTGGTATGGATGAAGACAAATTGTCCGAAGCCCTCGTTGGCATCCATGACCTGCCCGACTGGCGGATTCCCAAGGAAATTAACCGCCTAGTGCCACTTCTGGATGCGCCTCCTCCTCCCGCCAGCGACGCCGTTATTACTGGTAACCCCACGCTTCCATCTCAGCAGGGGCATTACCTGGACTACCAGCACCGGATACTGCTACAACACTCCCCGTGCAAGCTTTTGACTTTTTCCGCAACCCCTTCACTCTGTTGGTTGGTATTGTGATTGTCATCGGTGTGTGGACACGGGCTTGGATACCAAAATCGTCCAAGAAAGGCTACTCCTTCGAGGGATTCCTGGACTTCATGAGAACGCTCGGGAGAAAGGTTGTGGACCTCTCACGCTTTAGGATTCACGTTGTCCGTACAGAACCAACCCCGGCCGTAACTGATGTTGCCCCGCGCTCCGAGGTAGCTCAGGAGGAAATCAGTAAGACCGATACATCCTCGCCAGATTCGTCCGCCGGGGATTCTGGGTCTGATGAAGGATCGGTGAAGAAGGAAGTGACGTTTGCCAGCCTTCCACAATCTTCCGAAAAGCCACCAAGCGCCGATTCAAATGATGTCCCCGCGGAACCTACCAAGCCAAAGAAGAAGGCTCACAGGGGACGCCGCGGCGGTATAAAGCACCGAAAGGGTCCTAAGAACGAGAACACCCAGTCCCGCGACGACGAGCCCCCTGAGCCTACTGTGGACGAAGTCGTCAAGAAGGCTAAGGAGATTGGTCAGCAGCCGAACTTGGAGCCAGATGTCATCACCATTCCAAATGGTGTCGATAATGTTTCTGGCCCCATCTTGAAGATGGGCAGTCTGGAAGTCAACCAGGAGCAACAGCTTGGCATAGGAAGCAACGGTACCATCGTTTTCGCCGGGAAGTGGGATGGCCGTGCTGTTGCTGTGAAGCGCATGCTGGTCCAGTTCAATGAGATTGCCAGCCAGGAAACCAAGTTGCTGAGAGAGAGTGACGATCATCCGAACGGTGAGTGGTATCTGCATGTGAACTTGACCATGGCCCCCTTTACTAATTCTAATCTTCACAGTCATCCGGTATTTTGCTCAACAACAGTCTGCCGGATTCCTTTACATCGCCCTCGAACTCTGCCAGGCCTCCCTCGCAGATGTCATCCAGCGCCCCAGTATGTTCCGCGAACTTGCTCAGGCGGGTGAGCGCGACATGCCTGGAGTCCTGTACCAGGTTGCCAAGGGGCTAAGCCATTTGCACAGTCTCAGGATCGTCCATCGTGACCTCAAACCCCAGAACATCCTCGTCAACATGGGCAAAGATGGTCGCCCGCGTATCCTTGTTTCTGACTTTGGCCTTTGTAAGAAATTGGAAGGTGGACAGTCGTCGTTCGGCGCTACTACCGCTCACGCGGCTGGCACGACCGGCTGGCGTGCCCCGGAACTGTTGCTTGACGACGATGGAGGCCCTGGACCAGGTGCCATGATGACCTTTACCGACCCCGGTTCCAGCATGCACAGTGCTTCCGGTACAGGTTCCGGAGTTGTGGGAGCTGGTGTTAACGTACGCCGTGTCACCCGAGCGATCGACATCTTTTCCCTTGGTTTGGTCTTCTTCTATGTCCTCACCAAGGGGCACCACCCCTTCGACCTTGGTGATCGGTATATGCGCGAGTCGAACATCCGCAAAGGCAAATATGACTTGCAGCTTCTCGAAGTTCTCGGGGACTACGCTCATGATGCCAAAGACCTGATCGAGAGCATGCTCAATACGAACCCTAAGAAACGTCCCACCGCGCTTGGTGTCATGGCTCACCCTTTCTTTTGGAGTCCCAGGAAGCGCCTCAACTTCCTTTGCGACGTCTCAGACCATTTCGAGAAGGAGCCGCGTGATCCTCCCTCGCCAGCACTCTCGTTGCTGGAGGAGCAGAGCACTTGCGTGATCACCAACGGTGATTTCCTCAAGAACTTGCCCAGGGAGTTTGTTGAGTCGCTGGGCAAACAGCGCAAGTACACAGGCAGTCGTATGCTTGATCTGTTACGGGCGCTGCGCAACAAGAAGAACCACTACGAGGACCTTACTCCCCAGCTTAGGAAGATGGTCGGGCCGTTGCCGGAAGGATACCTTGGCTTCTTCACCACACGGTTCCCCAACCTTCTGATCAAATGCTGGGAAGTGATTGCGGATCTTGACCTGGAGGAATCGGATCGGTTCAAGGAGTATTATGAACCAGCTGGGTTGTAGCGGATGTGTATTTTGTTTCGCTGACTTTCTTTTTTTCTTTTCTGAGTATTGCTTTCAGCGCTTTTTCCAAGCTACGTCTTGGTCTAAAAACATGCTTTCCTGCCTTCCATGCATCGTACGCCAGTTCTCTACGTACTAAGTGTCATACTCTTTGAGCCCACTTGATGTCCACTTGTGTCTCTCCCCACTTGGTACATATAAAAGTATCTGTGAGAAGATTCTGGGCGTTTGCTGCCCAGACCGCTAGTCCTTTGCCCTACAGGCACCCTCTTTGACAGCGGTCCTGACACTTCCCAGAATCCCCTCATTTGCATACCTTCTTCCTCTTTGTATCGCCAGCTCTATATAGCTGGCCATCCCTTCCAGCCTCAGTTAGCTGGATCCCTCAATCGACATCATTCCCATCATTCGTGATCCATCTCATAGTATCCCTTCATCCCCAGTTCACCATCACTAGCCGGAAACCGTGAAGCTTCCCCCTGGGACGAAATCACCGCCGTGTATACGTGATCGAACAGCAGCCAGGCTCAGAGAGCTTCGAATACTACGAAACATAACCACACAACAAAGATATCCTACGAACCAGCCCAATACGACCCGTCATAACGTCGTCATAAACAGGAACCGGCTTCCTGGGCCGTTCGTCCAGCAGCAACTCCAACATGCGCGGTCTGGTCCCGTTCGTTGCCGATCTGCGAAATGCTCGAGCTAGGGAACTCGAGGAGAAGCGAATCAACAAGGACCTGGCCAACATGCGTTAAAAATGCAAGGACGGAACCTGAGCGGTTATCACAATAAGGGATACGTTTGCAGGGCATGTGATGCGCCGCCCTGCGCCCAACAACCCCTGAGCAACGCTGACACTGAAGATATGGCCCTAGGCCTTTGGCTCACCCTCACATTGACCAGAATCTGCCTCATGATTAGGTTAAACCCGGCAAGTGCCGGACCGACTTACGTGGGTCTTATCATGCCTGCCAACCCTGCCTCGTTCCTGCCAACCCTCCCTTGTACGTGCCTGCCTGTACTGCCGACTGCACACCCTGTACACTACACTGAAGGGAGGTGAACCATCACGGTGACGGTTGGCTTCAGAAGGAGCTCGAGGCTGTCCGAGAAGGAATCCACCCACGAGATAAGTCAGGTGGTAGGCCTGATGAGAAGTCTGTAGGTGCTGGTACTTCTAAACCCGGGCCCTCAACTCCTTTGGCTGGCATTCTTTCATTGGATCAGAATCAGGGCATTTTGCCACATCTTCGGGGTCCCCTTCATATGTATCACATCTGATGTCAATTTGGTATCTTGCTAGACTTGCCTGATCTCCCCTCAATTCCAATTTGCCATCACTTTTTTCCGCAGTACCACAAAGTCCTGGACCCTTGGCTTACACCTCTGTATGGATATAACTTGTTAGCTTGGTACGTTGATCTCACAGGAAACAGGGGCAAACTACTGGTTGGACTAGATATTTCCTGTGCAAAAATTAAAGTTCTCGCCACCCACTAGAAAAACACGCCAACAATTTATATCCATGTAGAGGTGTACCTATCAAGGCGGAGCGAGCCTTTCTCCACGATTCCATTTTTGTATGTCCGGCTGAACAAATTCAGAGATGCAGCCGAATCACCCTGTTGGCCGTTCGTATTGGCTCGCTGAGTTTGATGGCTCAGGATGGGTGAGTTGATTGTGTTATTCCCGTGGTCTGGACCCTCTCAGCCCTTCTCCTCCACTTCCGGTGACAGATGGGGAATGTGAAAGATGGAACTCGACCTTCAATGGACGTTGCTATGTAGTCTAGGTAGATGGTAAGTAGTTTACACTTGTATAGCTCGTTGTGGTAGCGTACTTCGGATGATCTATTGCCACCCCGACGGTTACAGGGTTGTCGAAGTCGGCTGTTAGGGATGACCGGCAGTTAGCTGACATGGCTGCCAGGTAAGGGTAGTTGCAGACAAAATACACCGAACACGCGCTGTGGTGAATTGGGTGTAAGAGCGTTCGGTCTTTTTTTTTTGGGGCAGATCACCTGACTGCCAAAGGTACCGTTATCAAAAGTGTCATGTTTAACGCTCGTACAGATCGCTTGTCAAGGCCACTAACAGAGTCGCATAGAGACTTTAGACGAGTGGATGTTACTACACTATTTTACACTTAGTTCCACGGGGGCAAAATGTTAGCGTGGCCCGACCGTTTGGGAACCTTTATCGACTTTATCTCGATTCTGGACTCATTCCATGGGATCGGAAGGTGTTCCTGCTCCCCGCGTTTGCCTACAACACTATAAAATCACCTGGCAGCGCTTGCTGTGACGCCACAGCTGTTCTGAACCGTTTTCTCCTGCTTTTTTTTTTACCTCCCATTTTTTCCTTTGTTCGCCTCTGTCAACTTCAGCTATAAAATCCCTTTCCAACGATGCCCGACTCGAGTAAAAAAGTCTGTTTGACTGGCGCGGGTGTCGAACCGCGAAAGCACGATGGGCGTCCATGCGTGTCCGGGTACCTGACACTAACAGGTTACGCTTCACAATGGCAGTAAGCCAGCCCTGTGGCTGTTAGAGGAGACCCAGCCAGACCCCGACCGACCGAAACGCAGAACTCCATCCAGATGTACTGTGCAGGTGATGGTTTCGAACGACCACTGACAAGACCCTCAGATAGCATGGACTGCAACCTCTCTGAACAAGAACGATAAGAAACAAACTTCCACTGACAAGACCCTCAGATAGCATGGACTGCAACCTCTCTACAACAACAACAAACAACAATACCAACACCTATTGCCCCAAAACGGACAAGAACGATAAGAAACAAACTTCCACTGACAAGACCCTCAGATAGCATGGACTGCAACCTCTCTGACAACAACAACAACAACAACAACAGAATAACGACGACGATGACGATGACGACGATGACGACAATGACAACGACGATAACTGAACAACGATGATGAGAACATGGGTGAGAACAAGGATGAGAGCAAGGATGAGAACAACAACAAAAACGAAAACGAGAAACTGAAAACGGAAACGACGACAACAACTGAACAATAAGAGCAGCAAAAACGAAAACGAAAACGAAAACGAAATCACTTTCTGCCGCACATAATCACGACCGTTGAAAATCTTCTCCGCAGATCTGGACATTTCGTTAGTGTAGATCAGGCTGGTCCAACGACGGCAGAGAACACATCCAACAACACACCACCAAAAGACTATGAGCACTGTGTGTGTTCACTTTTATACTACACTACCAGCGGCCGGCGGTGATTGTTCTGTACGTATTAAAATGTGTAGCATACATAGAACTTCATGAACTTAAGGTGGTGTGTCCAAGTAAGTAAGTAAGTATCATGCCAAACCTACCTAGTTTTTGTCTGTTTGCTTTTTTTGCTTTTATCACACTCCCCAATCGACATTGCAAGAAGTGGTTCACTAAAAACATGGAAGAATGGAGTCAGTAAAGGAACACCGTGGCATACATACTACCATAGGTACCTATCTTAGTTCAAACTATTTACAATTCGAGATGGCGAGCGATGCAATAACAAGAGGCAGCAGATCCTTTCCGCAGCCCTC